AGTGGCAGTGGGAGCAACCCTGGGTCTTTCCGGCATCTGTAAAGCCACCTGAGAACCTCTGGCACCCCCACCTCCAGCCCAGTCAGTGGCCATCACAGCAGGGGTGGACAAGAGAATAGAGCGGCAGCCTCCGAACGGGAATCTAAAGAGGTATCAGATGCTTCTTTGCCTGAGGTTCATGCCCATATTGGATCCTGACCTTCAAAGCTCAAAAGGGCCACAGGCTTCTTTGGTTTTTGGAAACTGTGTGTCAGATGTTACAAGGCGTGAGAGTGGAAGACTTTGGTGAAGTGAGGCAATTTGATGGCAGACTTGAGTTCTAGAAAATTAAGAGAAAATGTGCACGGCATGCCATCCCAGTGCCACTGTTAACTCTCTTAATATCTGGAGATGTGACCAGTTAAACATTCTGGTGTGTGATGGAATTTCTTAGGAGCCACCAGTGAATCCTTTTGCAGTATATTCTTTGCCAGATTTAGAATCAAAAACTTGGATGCGACCCATAGATAATGTAATTTCTGTCATGAATCCAGAAATCTCGTACCTATCATGCTGGTGACAGATAGCAGTTTAACCATTTTTAAAACATCTGAAGGAAAGGCATTCACTCTTACGGGCTCATTCTCTCTACTACTCTCCTTATTATACACCCCTATTCTGTTAACAGCAAAGAAGCCTGCTCTAACAGAGCTTGGAAACCTTGGTATTAGATGTGTTGCCAGCAATGCTGTGTATGAGGGTGGGGAGAAATGTACGTTTTGCCATGAGTTGAGGTCATCTGATCCATTTCCAATAGAAGCAAGGGAGCCCTGTTCTCCTAATCCTTAAAACCAGCCAAGCAGAAGGAGAATTACATCAGGGTTTATTCTTAGTTCTGCAAGGGCTGCAGATTTGCCTTTGCTTTGTGAGAATGTGCATATTTTAGTTATTTGTTTTGCTGCAGAGAGATTTGCATCTTTATAAGTTCGTGGCAGCCTCAGATCAATTTGCTGATCAAAATTAGTTTTCAGCAATGGGGGAATCCTCCTTTCCAGTTGTGCTTGACCCATAATGGGGATGCTTTAATCCTTTAAATAGCCTGGAGAGCTCTGTTCCCAGGGGCACCACTGAAACCTTCTTAGTCGTAAGTAACTGCAGCTACTAACAGCCCAGCGATTGCCCCTGTGCTAGCATGGTCTTTCACTGTTTAATGTATTCTTACTTCTAAGGATATGACTTAATCCATAACTGCTGGTGATCCATGGCCAAGATGGTTTTGTTCTTGCGTGAGAACATGCACATAATTCCCCTGCTCACATTCTCTCCACTGAGAATGGGATTGCTTGGGAAATTCTGTACAGCCAGTCTGAAAATACATGGAAGCTGCCTAAGGTTGCTTACGCGTGGTTCCTGTTAAAACTGAAAACTTTCTAGTGGGTTGTGTCACCAAAAGGGTTCCTGGTGAGTACTCGTACCAGTAGCCTTAAAGACAAAACCCGCCTTGCTGTGTTGCTAAAACAGGATGAGGGAACATGTAACAAATCTTTCTCTTCCTGTCATATGGGGGGGACCCTTTGTTTGCACAGCATGGCAGTAGAGAACGAGTAGTATGAGAGGCATCAAGGGAAATGGGGTAGTGTGGCATACAGGCTTACTGGGTTGGGACTGTGCTTTTCCTGCTGGGTGCAACAATATGTAAACATCCTTATAGCAAACGAGATGGCTGTAGGATGTATTGCTCCAGAATGGCATGCCCACATGTCTAGCCTGTCTCCCCAAAATGGGACTCAAGGCAGGTTACGGTAATCGTTCCTTGGTTGCCAAAAGCCATTCAGAATGATAAATGGTCTGTCTGCCAGCGAAAGGACAACAGGGAAGCTTAGCTGCTGTTGGAGGACATTCCAGGGTCAAGAAGCAGATGCAGTGGTGCCCCACAAGACAATGTTAATTCGTTCCATTGAAATTGCTGTTTTGCGAAAACATTGTTTTGCGAAAAGCGTTTCCCCATTGGAATGCATTGAAATCCGTTTAACGTGTTCCAATCGGGAAAAATAGTCGTCGTCCAGTGAAAATCGCCCATAGGGAAGCCATTTTGCGAAGCTCTGATCAGCTGTAAAATCGCTGTCTTGTGAAAAACGGAAGTGCCGATGAGCTGTAAAAATTGTCGTCTTCCAAAAAATGGTCTGCGAAGCACAGACCAAATCATTGTCCAGCGAAATCCCCCTTAGGAAAAACTGTTTTGCGAATTGCTGTAGCGATCGCAAAAAGTCATTGTCCTGCGGATTACCCAGGGGTAATCTTCTAGCGGGGCCCCACTGTACCTGGAAACCCCTCTGTGTGATGCCCATACTTGATCTAGGAGGGACTGGGTGGGAACTGTTTACATTTTGTGTGCTGTTGCTGTTTGTGCGACTATTCTTCAGGTAGTACCAGTTAAGACACATGGGTTTTCATGATCTAAAGTGTAAAGAACTTTTGGCTGTGCAAAGTCTCCTTCCCTCAGTAATGGCTGAAAAGTGGAAGCTTGTTGGAAAGAGTAGATTGGGTTTGTTAGAGGTTACATTTGCTGAACAAGGGCCTACCGTTGTTCTGCTGTTCTCAAATATCTTATTGAAGTCTTCAGCCGTCTGTGACTGGCTATGTTGAGCTGCTTCCAAAATTGGCATGACATTTGATTTATACAAAGCACTTAGGTCAGCATGAAACAGTTCACAGCACTGCAACTCCCCCAGAGATGAGATCCCATATGCAGGGGGCAACTGGGGAGAAAATCTGTTTGGCATTGCCACTGAGATGAGATTGTATATCAGTCATCGTCTTCTGCATATGGAACCGTCCCCAGTCAGAACAGAAAACTTGGAAATGTTAGATGATATGAGACAAAAGGGAGAGATGAGAAGGGCACCATGAGCTCACCCCCCCTTGAATAGTGAATAACAAAATCTCCAAAGGGAAAGGAAGCTTTCCATTATAAAGTATATTGATGAGAAGTAACTCAAAGATTATGCATCAAGAGTTTATCATTTTTTTAATATTAGCTGCAAGCTACGAAATGGTGAAGCGATTGAAGGAGGGATCTAACATTTGCTTGGAGAGTTGGTGTAGGAAATTCTGGGACTTAGCTAGGTCTTTAGCAAAGCTGACCTGACAGCTACAGCAAGCCAAAGGGCAAACATGTTCCTTTAAATGATTGGTTGATCAAGGGGATTTTTAAAGGAATTATTGTACTCTATTGTTTTACTTTTAATACTGCTTTTATTTATATGTTTTAATATATATGTTTAATTCTTCTTTAGCATTGGAATGAATGAATGAATGAATGAATGAATGAATGAATGAATGAATGAATGAATGAATGAATGACATTCTTATGGTAAACTGATATCACTTTATTATACCTTGTGATCAAAGTGTCCCTTGGGAACAGGCACCAGCTTCCCATGGTGATGTGTGGAAAAAAAAACATTGCTGGTCATTTGTTGGACCTTTAGAAAAAAGAAAGTACATGGGAGAAATTGGTATATTACTTCTAGCTTTGTGAATTTTTAAGACATTAGAAACCCTTCAGAATCAATACCACAATTTTCTTATTTAGCTCTTTTGTGAGAGATGAAATAGATTGTGCTAGACATGAGAGCCTTTTGAGTGTCAACCAGACCACTTTGACTGGATGTGCCAGATATATGTTGCGTTTGACCATGCTGTGGCTAATTCAACCTTTGCTTAAATAAATTTCTTGAACTATGCTTTCGTTGCTATCATCAATTGTCTATAGTAACGTCTGGATGTTAATGTAGTATTCTGTGCATCCTAATCTGGCACAGCATATGTACCCTTCATATCTGTCTCAATATTCTACATTCTCTCTCAAACCATGGGGATTTCATCTGCTCTAGCTGCTTTGAATTTGTATCTTTTTAAAAAAATGTCTCTTTTTTTTGTTGAAAACCACTTAGAGTCGTGGCTTGCCACTAGATGGGTGGTATAAAAATTTAACAAATAAACACATCTTTGGTTAATCAGTGTTAAATGCTTATTAATGTAAGTCTGTATCATGTTGACTGTATGGGCTCAAGCTACAGGAAGCCAGATTTAGGCTGAATATCAGGAAAAACTTCTTAATTGTTAAGATCAATATGACAGGGGAACCAATTACCTCTGGAGGTGGTGAGTGCCCCAGCACTGGAGACATTCAAGAGAAACTTAGACAACCACCTGGCAGATATCCTTTGATTTGTATTCCTGCATTGAGCAGGAGGTTGGACATGATGACCTTATAAGCCCCTTCCACCTTCACTATTCTGTGATTATATGATTTAAATAAACACATAATTTAAAAAAAATCTTAAAAGAAGAACTATAGATCAGAATTCAGCCTACAAAACCCTTGCTATTTTTGTGTCAAAATAAAGAACTGGGTTGAGAAACATTTCTTGGGTAACCAAAAAACCTTACAAACCAGGTAAGCTTTTGAGTTTATAGAGCTCATCTTTTAGGCTTTGGTAGAATAACATTTGGGTAAGAGTGTTTAAAAAAAATCCTAGCCAGATGGAGATAGAGATCCAGGAGGAGATTTCAGTTTCAGAGAACAGAAGTGTCAAGGTGTTAGTTTCCAAAGACCAAAGCCTAGCTGGGACTTAGATCTTCCCATTGTCTTAGACAAGATACACAAAGAGGGAGCAGCACGGCACTCTTTGTGTCAGCAAAATTGGAGATAATATATAATTGTCACGTTAGGTTTACAAGGTCAAATTAAACCAATTTGGTTGGTGTAGCTACTGGGGGTGGGGTGGGGGGAGAGGCAGAGTCCTCCCTGAAGTGGAACCTTGTGGCAAACCTTCTCCTCTGGCAATAGACCCTGACCCAGGTGGCTAAGGTTCTCTTAGATACTGGACTAAGATGGCTTTTGCATTGGCCAAAGCAGTATTTAGTATACCGAGAGGCTGAGGAGGTAAGGAGGCACAGAAACCACTAAAAAGGGTCATGGAAAAATACTGCATTTGCTGTATGTTGTTGTTCAGGATGAGATGACTGCAAATTTGGGCCTGACCACAACCAAGGCCCTCACTATCCTGAGAGACCAGCTGTCGGCACTGCTGGAGGGGCATCAGAAGGAACGAAAGAAGGTGATCTCATGGAAAGTAAGTACTGTATAGCAATTATGGGAGCCCAGGCTAATGCGTTTTGCGTGATTCTGAGTTGTTTTTGAGAACGTGTTGCATATTTGTTTAGAGGAGCAGAATTGTGTTTTGAACCAAGGAAGATCACTAGAAAAAGCAAGACATTTCTCATTGCAAAAGGGATTGGATGCCAGTCCCCTTCCACTACATGAAGCCAGGGTTGAGTCAGGAGCAGCTCCTGTCTTCCTGAAGTTGATGAGGAGAGGAAAAGAAGGCCGAGCACTTCCAGGTTGCTGCGTGCCCTGCATCCTATCCTGCTTTGATTGTCAGTGACCTGGCTTTGTTGTGAGCCCATCTCTCTTTTGGTTGTGCAGGAGTGGAGAAGGTTGCACTTCTTTATGGCAGCTCCTACACTTTTTTAGTGTGGAGAGGCCAGCATGTAGAACTGGCAGTTGGGACTGTGGATCCATTGCTCCTTGGTTGAAACCGTATGCATGGGTGGGAGAAGGAAGTCCATGTGCCTTATACATAAATGGTGGAGAGTATAATAATCTTGTGTAGGTGCTGTTCATTCCACAAGGGAGATTGACGTCTGTCCTTATCTCTCCCACTCTTTGTAGCCAGCTTGGGCCAAGTGACAGTTCCATTTTCTTGAAGTTGTCTTTCCCTTGGCTTTTCCGTTTTTTTTAGGAAGTGTGGAAGAGCAGTTTCCTGTACCATGGCAACCGTTGTTCCTGTTTCCATTGGCCAGGGGCATCCTTGATGTTGCTGACTGTGGTGCTCCTGCTGTGTTGTTATGGGAGCCAGCCGCAAGGAAGGTCTGATATTTGTTTACTTTCTTTCTTGATCATTAATTAATTAATTATTAAATTGTTTATCTTCTTTGAATTCTCATGTGTCCAGGTTGCTAAAAGTAGCCAATAGTCAGCCATCAAAAACACACACACATAAAAAGAATGTTCAGAATCATTGTTATTTGAACTGAAACAACAGGCAGCACAAATTCAGTTGGAGGAGCAACAGATCCAAGCAGTGCCACTGTAAGATTAAAATCAGGGGGCAGCTTCTATCCAGGTCAAAAGTGCATTGAAATGGTATTATCTCAGTGGGCTATCTAGAGTGCAGGTTGACTAGAGAGCCACACGTACTCTGGAGCAAAGAGTTCCACAACATAGTTTGCGCTGTGACCAGGGAGACCTTGCTGTGTGCTTTTACAATAATGGGCTATGGAATAAAGCTGCCTCTGCAGATCCAATAATATGGATGGATTTATAGGAAACATGGTAGTCCCTTGATTTCAAACCAGCAGAATGGCAGGGTGTCTGAACACCTACCTAGTCTCCTGTGGCTCTGCATTTAATTCTTCTTCACTCGCCTTCTCAATGCCTTGTTTATGAAAATCTCCCAAGTATTTTTGGAAGGGCTGTCGGTGGAAAATTTGCTCATCTGCATTTTAAGTTGAGGTGAACATCTAGTTCATCACAGAGTTCAGATAACTGCCTAGCAGGAGGCATGCCTTTATCCCGGGTGCTAGAGCAAAATGACAGACAATTTATGGAGTTTTTGCCTGCAAGATTTCACGCTGTGATTGAAAGCTATGAAGGGCATAGCAGCCACATCAGGCATTGGAAGCGCTACAGCTCACATAAATTATGTCATGTGTGAAATGGTTGAACCTATTTGGATACTGAGATGCCTGTAAAAAGTATTTTGACATGCTCTTGTATAGTTGTACTGCATGTTGAAGCACAGCCATGAACAATGGGCACATCCTCTTTGTCTGTGATCCTTTCATTTTAAATGTGCCATTTGTTCATCAAGGGCACCAAAGAACTCTTAAGAAGATTTTGCAGTCCAGAAATTTAAGAAATGCAATGCATTTAATGAGTTTTCACATGATTTCTTTTGCCCTCAACCCCTGAACTCTTAGCTTGTGTTTCTGTGTTTCTTCTTCAAAGAATTGGAAGACATTGTAGAGCAGCAAGAAAGTCATCCTGTGGCTTTTATGTTGCTTTTCTGTATGCTACAAGATATACCACTAAATCTCTGAAATGCCTTCCTTTTCCAGTACCATGCTTCCATGTTTATGGTGAAATGGAGAGTATAAGTGAGGAGGAGAGTGAGAACATGGAAAAGGGGAGGATGACAAAGCCATGGTCATGAACCCAACTTATTTTGTCAGGCAGGGTTTTTCAATGAAGCAGTTGGGAACAATTCAGTGCGTGGACTCTTTCCTTTGACTTGCTTGTGGTCATGATCCCTTTGTACCCAAGCCTAGAGAAGTATCATTGTGACTGACATGGCCTTGCCATTCTTCCAGGCCTCCTAATTGTCCACTGGCCTGAGAGATCCGAAGCCAAGCCTGTCGGTTGTACTATCCCTGCCTTTATTGCAGTGTGCGCACACACACATTGTTTGAATTCACTTGATTGTGGTGGCTGACCAAAGAGATTTGAAAATGCCTTGGCTTTTGGGCTGAAACCAGAAATTGCTCTCCTTGGGTCAGAACTTGAAGCCACTCGTGTTAGAGAAAGCATTTAATTCTTTTCTTTCACTGCCTGTCACTGCCATTTGCCCACCCCCCCCCTTTGAACAGTGAAGGTTCTGAGATTGTGAATGCCTTGGCGCTGTTCCTTCTGGTCCTCCTTGATCTCTTTGTGATTGGCCGGCAAGAGAGGTTGAAGCGCCGTGAGGTTGAGAGGAGGCTCCGGAACATCATCAGCAGAATAAACGGTGAGGACCTCTCTTCCTCCTCAGCCCTCTTTGTTTTCCTGCATGTCTCTTACTTTCCCCTTATTTTTAGCAGCAGATGATGCTCTGGAATTATGGCCCATAGCCATTTCTCTGAATTTCCTAGACCTGCATGTTTTCCACATCGGTCTTATGGCCCCCATGGTCTCTTCCTCCAGCTCATGCTTTTGAACGCAGAGTTAAATCAGACCTCCTGTTGGCTCTGATCGTCCTCCCTTACTTGACTCTCCATTTTCCCATTTCTGTCGCAGTGGATTTTCTTTAAGATCATGGCAAAAAAGGAGAAGTGATAAACTCCTCTCCTTTTCCATCCCTGTGATCTTGTTGCTGTTCACCATGTAGATATTATAAACTCCATGCTAATTGCGTTTCATGCAATTACTGCATGCCTTGTTAGGTCCTGAGATGAGTCCATGGTGGATGACTGCCAAGGTGGAGCCGTGGCTTCTCATTCAGAGACCTTCTCGTATTCTGGGCTTGGGGTCATCATTCCTTCCCTGTTCTTTTGCATTTCAGATGTCTTGAAAGATGGCAAAGAGCAGACCTGGGCAAATGCCATGTACCCAGACCTTCACCTGCCCTTTGCCCCATCTTGGTCCCTCCACTGGGTCTACAGGGATGGCCATCTTGTTAATCTCCCAGTCAGCTTGTTGGTCGAGGGTGATGTTGTTGCTCTGCGGCCAGGGCAGGAGTCTTTCACTTCTCTCAGGGGGATTAAGGTAACTGATATTTCTGTTCCTTTTGTATTGCACTAATTAGGATATGAGTGCCATGGTTTAGCATGTTAGTAACAAGAATTTGTGTCCACTCTAGAACATTGAAGTGTTGATTATTTCATACAGTTTTCCTGTATCATGTTGGGAAGCATTTAACAAGCATAATTGATACATTCTGCCATCAACTCTAGAAACATCCCATAAAAGTAGCATCTGTAAAGCCACAGTGTAAAACAGTCCCAAGTATCATGATGGAAATTAGCAGGCCATTCCCTGCCCTTGTTGGACTTAAACAAAAAAAAACGGTTAAAAACAACAACAACACAGCATTACTAATATAAATCAAAACCACAGATAGACTGAAATCCTGTTGCTTAGAATAGTACAGTAAGTCAGAACCAGAGTTGGCCCTTTGAATGGGCTCCTCTATAAATTCCACTGATTCAATGGCCTGCTCTAGTTGCAGCTTATTATGCTAAGCAATAGCATGTAGCATCTGTAAAGCCACAGTGTAAAACACTCCCATGTATCATGATGGAAACAATTAGCAGGCCATTCCCTACCTTTGTTGGACCTTAAACAAAAAAACAGTTAAAAACAACAACACAGAATGTCTAATATAAATCAAAACCACAGATTGACTGAAATCCTGTTGCTTAGAATAGTACAGTAAGTCAGAACCAGAGTTGGCCCTTTGAATGGGCTCCTCTATAAATTCCACTGATTCAATGGCCTGCTCTAGTTGCAGCTTATTATGCTAAGCAATAGCATTTCAGCCAGTACATCCAAGAAATTGTGCTTTGAAAGCAAGTTAGGATATTTGCATCATGCGAAGAAAATGTTATAATTGTAGCTCTAGTAAGTATGTGCTCCCTAAACAGACATGTGGAGGGCTCCTAGTTGAGGACGGCTGCTCAGAACCTTCCAGCAAGCTGGTATTAAAGTACTTGGCTTCTGACCACATTTAGTGTTCTTTCTCTATCTTCCAAATTTCTTTATCCCATTCCGAGAAGATTGGTACTTTTGGGCACATGAGAATGAAGGTAGTGATTTAAGAGGTCTTGGGTCCTTTTGGAATGGGGTTGAGTGAAGGTGGTCTTCCAGATGTTGCTGGACTGCACCTTCCAGAATTCCTCCTCCTGTTGGCTGTGAGGTTAGGGTTGATGGGAATTGCAGTCCCAACGGTATTTGCCATCCTTGGTTTAGAGAACAGCAGGTAACGGAAGACAAGTTTGTTGTCAAGTTGTGAAGCCTAAAGAGGGCAAAACATATGCAGTAGGGCTAGGAAACTATTTTGGTGCAACCACATTCTTCCAAAACTGATGCATTTGATGTGCTGATGTTAATATGACAATGCTAGTAAACAAAACGAGTTTTACCCACTACTGTTGCTTTGAGAAGCAGGAGCTTCTAGAATTTTTCTTGAGCTGCTTATCTGTTTTTCAGCTTTCAAGGAACTTGCCTTTTTTTTAATAAATAGGATGATGAGCATATTGTCTTGGAGCCAGGAGATCTGTTCCCCCCCTTTTCTCCTCCACCCTCCCCCAGTGGGGAGATGAAGAAGGGACCTCAAAATCCCCAGCTATATCGACTGTTTCGTGTCACCAAAACACCAGCAATTGACAACGTCAGGTAAGTTCCATACCAGGCAAAAAGTTAGAACAGACTGCATTGTTATGTATTGCAACAAGGACAACACAATATTTTGGTACGTTGGAGATGAACACAATTTATTTGGCATATCCTGTTACCTTCATCTTGTGAAGAATGCATCTGAAGATACAGTGGCATTAGGAGGAGGGGTCTACCATCCATGAAAACATGTGGCAAAGAAAATGTGTTAGTATTTAAGGTGCCACAAAACTATTTTTCTGGCTGCAACAGATGAAATTTGAGGAGGTGATGAGTACTCACAGCATTTCTCATTCACAGTTATTTTCCAAGCAATGTCATGCGGAAACTCCCCCCACTACTGGTGAGATCTTCTGGTTTAACACTCCAAAATGAAGTTCCCAAGAAGTCCCATGAGATTCCCAGGGGAAAAAAAAACCCTCACTACAAATGCAAAAAGGGATTCAACCCCCCCCTCCCAATTTTTTCTGCGAAAGCAGAGAGCTGCAGTATACACATTCCTATGTACAGCCTGACATGTCTTCCACTCTGAGAATTTTTAGGACTATTCAGTATTCTTCAAGAGGAGAGGAGAAGGAGGAGTACAGCAGGATTGTCAGAAGAGTCACTCGTGGGGTCCATTTTCCAATTCATTTGACCATAGAATATATTATAGTCATAATAATGCCTGCCAAAATGTTGCTTGGTAGCAGGGAAATACCGTCATCTGACTGAACCGTTGTTGGGATGGAAGGTAGCAGTTTGATCACGTGCTGTTACAGTGGTTGACTGGGAACTGTCCATTTTGTGAACAGAACTGGGCATCATCTTAAAATGGTTGTGAAGTAGGGACCCTGTATAAGACCTCCAAGGCGTCTTCTTTTCTTTCAGGTCCTGTTTGGACATGGCCTTGTCACGCCCTGTGACCGCTCTGGATAATGAAAGGTTCACAGTACAGTCAGTGATGCTCAAGTTTGCCGTCCCTATTGTGCTGGTAGGTCCTACTGCTGCTCGTGACTTCTCTTGATCTAGTGAGGTTCCTGATGGCTGAGACGATCATGGCTGACGTAGCTTCCTATGTTGACATGCAGTAGGATCTGTAGGATCACAAGGTAGCTTGGGAGAGAACCTTGGAAGTCTTCAGTGCTGCGTATTTCATGTGTAAGATGGGGACATTTTTATCTGCAGAAAGCAAGGGCCATAGAGAGGGAACACCAGCTGCAACTAGTCAGGATGATAATGGCAAGGCATGCACCCCAGGCTCAGGACTTTGACTTGAGATGACGTGATTCCAGTTGTAGGATCAACAAGCACCAAATCAGTGAAGAAGAAAAATGCAGAAAGTCAGGTGGAGAATGAGAAAAAAAAAGATGACTGTTACACAGAGCTAACTCATTTCTAAACCTCTACTGTACCTTCAGGAGCTGGAAATGTAAGAAATTACATTTGAACCAAGCAGAAGATAAGAGAGCAGATTTTTCTTGTTATCTGCTCATTTAGCTCCCTGAGCAAGTACCAAGTTACTTGCACAGACAGCAAGAAAAATCTGCTATCTGAACTTTGGTTGGTGGTGGATTCCTTTAATTTGCGCTCATAATGCACTAAAAACTTTGTCAGCTGCATGTAAATATCTATTAAAACTGACCTGATTTGGGTCCAGTAGTACAGTGCAGTCCTGCTGTTCTGTCTACATTTGAATACCGTATAGGAGAAAGTCTTAGATTTTTGACCTACGGTGTTTTCAATAACATGGAACTCTGTCACTCCTGGGAAAGGCTGCACCAAACCTTATATCAGGCCAGGGAGGCTCTCATTGTGTTAAGGCAATCATAATCTGAAGTTATGTTCTTTGATGGGAGAATTGGACGTCAGGGAAGTTCCTTTTTTAAAAAAAACATTATCTCCCAGAATGACTCAGCTGTAGCATGTATAGAAGACAGCTGTGCCTGTCTGGTTGAGAGCTGAGACTGAAGCAGTGGCTTTCTAATTTGGTGTCTTTCCTTCAATAACGCAGGTTGGTTTCCTGGTCACCAATGCGATGCGCTTTGTCTTCATGGCTTCTGGAGTAATCCCTTGGCAGTACATGTTTTTCCAGCTGCAGGTAAAGAAAACAGTGTTCTTGCTTCGTCCAAGCTATAACTAGTTGTCCTTTACCATATAAGTCATCACACTTCTTCTAGTATTTACTATTGAGTGTGCACGCATGCAGCTTTCCTGCAGTTCCCCTTGCTAATGTTCAGGAAAAAATTACTTTTCATGCAGACATACATTGATATGGAAGGCACCTTTCACATGCAGTGTTAACTCTTCCTTTCGTTAACCTTACCTCTTCCTTTATATTTATGTTTTCTATATATAGGTGTCCAGGGATCTTTTTGGAAGCTGAGTAGGGCCCTTACGAACAGCCCATCAGTTTCAGCCACCATTGTCTTCTATCCTTGTCCCTTTGGGGCTGTCGTGCAACCTCTTTCCTCTGCAACTGATGGTTATACTAAACAGTGCATCGTGATGCCTTTGCAGGTTAATGGCGTACTACCCATCCTCCCATTGCTGTTTCCTGTCCTCTGGATTCTTGCTACTGCCTTTGGGGAAGCCAGAGTCCTGGCCCAGATGAGCAAGACCTCACCCACTTCCCTGGTAGGTATTCAGCTGTAAGGGTAGTACTGGAAGGGAAGGGAAAGAGTAGGGGAAGGAAAAAGATATCTGACAGAGACTTAAGAGAGGGCCTTCTTAGTGGCTGCCCCCAGGTTGTGGAATGCTGTTCCCTGTGAGGCTGGCCCCCTGTCTCCTCTCTCTTTTCAGTGGCACTTGAAAAACATTAGTATTTAATCTGTAATTTTAACATAGCTAGTTGCCCGACGCTTCCTGCCATCTTATCCTTATAAATGTTTTCTTACGCTTTTAGACTTTCGAATTTGCTTTTTATATGATGATTTTAATATTGCCATGTATAATCACTTTTTAACGCTTCTTGTATCTTGTTTTAATTTCTGTTTCTTTTTATGATCTGTGAGCCACCATGAGTCTTGTTGCCAGGAGAAAAAAACCGCGTAAAAGTGCAGTAAAGAAAGAAAGGGGGGGAGACAAAACAAAACACTACACGGTCGAGTCAGGAGAGCAATTCAGAAGTGTTTCCCAAGGGTAGGGCAGATAAATCAGGTGGGCTTTTTTGCATGGGGAGTTTGTCCCTGTTAATCTCTGAAATGGAATCAGCCTGGGGATCGGCCCACTTGGGGTGGCCGAGAAGCCTGCTGCTGGCAACTCTTTGCCTGTGAAGAGCTCTTGTTCCAGAGGCCCTGGGCAGCAGAGAGCTGGTACGTCTTAAGTGGTTGCCTGTACCAGCTGGCAGTGGCAACTGGGCTCGAATTTAGACTGTTCTGCAAAGATTTTACAATGGCTGAAATTTCGTTGCTGTGTTTATACATGTTGAAAGCAAATGATGGCATACGTTTCAGTGCCTCCGACTGGCAATTAATGAGGTCCTGCTTGGGCTCCTGAGCATGCGACAAGCCAGCATCTGCCCTGCTGCTCCTTCCATGAATCCCAGTAGTGATTTGCCAATTGCTAGGGAGAAGTGACTGAACGTTACACCGTTTGCCTTATACATGCATAACAAAGTAATAGGATTTCACCCAGTAAGTGAGTAAGTCTGTGAAAGATGCCATGTTTTGTATATACAGTATTGGCCGAATGAAGGAGAGAAAATACGTGGCGGGTATATTTTTGCAGTCTCAGAGTTTGTTAGTGCTAAGAATATTAGGATGACTTTTACTTTGGGTTATAAAGGTTAATCTGTCAGCTGATTCTTACTGAAGTTTAGAAGTAATGCAAGAGCTTTACCTTTCTGGTATATTGAGAGCATCATAATGCCATTTTAAAAAAAATACAGAAAGCTTAAAAACATTTGAAGATTAAGAAGTAATGTTTGCTCATAAATCCTAAAATGCTGTTTCTTGGGGTCGTTGGAGGGATTTATGACCATTTTTGTGTCTTTAAATCTGTTGTAAAAATTAATGAAAAACTAGTATGACTCGTAACACATTACTAACATAAATGCTTTTTTAAAAAAAGGTAGTGGGTCAAGGCAACAAAGTAATTAAGAAATTGTCCGTTGACCAATTACATTTAAAAAATAACAATCCAAGCTCTGAATTTCTTACTTCTCCCGCTGTTCCTTCTGTCCTCCCTGTTTACCTGCCCTCTTTGCTCTCTCTCTCTGTCTCCCTCCCTCTCTTCTCACCTTCTCTTGGTTGTTTTAGGCTGATGGTCTTCATATTTTCCATTTCCTTTCCCCTCAGCTTGTTGCCAGAACCTCCATCCCCAGTGTCACATATATACATCTGCCTAGTTATTTTTGGCTTTGCCTTCTCTACCCATGAAATCCTGTTCATTCTTTCTCCACAGAGGTGGTTCGGGACTTTCCCTCTTTCTTATCAGCGTGTACATGTGTTTGGGCCAGTTCCCTTTTGGGAGCACGGAGCTTCCTTTCTTGTGTCTTTTTTTCTTCCAGGTCTCTTTGGAATGTGACAGGGTTGGGTCACCCTCTCCAGCGTCTTGGCTCATGAGTCTTCTTGTCTTTTTCTTGCTCCCCATTCCTCCCGCTTGCCTCTCTTCATCCCACTTCCCTGCTTTTCCTCTCAAAGTCTTGGTGCTCTCTCTGTACTTGATGCCCTTCCCCGTTCCTCACCCTGTGTCTGTTTCTTCACGTCATCCTGATCATTGTGAAACGAGTAAGACATCCAGTTCTGCCCAAAAGCTGTTGCCTTCAATCTCTTCACCAGTCCAGGATGAATCTCAGGTTCCCCTCGTGGCCTCCGTCTTTACAAGAGACTCAGAGAAGGCTGTCTCTTTGACTTTTTAATTTTTGACCCATATATGAACAATTGTGGTAGCCTTCTTGAGTTTGCCCAGATACAGCAGGCCCTCCAGAGGGGAGCCCCTTTCGATGTTTCTGTCTCCCACTAGTGAATGATATGTTACAACGGTGTCCCTTGTGCATTGCTTTTTAAGCAGTTTGGAAGTAACCAACCTGTTCTCTTGCTGCAGCTGGCTAAGTTCTCAGAGGATACACTCAGCAGCTACACAGAGATGGTATCTTCCCAGGTACAATTTTATTAGCTGGCCTTGCGTCTTGTTTTTTGTGCTGTTTCGTGCTATCCTTTCTGTCCTCTCTCTTTGTGATCTGCTTGCCCACCTCACGCTTATTTCCTCTTGCTGATGCCTCTTGCTTATTGGTATTTTTCATTGTGCTATTCTGTTGTACTCTGCATGCTGCCACATCTTCCCTATGTGCTCTGTCTGCAGAGGATGTTCACAATATCACAGTTCCTTTTTCCTCTTCTGAAGGTAAAAGGCCAGGGGCTTTATTCTGTGGCTGCCTAGAATTTTTTAGAATCTAATTTATGCAAGCTGTATTTCAAATCCTTTCTGGCTAAGAGAGATTGGTAAGTATTAGAGGGATTTGAACAGAAGAAGAAAGTGTGCATAATTTTTGTGTACGTAAGTACAATATTATGTATAGTCATCTTGGGGTCTTGTGAGGAAATATGGGACAGGAACATGTGTGTATATCTGTACAGTTGCATTTGGAGTATTTATGTGAAAACCCATCTTAATATCTAAGGGACCACTTGCATGTGTTGATTGTATTTTCCAAAATCATTTTGGGTGGGGTCCAGCAGCGCAGCAGGAATGTTTTCATTGTCAGTGACAAATTACTGCTGATTAAAAGCTTCCTTTTGCGATTTTGGAATGCACATGATGTTCTACTTTGTATGAGCAAGGTGCACCCTGAAATTGCAAAAAGAAATGCCAGATGCAGGGGAGGGGTGTCAGGAGACAGGTCTCCGGTTGTCTCATGTAATCCCAGAGGCATCTGGTGGGGGCCACTGTGAGATACAGGGAGCTGAACTAGATGGGCCCTTGGCCTGATCCAACCGGGCTCTTCTTATGTTCTTATGAAGCCTTTAATTAGTGGCAAGCTGCCGCTGTTGATGACGGTTATTCCCACTGTGTAGGCAGAGTTGTGCAACAGGATTCCAATCCCTGTATTTTTTTTAAAATCAAATTGAGAAAGAAAAAAAAGAATGGAACAGATGGAACACAATTGACTCATGGAATTTCTAAGTACACTTGGAGTCTATGTGAGAAGTCCTTCTTTATATTTAAGAAGTCGCTTGCCTTTGTTTACCCTTCTCCACCATTGTTCTCACCTCTGTGCTCAGACTTCATCCGAAGGAGCCTGTCTGAATTAAGAGGACATTTGGTCCATGCTTCACTTTCACTTGCCTTAAATATAATTTAAGCCAAACTCATGTTTTTATCTTTTTTGTTTTATTTCTTTGCATTTTGCCTGCGAAAGAACAGCTTGTTTCTGGCACTCTTACTCAAGAAACCACATTTTTGGATTGTTAACGCAAAGCATTTGAGAGTGACCACTGGTTCTGTTGGAAAGAAAAGCTAAATCCCATATATTTCAGATTTATACTTTTAACCCAAACAGACTTATTTCCTGGGTCTTCTATATATGCTGATAGGCATCTCATGTCATGTTTTTGTTCTGTAGTCATGAGATCTAGGAATTTTGATTTTAAAAAAAACTGCTGAAATTCTTGAAAGGAAGAGAGTTGGGTAGGAAGAAACCGTACTAGAGAGTCAGAAGCTTAACCTAATAGTTTCATATCCCTCTTGTGCTAAAAAGAAGGATTCGTGCACTTTGTAGGAAGGCAGTGGGAGACAAAGGTTACAAACTAATAGTAGCGGCCTGTATTGAGAGTCAGTATGAGGGTAGTGATTAGTGCTGGACTGTGATTGTGTTTCCGATGCCTTTGACCATGAAGCTGCCTGAGGGATTTTGGCAGGTCGGTCTCAGCCTGACACACCTCATGTGACTGTTGTGAAGATAAAGTGGGGAGGAAGAGAGTTTTGCATGCTATGTTGAGATCGCTGGAAGAAATTCAAGATGTAAATGCCAACAAAGAAGAACAACTAGCTAAAAGAACACGGGAAGGGCACTGCTGCATCAGACTTAGGACCAGTCTTAATTCAGTGTCCTGTTACCCCAGGCCTGGGCAGAGTGTGGCCCGTGAGCTGCTCCTGTCCGGCCCGCGGTCAGTTTTGAGCATCAAAACCATTTATAGCTTTTTGTCTAAAGTTGATCAGTTGCTTATCTTTAACATACTGCAAAAAAACTCTTTAGTATTTGTGTAGATTAACAAGTTTAAAATAAGAACAATCATAACATCACTGTTTCATTTTATTTTTTAAATAAAGTTGGTTCGGCCCCCGAACACAGTTCAGATTTTTCATGTGGCCCCCTTATAGAAATTAATTGCCCACCCCTGTGTTTACCCCCTTCTTTTCAGCAAAGTGAATGTAATAAGGCTTAATCTTTTTCTAAGGTTTAGTCTACCAATGTAATAAGGCTTAATCTTTTTCTAAGGTTTACTCTGCCTTTGTTTATCTAAAGATGGAACATCTGCCTCAGAATCGCTTCCCAAAGTTGAATCTAAAGCAGAAACCAGCTTTATCTGTTGATTTCATTCCCTGCTGTTTTTGCAAGGTTGCCTCAGATTTTAAATTTGTATACAGTGATGCCTCGACTTACAACTGTAATCTGTTCCAGAAGATGGATGTAACTCAAAATGGTCGTTAAGTCGAAGCACCATTTCCCATAGGAATGCATTGAAATGCAATTAATCAGTTCCAGCCGAAGGGAAAAAAAAACACACCCAAAATCACTGCAAGACTAATTGGAAATGTGATTAATCCCTTCTGGCCGAAGGGGGGAAGGAAGAAAAGCAATCAAGCGTACAAGACCCATTGGAAATGTACAGAAAACAAATGGAGCAGATCGGAATGCACACAGAACAAAAGGGGCAGGTCAGAAATGCAAAGAAAACAAAGGAAAAAGCAAGGGAAGCATGCAAGACCCATCAGAAATGGGGGGGAACCCAAAAAGCAACCAAACCCTCCAAGACCCATCAGAAATAGGGGGGGAAAGCCAACAAACAACCCCCGAAGACCCATCAGAAATGGAAAAAAAAACCCAAAAAAGCACCCAAACTCCCTAAGACCCATTGGAAATGGGGGGGGCGGAACAAAAAACAAACAAACCCCCCAAGACTCATCGGAAATGGGAAAAAACACTCCGAAAGGAACCAACACCCCGAAGACCCATCGGAAATGGGAAAAAAACCAACCAACCAACAAACCCCCCCAAGACCCATCACAGCACAGAAACATAACCCCTCAGCCCAAAACCACACTGCAAAAACACCCAGAACAGTTTTTAAAAAGCAGAAAACAGCACCTCACCTTACAAGGCAGCCCGAAGCCTCCCTGCAAACACACAAACACATGCTCACTCAGAAGCAGAAGGAGGCAGTCCCAAGCCTCCTCGGATCACATACTCTCTAACTGCTGGGGCGAAAGAGCTACAAAGAAGCAGCCTCGTCGCCACCTACAGTTAGCAATTTGAATTTCCCACCTTTCCCCCCTGCCCTTTTTCTGTTCATAAGTGGAGGCTCCGGCCGAAGTCGAAGCAAATTTTTGCGGCTGGAGCTGGTCATAACTCGAAATGGTCGTAAGTAGGGACGTTCGTAAGTCGAGGCACCACTGTCCTGCTGTATATCTCTGAGCAGTCCTCAGTATAACATTAAGCAACAGAACCACAATGCTTAAACCAATCTTATCAAATGAGCCTTCTAAACCGAATCTTATGCCACATGCCTTTCTTTTCAGAATCTGATTACCATTCTGGCGGGCTTCTTCATGTGCTAGATCTCTTCACTTCACTTTTAGGAAGCAGTGCTTTAATACTGAGATTCTAAGCTGCACAGTTACCTGTAGTCTTGGTTTTCTGGAACTGGGTTGTGTTTCTTAATTAAATATTCCTTGAATTTTCCTTACCTCTTAGCCCTCGTTTAGTGTTTCCAGTCTATAGTTGTCCAATTCGTGTGTTTTTTTTTCCCCTGGCAGGAAATGATACGATGTATCTGGAGCCACTTCCTGCACGTTCTGAAGGGCAAGTCTCCAACCCTCACCTTTACATCTAGCTTGCTTCACAGTTTGGGATCTGTCACAGTAAGTATGATTTGCAAAAAGGGATCTGAACGTGAGCACACCCAGTTTCCTAGGGAAGGATAGAGGGGGTTGCTTGTTATGGTCCTTTGGGTTAAGTATTTTGTTTCCTTGGCTGTAGTAAAGATCCTTCTGACCCCCCACAAGATCATCTATATTGCCATACATGGTTAGAGTAGTTTGATACTCCTTTAACAGTCCTGGCTCTATGATGCATGGATTTGTAGTCTGGTGTGGGGTTAGAATTCTTCCCTCCTGGATTCCCCAGAATTACAGCAGACAAAGTAAAACCCTTTACTTACCTGTACTTCTGGGGGGCTTTCTAGGCAGATTCTTGGAGAATCTGATTTGGAAGGTCCCTGACTGTGTGGGCAAGCTTCCTTGCACGACAAAGAATCTGGCCTCTTCAGACTGCTGTTCTCTGCACATGGAGAACAGTGGTTCAGCACGATGGGATGGCACACTCTTCCCCCTCATTACTTCAGCTGGACCATCTTTGAATGCCTGCATGCACCCATTTGTTGACTAAACATCCTACTTGCTGTGGGTATCTTTCTAAGCGCTGAAATATTTTTATGATCATTTTTGCATGTTAATTTGTCGGCTATATTGTGTAGTTTAGCTGATTGACTCCTTATTGAACAGCATTTAGGAAAGCCCCAGGACTGGAAGATGCTTGGAAGGGGTCTTCCTTCTGCCCTCGATGCGTCTGAAAGCGAATATTGATGTGACTGATGTTTATCTGCCTTGGTGCTTCAGACACAGTCTTGCCAACAGTTTATTCTGTATCTCTGGGGTGTTGTGGGATGTCTTGGGCCTGTTTTTAGGTGCTTTGCTGTGTGGATAAGCAAGGAATTCTGTCCTGGCCTAATCCCAGTCCAGAGACGGTTTTGTTCTTTAGTGGCAAAGTGGAACCACCTCATAGCAGCCATGAGGACCTGACGGACGAACTCTCCACACGCTCCTTCTGCCATCCAGAAATGGATGAAGAGGTAATAAGAGAAGCCTCCTAGGACCATCAGAGGGTATTCAGTCAGGAGCCTCAAAATTCTGGCCTCATTTCTTTCCCCTTTGCAGTTGCATGGGGGAGTTAATTCAGTATTGGAAGCAGGCCCTTTAAGAGCTGCAGCTGGAATGTATCGTAGAGATGCTTTTCCTTTTTACCAACCCACAAGGCTTTATTCCTTCAGCTCAGCTAAATAGGACCTGCTCAGAATTCAGTCCATCACTGGTGCAAGTTGGTGTCTGCTGTGAGTAGGGCCTCCTCAGTAATTGGCTCAACTGTAATTAACTTCAGGGTGGCTGTTCAAGCATTCCATAGCCAGAGGCTGTGTGAACACACAGAGGGGATCTCCTAGCCCCACTCTTTTCTGTCACTGTCTTCTTCACAATTTCAGGACTAGGGCTGAAGAAGGATTTGCTTATGTGTATGATCTGTATGTGAGCAAGAACCCAGATTTTTCAGGGTTCTTGATTACATGTAGAGCCTACTTATCTGTTCAGACGTGGCACTGAAACTGTGACAAATCTAAGAGGGCAGAGGGGTGTCCTTCTGTACATGTTGACAGTATCTGGAGGCAGAATGCCCAAACAGGGTTTCAAATTCATTGCTGGATATTTTTTGACCAAACAAAAATGTTATTTTTTCAGAGTTATAGCTTGATAAACTTTTGCCCAATTGAGTTCTCATTTTTATTTCTCCCCTGCAGTTTTTTTATTGAATGCCATTGATCTAGTGGTTTGTTTTTGTCCTTTTTGGTACTGTAAACTGCTTTACAAATGTAAGATAATGGGTGTGTGTGTGGGAAACCCCTAATTTCAACTGAGGCCTATGCTGCAACCTTCCAAGCCAGTAAATTTTGGTTCTTTGGTATGGTTGGAGCCTTATGGATCTGGCAGCACATGTAAAAATCTGATATTCTGAAAACCTCCTTCTTGATAAAACCTCTTCTGGCATTTAATGGAGGAACGAAGAGCCAGCTCCTGTTCCCTTCAGATGACCAGAGTCTTTTGTCACCATGAGGTTGGTAAGTGATGTCCTTTTCCTTTGTGTTTCAGCTCACCCATTTCCCTCTGCTTCCCTTTTCTTCTTGTGCTGTTTTACAGCCCCATGAAAGGGATGCTCTGCTTTCAGGGCCTTTGACAGAGATGGTCCGCATCACCAGCGAGCAAGAGAGGGCTGAGTGGTCCACCAGCAACACCCCCAAATCTTCTGACCCTCACATTCACAAGAAACCTACTGGCCGCAGCAAGCACCCCTCAGGGTCCAACGTCAGCTTCAGCAAGGACATTGAGGGAGGAGAGGATGAGCTGTTGAAGGTATGGCAGGGGGCTGTCAGCTTCATTTCGGGGGGATGGGGTGGATAAAGGGAAGAGCCGAGAGATAGAGAGAGGAAAAGGGCTGTAGGGACAGAGAGAAAAAACATGTGCCTCTCTGCGTTGAGATATGCAGAAACCCGCAGATGTGAGGCAGATCTGTGGTGAGGTAGAGTCCCATCTCCCCTTGTAACTGATGAGGCTTTTCTTCCACCCCGAGCCAGGCAGAGGGAGACAGTGAGGGGCTGGCCTGCGAGGCTGAAGATTTTGTGTGTGATTACCACTTGGAGATGCTCAGCCTCTCTCAAGACCAGCAGAATCCTTCCTGTATCCAGTTTGATGACTCCAACTGGCAGATGCACTTAACCTCCCTGAAGCCCCTGGGCTTGAATGTCCTCCTCAATCTGTGCAACGCCAGTGTGACGGAGCGCCTCTGCCGTTTCTCGGATCACCTCTGCAACATCGCCCTGCAGGAGACCCACAGCACTGTCTTGCCCGTGCATGTGCCCTGGGGGCTCTGTGAGCTTGCCAGGCTTATAGGTAAAATTGGCCCAGATGGAAGAGTCAGCTGGAGGGGGAGGGGGGAGGAAGAAGGGTGGGCGGCACCCCACTGTGGTATTTTACTATTAGGCTGGCATGCTTGGCTCGTTGGTTGGTCTGTTGGATTTCTGTCTTTTCTTTTCTACACCCCCCCCCAAAAAAAAGAAAAAAGAAAAAAGAGGACACTCCTGGCAATTAAAAATTATTAAATCGAGTAAACACAAGAGTATAATTAAATTATCAGTGAGAGAAAGAGTCTATTATCTGTAGGATTAAAACCCCCTTCTGTAGCAACTCAACTTTGTGGCTAAAGACCGGTGTGAAAATAAAAACTGGGTTTGGCTCTGCCTGTGGAAGAGCCGCAGAGGTGCCAGGTGAAGGCAGAAACAGTAGAATTCTGCGAGTTTTCGTCCAGAACCACAAACCAGACCACCTTAACTAATTTCCTGAAATCTGGAAAAACGGGCATGGGAGGAATGCTCTTTCCTTGGCCTTGACTGGATTCTTGGGCCCTGTAGGAGCAAAGGGTGTATCATAAATGTGGGGAGTCGGACTGGAGGTAGCAGAGGCATACAAATGACATTCATCTAGCCTTGCCGGTCTTAAACCTGTCACTCTGTTCGGCACCTCGGAATTCCCAGACCCAGGTGGCTAATACTGTTTTAGTAGAGTTAGGTGCGAAAAAGGAGGCAGCTGTGAGATGCATTAAACTCTTTCTCGAGCGGGTCAGTGTCTGTCTTGCCATCAGGAGACCTTTGCCCAGCTCTGGAGTCATCTGCTGGTAGCCGGACAGGGAACACATGGCATATGCAGAGGTGATCAGTGCAGCCTGCGTGTGGTTCTGCACCTAATCTGATCATTCTAAATCAATATTGGGCATGCTTGCATGCATGCAGGCAGTCTAACTGCTTCTCATGTGGGTTTTATTTATTTAGCTATTTTTAGGCCACCTGTCCAGAAATAGTATTTTCAGTGCTTCTTAAGACATAAAATTCCTTTTACAGTTGGAGGTGTAAGGTAAACCACAGCAACAGGCTGAATCGATTACCCATATCAAAAACTTTTTCTAAAATAGACCAAAACCAAGAGAAAAATCAGTAGCCAGCCTAAAACCAGTCTAAGCCCATTGTGTATAAACAGGCTCTTCCCCTTGTGACATGTGTGGAGCTGGTGTGATTTCTTCTAAGGAAGGGCTTGACAAGTTGGGAGTAGGAGGCCAATAGGTGCCTGTGATCGATCATCAGCATCTGCCAGCTGCCAGCCAATTATGGCCTCTTGGACTCTTGCATGTCAGTTGATTGTCTCTCTTTCAGGAGAGAGAAAGAGAGAGAGAGGTAGGCTGCTGAAGGAAGAGCATCACTCATAGGGTGGTCTTGGTGACCATGATCAGAGGAGAATGCTGGACACACCAGGAGAGCAGCTGCCTGTTCCTTAGGGTTGCATCTAATCTCTTGTGATGTCTTCCTTTCTCATATTAACCTTCCCCCCCCCTCCTCCCCAAACAGGCTTTACACCTGGAGCCAAAGAGCTTTTCAAGCAGGAGAACTACTTGGCCCTTTACCGCCTGCCTTCAGATGAGATGGTGAAGGAGGTGATGCTGGGAAAACTCTCGTTTATTACCAAGAGGAGACCGCCTTTAAGTCACATGATCTGCCTTTTTGTTAAAGACACGACTACCAGTAAGGCTACTGGCTTTGTGGGTTTTCTGACGAGCACAGAATCCAGTGTGTGGCTGCATCCTTCAAGCTCTGTGAACGCGGTCTGGCTAGCAGCCTCTCCCATTCAGTCAAAGTCTTTGTAGGTCTTCTAGGTGGCCATGCATTCATGGTGGTGTTTTTAAAATGCAAGCGAAGAACAAGATGAAGTGGTAACACCTCCAGATAAAGTTTTCTGGGAGAAGATTGGGTGCAAGTGTGGGGTAGTGTAGGGGTCCCCAACCTGCGGTTGGTCCGCTGATGGTCCGTGGCCTTTGCAGGACCAGGCCGTGGAGACAGATCTCCCTCCCACCCCTGCACGGACTCCCCCCACGCACGCCTCTCCCACCCACCCCTGCACGCACTCCCCCCCACGCACGCACGCCTGCATGCATGCATGGCCCACCCACCTGCATGTGCGTGCCCCGGGGTGCTCATCCAGAAGTGCGCCATGTTCACCTGCAAGCTCGCCTCGTCCACCTGCAAGCAGGGGATGTTCCCCACTCCAGAAGTGCGCCATGTTCACCTGCAAGCAGGGGGTGCCCCCCCACGCATGGACCCCGCCCCCGCAACTGGTCCGCAGTTCGGAAAAGGTTGGGAACTACTGGTGTAGTGGACAGAATGACAGATACAGGTTGGGAACCACTGGTGTAGTGGACAGAATGACAGATATAGGGTTCTGGAGACCAGGGTTTGAATCCACATTCAGCCATGGAAACTCACTCATTAGAGTCCCTCGTGCTCTTAAGCTAACGGGTCCGAGTCAGTATTCCATGATTCATTTTAAATGTTCCAAGGTTGAATTGAAGGGTTGACTGGACATAGTAAATGTTTAGGATAAATAAGTTTTTTAAGAATTGCAGTTTGTTTTATGAACATTCAAAACCTTGGGAGAAAAAAACAAGAGATTTTTTTTGGTATCTTAGTCACATTCTTGCATAACTTAAGAAATGGATGGCTTTTCAACAGACAGGCAAAGGGTCTCTGTTGTGACTGATGGGTTAGGAAAGCTCCTGCCAGATTCTCTCCTTTAAAAATCTGAAGGGTTCTCTTTGAAGGGGGTCAAGGAAGAGGAACGAGGCGACCCAGGCTCTCCTTTTGTGAGTCCTTCGTTTCTCACCTTGCCACTATCGGACACTCTTGCCCTTCAAGCACAACTTGAAGGGAAAGTTTTTTGTTTTTTTTTTTGCAGAAGAGAAGCCCGTGGAGACATCCCTGGCAGATGACAGGTTGCTGTTCTTGGGGGGGGGAATGGTTGAGGAGCGCGGGCACTTTGTCCCTTGGTACTGAATGGGGGAGATGCCCCACTGAATAGGGCACCCAGGTGAATGGCTCTTTCCCTAGTAAACCCCGCAGTATATCTGCCTCCTGCAGTGAAGGGCACTTGGCCACGGGCAGTGTCACCGTTGTAACTGGAATAATATGACCGTGGGCTAGTAAGGGGAAAGGGCTGGTATCCCCACCCCCACCTCCGCTCCCTGGTGCCTGCCTGTTGGTCTTTCTCGATGGCGTGATGGAGGAAGGGCTGCTTTTAGCCCCTTCCTCAAATGCATCTATTCCCTTTTGCCATATCACTAACATTACAAAAGGCGCTTGTGGCTGATTGGAGCGTGAGCAATCCGTACGATAAATGAGCGTGTCAGCAGGCAATTTGCAGGCTTGAGATATGGATTGCATTTTTTCTCTTAGGCACCGAGCAGATGCTTTCCCACGGGACTGCGGACATCATCCTTGAGGCTTGCACAGACTTCTGGGATGGCTCAGATATCTATCCTCTGTCTGGCTCTGACAGGTAGGCAGAATTCTCTTGTAGCGCAAGGTGCTGGCTTCCGAGAAGAAAGCAGCCGGGAGCTTTGATATCGTACTCGAAGCACGGTGTGTTTTCTCAGATGGGCGATCCGGGCTGTGTAAAGGGCTGAGTAAAGAGTCCCACAGACAGACCTCTTCTTGCAGAGGTAGATTTCAGCCTTTCGCAAAAAGAGGTGGGATTGCAGAGCTGCTGTTGAGCCCTGTTATGCAGGTTTATCAGCCGGGGGAGGGGGGATTGTCCTTATTCAGTGTATCTGCCCTGTTCTCTTTCAGGATAGGGGATGTTCCTCTCCCCTCTTCTCCACCACTTTTCCGTCTCCTTCCCCCTCCCATCTCTTGTCTGCCCTCTGTGTCCATTAATCCTGTACAAACCTTGGCACTGCCCAAGGCCTGCCCGAGTTTCCTTCCCTATATGGATGATGATGATGCCTTCATTGCATAACTATTCATTTTTTGGTTGGATGGATGGAAGAATAAGGCATCAGCACAGGGATTCTTCACTTGAGAACACTTGCAGACTCTTCCTAAAAGTGGAAAAGTTAGTCTGGGGAGGATCTTTTGAAATTATTCTTGGGTCAGCAGCTTGTGATCCTCGCCCCCCCTCCGCCCCCGCCCCTGCCCCACGTTCACTAGGTTGAATGTCTGTGCAGTTTGTATGGGGCTGGGCCCTTTAAATATTGCATTTATTTTGCTTCTGTAGTTTTAAGTTTTGTAGTTTCTCAGTTCCTGGACCCAAATCCCAGATCTTACCATTGTCACTGTGGGCCTGCTCAGAGATTAAAGCCAGCAGGGCTGTCACCATGGTGGGCCTGTGAGGTTGCTCCTAGGTCCTGGTTCCAACACCCTTTCCATCTGGATGTCAGCTAGCGCTTTGTACACGAAGCACAGAACTTTTGAGAAGACCTTGGAATCACTTAAGCCTGTACATGACATTGCAGTGCTTCTTCTCAAACCTTCTTATCATGGCAGTGCAGAACATGTTTGCAAGCCTCTCTTTATTTATTTATTTATTTTTATTTATTTATTTGATTTATATCCCGCCCATCTGGTATATTGTACCACTCTGGGCGGCTTACAACATAACATAGATACATTAAAATAAGACTCTTTAGAGCTTCACACTGAATGGATGAAGATCTGGTTGTCAGTGAAGGCTTAACATGCTCACCACTTACAGCCCTTACCGGATTTCGGGCAATCATTGCTTTAAAAATAACTATGCTTGTAGCATTCACATTTCCCCCTTAATTCTCCCTTAATTCTCCCTTAATTCTCACTGCACCACACCTGGTCCTCGTACTGTTTCACTTCCCTTCTGATCTTTCTCTTCTCTCCTTCCTTCTACTCTTTCTCTTTCTCGTGAATCTTTCTCTCCCTCTATCTTGATGCAGCCTGTCCCTTTCTTTGCTCTCTCCACCAGCCTTTACTAGACAGTGGAATGCCCTCTACACAGGTTTACCTGTTTTAATTGTTTGGGAGTCCTGCAAAATAGAGAATTACATAGAGCTACCAGACAGATTAATTCCCCCGGACCTGATTGCAGCTTCCTCTGTAGGCTTTTCTTAGAGAAGCCTGTCACCTTCATGGATGAAAAAATTGGCCAACATTAATTAATCAATTGTAAAAATCAAGGTAACTCCAAAGTAAACACCCTTCATATAGGTGCCAAGGTGCCTTGGTCATGATTCCAAGTATCAAGCGCCTGCTTTCCTCTGTCTTAGAGCTGCGGTAGAGACAGACACACAGGCGTTCAATGACTTTAATTCAGATCTATTTATGGGCTTCCTTTCTGAGTTATGCCTCTCTAGATAGTTCCATACTATAGCTCCATATTATAATGATTTTAATACCAACATATTAGAAATGCAGATCATAACATCATAATTAGAACACATTGACACATCTTATAACAGGGCCCATGAACTGAGCGGTCTTGCCAAACTGTGGTGCCTGATGCTTAGTTTCACAGGCAGATGTTCTCCCAGCCGTTGCCTTTCTTCTTCATGTTGACAGGGAGAGAACCTGAGCGGGGGTGGGGGCGTGGGGGCAGAGACCCTTGACTTACCAAGCTGTAAAAGATGTTTGGAAACGGACACCTGGGGCAGGTGGCAGGGGAGTATCATGGGGGACTGTAGAGTCTGGCCAGCGATCCAGAGTGTGAGTGTGAACCATTGGTACAAAGGGGAAGCTGCTTGAGGTATCTGACTGGGAAGGCAGGAACCTGCTTTCCTGCTCCTTTCCCCTCCACCGGGGGCTGCTCCTGAAAATAAGACTCTGCAGTTGGGGCATGGGATGGGGTGGGGGCAGGGGAGAGGACACGCTGAGCAATCTGGGGCCTTTTGGATATTTGGGATCCAAACTCCCGTGAGTGCCAGGGATCAGATCCGGTGGGACTGGTGGGCCAAAACGCTGGGAGGGAGCCAGCTTGCCCATTCGGGGTGGTGATGGTGAGTTTTGCTAAGGCAGATGTGTCTTGTGCCTGGACAGATGAGGCTTGTTTGTGCTGGATATGCCTGTGATGGCCTTTCTCATTGCCTCTCCCCCCCCTTTTTTTTGGGCCCCAGGAAGAAAGTGTTGGATTTCTACCAACGTGCCTGTCTCTCAGGCTATTGCTCTGCCTTCTCTTACAAGCCCATGCACTGTGCCTTGTCCTCCCAGCTCAATGGCAAGTGCATAGAGCTGGTGCAGGTCCCCGGACAGAGCGCCATCTTTACATCCTGTGATCTCCCAGGGACGACACCTATCAAGCAGAATAGCCAGAGGAACAGCTGGAGTTCTGATGGTATGTGCCTTGCCTTCTCTGCTGGACTCTACGACCACATCCTTCCTCAGTCATATTCCTCTGCAGCAATGCTCGGCCACTTTCTGTTTGGTCTGGCGGCAAGCCTCTTCTTTATTCTGGCTTCCAGTAACATAGAGGCGAACACCTAGAGTGCCGCATTTAAAAAAAAACTATTGCAAAAAAGAAAATGCCATCTTAATAGATAGGAGTTACAGGATTTAAAGATTTGGAAATGATTAAAATGAACCATCAGGACTGCAATATATTCTCTCAATTTAGTATGCAAAAGTAAATTGCAATTAGGGTATGCACATTTGCATCCATGGAACTTATGGAGGAGTTGGCTCAACGAATCCCCATTGATTCATTGGGGCCACTCTAGTGCAATTTACTGTGCCAAGCATTAGAATTTTGGCCATTGTCTGCTGGTTCAAGGTCTTACCCTTCTTGGCATCTGATCTAGCAATTGTGGAAGACTCTTCTTTGGCTGAATCATTGACACATTATATTCAGGCAAGCTGCTGTATCATCAGGGGAAAAATTCATCAGATCCAGTTTCTTCACATCACCAATCTTGACACTAACTTCAGCCAAGCAAGCAAGATCTCTCGGTGTCCTTGAGCAGATCATGAAGGAGTACTTTAAATATCCGAAATGCTGTTCAAGGGAGACCATGATCTTCTTTTTCTCTTTTAATGTTGCTGCTTGTCAAGCACAGGTGGGCATGACCCATAATGAAATAGGATAAAGGACATTACCGGGATGGGGGTTGACAGAGGGTGTTTTGTTGATGACTGTACCTGTACGTGTTCCCTATTTCTTTTTCCTTATTATTGATTATCACCTTTTTTGTTCTCTCTCTCTCTCTCTCTGTATATTTCATTATGTTGTGTTGCTTGGGGTGTTTGATGTCTGTTCCTCCTTCGTACCTTTGTGCGGGTGCCTGTGTGTGTTCCCCCACATTGGCTGCCCTGTGCAACCCCACCTTTGACGTGCCTCTGACATCCCTGCTTCTGCGCACCCTGTGTTGTTCATGTGCCCAAAGAAGGGATTGGGGAAGTGATGGAGAAGGAGGATTGTATCCAGGCTCTGAGTGGCCAGATCTTCATGGGAATGGTCTCCTCTCAGTATCAAGCCCGATCAGACATTGTTCGCCTGATTGAGGGACTTGTCAATGCCTGCATTCGCTTTGTCTACTTCTCCCTGGAAGATGAGCTGAAGAGTAAGGTAGGTTGTTTCTGTGCTTGCTATATTATCTCTCAGTGCACCTCATCAAAGGCACAGCTGTACTACTCTGTAAACCTCAGTTGCTGCATTAGGACATTTAGCAAAGTAAGTCCAAATATGCATTTGATTGAAAAACTGGACTGTCTAAATTTACTCACACAACATCTCCCTCTACAGTGGTGCCTCGCAAGACGAATTTAATTCGTTCCGCGGATAATGTTGTCTTGCGAAAATTTCATCTTGCGAAACATGTTTTCCCATAGGAATGCATTGAAATCTAATTAATGCATTCCTATGGGTAAAAAAAGTCAGAACAAAGTCAAATTTGGTTTACAAAGGGGTTATTAAGGGCTTTTTAAGGCCATACATATTGTGCAGATGATTTCAAAAATTTCAGTTAAAAAACTTTAACTTTTTAAACGTGGTAGAAAGACATTTAGCAAACATGAGGCAGGAACAAAAAACGGAAAACATTCATCTTGCGAAGCACGGCCATAGGAACATTCGTCTTGCGAGTCATCAACCCCATTGCCTAAACCATTCCTCTTGCGAGTTTTTTGTCCTGCGAGGCATTTGTCTTGCGAGGCACCACTGTATTGGGAATAAAATTGCTAAGTATGACATCCAAATGCATCCATCTGCAGAAGCATTTAAACATTGTTATGGTTGCGTATTAGGGGATAAAAGAACTCAGTGTTCATGGTTAAATAGCTCCCATTTATCTCCCATCACGTTTCGTGTACCCCTCCCTTCTCCTTTGCTTGCTCTACCATAATGTCTACTGTTGGAAACCCAGGTGTTGCAACCAGAGTATATTAGGAAATCCAGGTATGTCCAAATCTGTGCAATGCATAGTACTCAGGGCAGCTTTCACAGCTTCAGATCAAAATTACTGAAGTGCTAAACTCTTTATAATGTGAGTTCTTGAAAGCATACTTGGGGCTTTCAACTGGAATCTTCTGTCTCAAGCTTTTTGGGTCATTTATTCAATTTAATTTAGACTCCACCTTTCTCTCAAGAAAGGGACTCAAGGCAGCATGTAGGTGTCATTTGTGTGTGTGTGTGTGTGTGTGTGTTTGTTTGTGTGTGTTCTATGCTATATTGTTCAGGGTTATAGTTGGTTACATTTCACGTTTCCCCTTCCATTTCTACAGGTCTTTGCTGAGAAGATGGGTCTTGAGACCGGCTGGAACTGCCACATATCCCTGACACCCAACGGAGATGTGCCTGGTTCTGAAATCCCTCCTTCCAGCCCCAGTCATGCCGGCTCCTTGCGCGATGACCTTAATCAGGGTGAGGGAGAGTGGCCCTGGGTGGGAAAGTTGGCTGACTGGAAGGTGAAAGTGACTGGTTGAAACAAACACACTTTAATGCTTCAAGGAGCAAGACAAGCACCCGTGCTGACACAGGGTCAAGCCTTAGGAGTATTGGGGCCATTCTTTGTGTGCTCCCATGAATTTCCCACCCCACTGTCTAACAGCCATGTGAAAATTCCATGTGAATTCTGAAGGGACACAAAAACCTAGTACCGTGTTTCCCCAAAAATAAGACAGGGTCTTATATTAAATTTTGCTCCAAAAATGCATTAGGGCTTTTTTTCAGGGGATGTTTTGTTTTTTTCATGTACAGTCATCTACATTTATTCAGATAGTCATGTCATCATTTTCTGGTTGCTGAACAAGGGTGGAGAGCAGGGTTTCACTTAACTAGAGGTTATTTAACTAGGGGTTATTTTGGGGGTAGGGCTTATATTACGAGCATCCTGAAATATACTAGATTTTTTATTTTTTATTTTATTTTCAGGTTAGGTCTTATTTGCAAGGAAACAGGATAATAACTAATCTTTGCGAGATTTTTTTTTCTTAAAGTGTTGATTTGAAGCCATATTTGTGGATATTATGTGTTGAGATTGCCTAGTTGCCTGAAAGGTTTATTATTATTACTTTTCATCAGTTAGTGAAGTTTACCTAGGAGCTGAGATCACAAGGTGGGTTTCAAATGAATCTTTCTTTTTGATAGGTCTGCTTTTCAGAGGCAGGTGGGTGGAAAATCCAGATTTTCTCTCTAATAAAATCCTGCAGTAGTGTAGAAAGACCTCTAAAGTAACCTTTATTCTCTCCCCCCCACCTTTGATTCTTAAGCTGAAGTCCAATTGATTCAGCCTGGCGCTTTGAGACAGCAAAACCAAAGAGGCAGTATGAGTTTGTGCTGTAGAGCAGTGGTTCTTAACCTTTGTTACTCAGGTGTTTTTGAACTGCAACTCCCAGAAACCCCAGCCAGCAGAGCTGATGGTGAAGGCTTCTGGGAGTTGCAGTCCAGAAACATCTGAGTAACAAAGGTTAAGAACCAGTGCTGTAGAGCTATGGTGAAAACTGGCCCTTGAATGAACTTCCTGAGGTCTGCAATTTGTATTTGTGCGCCTAGAATAGGGGGCTGTTTTGTGCTGTCACCTTTCTTTCTGGCAGAGGTCCTGCCTCTTAACAGCAGTGTGGCAGGCAGGCATTCAGTGGGCAAAAATCTTCCGCTGTGGGTGTGCATATTGTTGGAGAAAGCTTGGCCTAGCTGAAGGTCACACAGCTCTTCCGCAGCTCTGCCAGGAACTCAGAAGGCAGGCAGGGTGAGCATCTCGTGGCCCTCCGGACGTTGTTTGTGTGCGACTCCCACCAGTTCTGTCCAGCAAAGCCAGTGGTGGGGATGTTATTTCCTCCCTTTGTGTGGTGGTAGAAAAGGGGAGAAGGGAAAGAGCTGTAGCTGTGAATTTGGTGGGGATGACTGGCTGTTTCTGATGTGGGTGGATGAGTCATTTGAAACACGTTTTTGTTTTCAGAGAATATTGAGTGGGCGCTGCTGTCTGACAGAATGCCTGCGCTTCCGGGGCGCTGTGGTGCCACACGAGGGGCCTGTGTGTGGGAAGGGGTGCCTTATGCTGCCGTGGCTTGGCATGGTGGTGTGTGAGGGGTACTGTACGTTTTTCACACTGCTGTTCTCTCTGCCCTTCCCAGTCTCTCGAGATGATGCAGAGGGCCTTCTGCTGATGGAGGAAGAAGGACACTCGGACCTCATTAGCTTTCAGCCGACAGACAGCGACATCCCCAGCTTTCTGGAGGATTGCAATAGGGTGAGGCTGATACTTCAACCTGGGCTAGGAGTGAGAGTAGTTGTGTGGTGGGAATGGAGAGAACAAGGAAATTCGCTGAGCACCCTTGGGTGCTCTTGTTCAGCTTGGGCGGTCTTGCAGGATTGTTGCAAAGATACAGTAGAGGGGAAGAGAGTCATATACCACCACCTGGAGCTTCCTGGATGAAAGACATCTAAATATATCTATCTGACTGATTAACTAATATATGCATACCTGTCTCTTAGAAAGGAACCTTTGTGGTTTAAGCCATTTCCATCATCTTTTTCCCTGATTGGTGTCCAGAACTTATGGGTGGGAAGACAAGCCCATTCTAGCAATAGGGCTGTCTGCAGCGGGAGAGTTCTGCAGTTTTAAACTTGAACAGATTTTAGAGAATTTTTACAATGTCCAACCTTGTCCATTTCTGTTCAGAAGTAAGTGCCATGTTCTCCCCACCAACATGCAGGACATGCAGCATTACTGTAAAAATTTGCTCTCTGGGACTGAAGTTCGGATCAGCTTATTGGATGTGCTAGATTGATGTGGTTTATTTGTATTTACAAGATCACAGTATAATAATGGGACAGATGACACAACATGGCAACCCTTCCCTTTCAACAGAAAACATTTTCCTCTCTAGAAGGAGTTGGTTCTGAATTCCTGCATGCATGGCTTACTTACAGTAAAACAAAAGAGAATGCAGCTCAGCCTTTGTGGAGGAAACCTCCTGCTCAGAATATAAAAATGGGGTGAGGCCATTCCTGATACTTGAGGAAAAGGCAACGGATGTAGTAGGAACCCAGGCAGGGTGGCTTGTATGTGTGTGGAATCTGGAAAGGGGGGTGGTATGTTGTAGACTTTCAAAACTGGACACCCAAGATAGTTGGTACTACAACTCCCACCAGCCCATCCAGTTTGAGCGGATGGGCATGGCAGTCTAGATAGCTGGGAGGTGCCTCGTTGGAGAAGACGGGTGCATTGTGTCTTGACTTCCATAAATGACGACTTTGAGGTATCTGATTTCTCGCTTCCAAGCTGAATTTCTTTATTCACTCTTGGAATGCCTATAAAAAGTGGCAAATGAATGTGTTTGAACCCTCTATTTAAAACTGAAATGGGGCTCTAACTAAATTAGATCTCTTTCTCTTGTGGCGGAGGTGGATCATCCTACACTGGAGGCTCTCTGTGAGCAGTTTCTGGAGAGTGACACTCGGCTGTCTTTCAGCCCGTAGGCAAAAATTCCCTGGTTGCCTCAGGAGCGGCTCCCACAGCCTTTACTAAGTCTTGTTTCCTAGCAGAGTCCATTTAGGGGCTGCAGAGTTCAGCTGTTTGCCAGAAGTTAGTAATGTCTACTTGTATGACCAGCTTTTGTACTTTGCCTAAGAGAAAACCTGCTCTGTTCCTTATTTCTTGGGGAGAAGTGCTAATTAAGCTCCTCCTTTGTGACACCTGAGAAAGGCAGGCTGGACCTTGTTTGGACGGCAGCCGATGGGAAGGTTTGGACCAAGCAGGGGCTCATTGCAACAGAACACTTAATGGCATGGCTTGCCTGATGTTACCTCTTCATGTAGCCCCTCATTCATCTGACTGTGAGCAGAGGTTGCAGCCGGCTCCTGGCTCCTCCTGCAAGGGCTTTGATTCCATAACTGTGGCCTGCCTGTCTGCCGGCCTGCCTGAGCTGTCATTTTACTCTTATCTCTCTTGCATGTTTTAATTGCTGCTGCCTTTTGCTCCAGGCCAAGCTTCCCCGGGGGATCCACCAGGTGCGTCCCCACCTGCAGAACATTGACAACGTGCCTTTGCTCGTTCCTCTGTTTACAGACTGCACCCCAGAAAGTAAGTGAAGGTCAGGCCACTGCATTCTTGACGGCAGGGGGAGACCCTGTGGAAACCTGTAACCCCACAAGCTCTTTCCTCCCCCCCTTTCTCTCATAGCCATGTGTGAGATGATCAAGATCATGCAGGAATACGGGGAGGTCACCTGCTGCCTGGGCAGCTCTGCCAACCTGCGTAACAACGGCCTTTTCCTCCAGAGCGACATCAGGTGAGGCCCAAGTGCGGGAGTGGGGGCGCCGCTGGCAGGGCAGGGCAGGGCAGGCACCGCTCGGCTGGCTTGGAAGAAAGGATGACCTCGGTCTCTCTCTCCGTGCGTGCTCCTTTCCTGTCCCTGGACCTACGTCTCTGATGGCTTCCGCCTTCAGCTGAAGTACCGTTGCATCCCAGCTCATGACTGAACTAGGGAGTTCACTACCACAAGGTGCAGTGATGGCTGCCCGCTTGGATGGCATTAGAAGGGACTGGACAATGCGTAGGGGATAGGCCTGGAAGAGAGAGAGGGGCCGCTGGGCTTGATGGGTCTCCTCAGAAGACATTTGCCCCTGAAGGGGAGTCTGACTCAAGAGTGCTGTTTCACTCACGTCCTGCTGGTGGGCTTCCCAGAGGCTTCCGCTTGGCCACCATGGGGCCAGAAGGCTGGATTACCAAGGCCTCAGTGTGGTCCATTGGGACTGTTCTTGTGTTTTGATGCTTTCATGTCAAGCATCACTGAGACCGAATCTCCTCTTGAGGTTCTTGCTTTGCTTTCCCTTGGTGGTGTACTTCATGCTCTAGTGTGGAACAACATCACCATCTCCAGGGTGGGGAAGATGTGGCTTGACTTTGCCTCCCATCAGCTTTAGCCTTCACAGCCAGTGGAGAGGGCTGATGAGAACGGAAGTCCAAATACAGCCCAACGGTCACACAGTAGCCGTTCCTTTGCTGGTACCTCCTTATGACTGGTGGGGTGGGCAACAGTAGTTGGGTTTGGAAAGGGGGGGGACTCTGTATGTACTACTGGACTCTGCATGGGACTTGCTTTGGTGGGCTTTGTCTGGCACCCTGACCCAGCAGGAAGGAACCTTCCTGTATGCCGGCGGCCCCTCTTATCTCCAGATGGGATTGATGATGCATGTGCCTTTCTAGCAAAGCAAGAATGATGCTGGGAGGACGTTGTAAAGAAGGCAGGGATGGATTTAGATAAAGACAGAGAAGCCTGTTGGGAGCCCTCGGGCAACTGTCACTTCATTCATCCTTCAGATCCATTCTGTTAAAAATGTCTTACGGAAATCTAACAGCTTAAGATGAGTGATGCAGGGTTTGTTTGAAGAAACGTGGAAGTTCAGTTATGTTGGAATGATTCAAGTGGTGGAGAGGGGCTGATTGGGTGGCACTGTTGTTGTTGTTGTTGTTGTTGTTGTTGTTGTTGTTGTTGTTGTTGTTAACCCTAAAGAAGCCCCAAAGGTAGCTTGTGGCTCAGTGAGGCTCTCACTGCTGTTCCAGGGCCCCTTTGTTCTCCCCTTTCTTAACTCCTGCTGCACCCGCTCTGTTCCATTCTGTCTAGAGGACTGAGAAACGCCCTACTTTGTGACATGCAGTCATGCACGAGGCAAAGGTGTTTGGGTTGTGTAGTGGGTTTGGTTGCCGCCTTTCCCCTGAAAAACCACGTCAGATACAATTTAGATACAGTTTTCAGTTCAGTACCTTTTGCTCGCTGTCCCCCACACCCCAACACAGCAGGGTGTGTTGTCCTTGGTGGGGGAGCAGCCGTCAAGACAGACTCTTACGAGGAGGGGGGGTTTCCTAGTTTTTCAATGCCTTTCAAAGTTTAGGTCGGTGGGAACCAGGCTCAGGCTACGGTGTCTGCAGACTTAGCCAAGGGTGTTATTCACAGTAAAATAAATAGGATGAACAAATATATGACAAAGGAATTTCGGGGTAAATCTGATTCTTGTTGATTTTATTTAAAATATTTATATACCACCTTTCTCCTAAAGGATCCAAGGCAGCCTATAGTATTAAAAGAAACAAAGTTAAAAACTAAAATAGTAAATTGCTGCTATATTTAAAAAGAATTACACAAATATATTGAAACTTATGAGCAATATTAGAAACACATTAAAAACTACAGAATACAATAATCCCTTTAAAATTTCCTTGATTAACCAGTTTTGGAAAGCCCACTTGAAGAGAAAGGTATTTGCCTATTTGCAGAAGGACAGCAAAGATGGGGTTAGCCTGATGTCCAGTGGGAGGGAGTTCCAGAGTCTGGGAGCAGCAACAGTCTAATTATAGTTTGTTCCTTGAACTAAGAGGATGTGTATAAATTTAGCTTTCAGTGTAACTGGTCTAGTTGGCACTAACAACTGAATTTAGATCCATGTATTTTAGTTTGGTATTTTATTTATTTATTTGAAACATTTATAAACTGCTTACACCTAAAGATTTCAAAGCACTGTACACCAGCCAGAAAATGTACAGCACAAAAAATATACAGAATTCGTGTGTGTAGAATCTGCAATGCTCATAAAAGCAATAAGAGGACTGAATTGTGTAGCCATACATCCTGTCTTAGCTTTCCTTAATGTAAGTTTGTTTCCTGCATACGTGTGTGTGTTGGACTTTGTATTATTTGTTAACTACTTTAAAAGTAAATATGGAAGGACAGGGTGTACATTTTTTTTCCAGAAAGTGAATTACTGGGTCAACGTACAGTTGGAAAGGTACAGTATTACTTTTCTAGCCAAATTGTTTTATTTTTGTTATGACCGGTCATAAGGGCACCTTGACTTACTGTGGCCTGACCTGGTTTGTTTTTGTTTTTTTGTTTTAAAGTAGAGGAAGAAACCTGCCAACCTAGCAGTTCGAGAGCATGTAAAAAGGCGAGTAGATAAATAGGTACCACCTCGGTGGGAAGGTAACAGCGTTCTGTGTCTAGTTGTGCTGGCCACGTGATCACGGAAACTGTCTACAGACAAACGCTGGCTCTACGGCTTGGAAACGGGGATGAGCACTGCCCCCTAGAGTCGGACACGACTGGACTAAATGTCAAGGGGAACCTTTACCTAGGAAGAAAAGCATTTCTTTTTGTTTTAAAGTAGAGGAAGAAAAGCACTTCCTCTATTGCAATGAATTTTCCGTCTCATTGCAATGAGATGGAAAACACACAGTTGCTATGTTTTCCATCTCATTGCAGTGACTTGAGCTGCTCCTTTGATGTGGGTGGCAAGGAAGTCATAAGAAAAGTCTTGCTGGATCAGCCCAAAGCCTAGTCTGCTTTGGTATCCTCTTCTCTAGTATTATTCAGCAGGTGCCCCAAAGCAAGACGTGCTTCTTTCCCACCATTGATGTCTTAGCTACTGACAGTGAGAGGGCATTACTGCCTCTTACCCAGCAGGGAATAAGCTGCCTTATTCCGATCTATCACTGACCTATAATTTACCTGTCTTCAAAAACATCTCCCTATCTTTGATCATTGCTATTTTTTTGGTGGGTATAACCAGACTTATTCTCTCTTATGTTTTCATCCAACAGCATAGCCCTGGACCCTCTTTATCCCTCCCGCTGCTCCTGGGAAACGTTTGGTTATGCCACCAGCACTAACATGACTCATATCTCTGAGGAGCTCACTCCTCTACAGCTCTCTGGCCAGCTGAACAGCCTGTCCTGCTCCTTGTCTATTTATCCTGAAGAAACTCTTGGGATCATCAGACTTATAGAGCAGGTGAATGCCTTTGTTCTGTTCTTGAATGTGGGATAGATAGTGCTACCGTTGGGTGGATTTGTTATTGGTTGACTGAATGAACCGCAAGGGTGCTCACCGATGGCTCCCCTTCGTCCTGGAAAGAGGTGCCTCAGGGTCCTGTTCTGGGTCCCGTGTTATTCAACATCTTTATCAGTGACTTGGATGAAGGAATAGAGAGTACTGTATGTTGATTAAATTTGCAAACAGGGGTTGCTAATTTCCCAGTGGACAGGATTAAAATTCAAAATGACCTTGGCAGATTAGAGTCCTGGGCCAAAACTAACAACATGAATTTCAACAGGGAGAAGTGTAAGGTCCTACAGCTAGGCAGAAAAAAAATTAACTGCACAGATATAGGATGGAAGACACCTCGCTAGACAACAGGACCTGTGAAAGGGATCTAGGAGTCTTGGTAGACCACAAGCTGAACATGAGTCAGCAGTGTGATGCGGCTGCCAAGAAAGCCAATGCGATTCTTGGTTGCATCAATGGGAGTATAGTGTCTAGATCAAGGGAAGTGATAGTACCACTCTATTCTGCTTTGGTCAGGCCTCACCTGGAGTATTGTGTCCAGTTCTGGGCACCTCAATTCAAGAAGGATGTTGACAACCTGGAACGTGTCCAGAGGAGGGCGACCAAAATGGTTAAAGGTCTGTAAGTCATATCCTATGAGGAACGGCTTAGGGAGTTGGGAATGTTTAGCCTTACAAAAAGAAGATTGAGAGGGGACATGATAGCCATGTTTAAATATTTGAAAGGATGCCATGCTGAAGAGGGGACAGGTTTGTTTTCCAGGGCTCCAGAGACTAGGACACGGAGCAATGGTTTCAAACTACAGGAAAAGAGATTCCATCTGAACACTAGGAAGAATGTCCTGACAGAGCTGTCCTGCAGTGGAATAGGCTGCCTCGAAGGGTGGTGGAGTCTCCTCTTTTGGAAGTTTTTAAGCAGAGGCTGGATGGCCATCTCTTGGGAGTACTTTGATGGATGTTCCCACATGGTGGGAGGTTGGAATGGATGGCCTCAGTGGTCTCTTCCAACTCTGTTACTCTAGAGGGGTGATACAAGCAGTTGCTGTTTCACCATTGATGTCCCTTCTGAATTAAGTATTGATGATTGTGACATTTTAGCATCTGTAATAACTTGGCAATTTTTAAAAAACCCAATCTGTATCTTTCCAGTTCAGTCTGGGTTAATTTTCATTTCATTCTCTCTTGTATCTAACGTATAGAAGTGTCTGAATATAACTGTATATGTCAAAAATGTAGTTTTAAATGTGTTTAGCATCGATTTTATTACCGTTTTTGATATAATACTTGTTTAATTATTTTTAAACATTCATATGCCTACTGTTCCTAGCTTTTAAATATTGTATCTTCAATGATGTTAGCTGCCTTAGGTTCTTTGTAAAAAGATAAAAATATTTTAAAGAGAGAGGGAGTGAGAGAGTCTTTTGTTCTGTTTTTTGATGCTGCAAAGGTAACTGATACATTGGAATGCCCCCCCCTTTTTAAATCTTAATCACAATTTAAATATTGATCAATTTTAAGAACTGGTTTATTTAGTCATCCCCTCAAAGCATCCTTGATTATAAATAGTCTCTGTTTGGAGACGTCTCCTGTGACTTGGCATCCGTGTCCATGTTTATTTTCATGTAGCAGCTTCTGTGTGCTGTAGATCAAGAATAAACCACTTGGGGCCTTCCAGTTATGGTGGGACTGTAGGTCTCAGTAGGCCTCTCGCACGTGGCCAGAAAGGGCTATGTCGGCCAATTTGCTCCTAGTTTTCACTGCGCCTAATAACAGATGCTCTTTGTTTTAGGCCAGGCACGCAACCTATGGCATCCGCAAGTGCTTCCTCTTCTTGTTACAGTGTCAGCTGGCTCTGGTCATCATCCAGGTGAGTTGTGCTGAAGGACAAAGCGGATGTCTGGGAGAAAGGAAAGGACGACGGCAAGGAACAGGGACACAGAGGTTAAGCGCTCCTTTGTCAGCGGTCTTCGTTGTCTCCGTGCCCCTGGGCTTGGCCTATCTAAGACCCCCCAAACATCTTAATGGTGCGCTTTTGGATTGAATTCTAAATCTGTTTCTCCCACATACTGGAATCAACTGTGAATGGAAGGCTGTGTGTACTTGCCTTCCCTAATTTTGTTCTGTTTTTCAAAATTAAGGTATTCTAGTGTTTGGGTTTTTCTCAGCCTGGGCTTGGAAAAGTAGAAGGGATTTAGAGGTAAATTTTTTTAACAGATGGAAAAAAGGTTTTATGAATATGAATTTAGGAGCAAAGGAACCCAGGGGCAGGGTGGGGGAGGATGAAATAAATACAGGACTTGGTGCAGGAAGCTTTTGTTCTATCCTTAACCCTTAGAAGATCTGGCTAGAATTTTTGTGACTTTTTTTTCCTCTAAGCATTTCAGAGACTGGCCTTATGGTAGCCCCCTGCCCTGCCCCATGCAGAATTCCCAAATATTTTTCCAAAAATAAGCAAAATAATTCCCTCCCTCTCTTTTAATAAATTAAAAGCCACTCCTAGAAAGATGCCTGGGCTATGGAATTCTGTGCTGTATGTGTAGATTTAGTTCTGCCCTTTATAAAGAGGGGTTGCTCCTTGGTAGCTTCTCTCCTTACTAGATATTTTGGTCACTTCCAGAACTCTCTTGGAGGGAAAGAGCCAATGGGCTGTAGCTTGATTATGCTCATCCAATCCCAGGGAATGAAAGCATCGTTTTCTTAATAACAAAGCCCAAGCGAACTGGGATTGTTGGCTCCCCACATTCTGTGTATGGCAGCAGCTGCCAGCTTAACCTTCTTGACTTCTCCCTGCTTGATTGATGGCATTTATGTGCCACTTTCCTGCCATAACACCGCAGTGTTTGATAATCTTAAAACATTGGAACAAACAAATAACAGCACATTTAGAACAGGGAAACTCATGAACTCTTTGCCCCACCAATCGGTCTTTTCAGGAATAAATGGCATCAACTGCTTGGCCTGGGTTTCCTTTCTGCTTTCATCCTCAGAGTTTGGAAGCCCCTGGTTAGGGATACACAAATAATTTGAATTAGTTCCATTTTATAAGGACATGTGTTACATTCCAATTTGATTTACTTTTTCTTGTGTAATCGCAACGTTTCACTGATTTTTGTACTTGTGGGGAGTATGTGAGGTGGAATACGCTGTGGTCCAAGGCCATTTTGCGTTTTGCCTCATGATGCTGCCTCACCTTCTGTTGTGAGCGTTCAGGCAGCAGCGATGTGGGATGGGAGGAGAGTGTGTTTGGTGCCTGAGGTGTTTGGAATTTTTGAGTAACCAAAAACAAATAGTTCAATAATTTGTGAGAAAGGAAAGTACTAGTTACTTTTTAAACCTTCCAGGTAGCATCTTTTGTGGGGTGATGCCTTGAAACTGTAGCAAATGTCTTTTGTGAACTAATTTTCCAAGCCTGGCCTCCTTTCCATGCACAGAGATCTCCATGCAGTGTCAGGGAAGGTGGAGAGGAACTGTTACAGCCTCTCTCGGGTGGACTGACTGAGGTTCCCTTTGAAAGCCAGGGACACAAGGCTCCTTCCCTGGGGCTTTTCCCTTTTCCCTGGGCTTTTTCCTGTGTCTGTGAAACACGTAGGTGGCTTTGCTGGGGGACACACCCAGAGGGTTCCATTCTCCCTGCTGACCATACTTTTTGTTGTGTTTTGCTTAGTTCCTCTCTTGCCTGGTGCAGCTGCCCCCCATTCTCAGCACCACAGACATTTTGTGGCTTTCTTGCTTCTGCTACCCACTCCTAAGGTACGTTTTTGCCCGTGATCCATGAGCATGCTTCTCTGTGGGGCTCTTGACTGGGGATCGGTTCCTTTTCCAAAAACCCGACAGGGGCACAAGGGGGACTGAGGCCTGATTGTTATGTTGGAGGCTGCTTGAGCTGTTGTCATAGCAACAGCTCTTTCTGAGGGCCATAATGCCCAGGAGCCTATACGGGCTGGTCTTAGAGGGCGCTGGGTGCAAACCCTTGTTGTGGGCAGAGTTTGCTGTACCACTGCGGCGCCCGTCTCCTAGTGTCAATGTACAGATTTCTCTGCTCAAGGAAGCCAATAGATTAGGTAAGCTGCTTTGGTTCATCATCATAAACCTGGTGTGGGACTGCTTCCCCAAGGAAGTGTTTCCAGCATTTCTCTGTCCGGATGTTGTACATCTTGATTCATTCTCCAAAGGGACGAAGAAATTGAATCTCTGACAGTTATTTAAATGGTTATGTCTTCTGTTTACATTCAGCTGATGGCAGGTCTAACTGTGCCCCCAAGTTTTGGGGCTGAAAGAAGAGTTGCAAATAAAGCCAGTCCGTTTGGCCCCTTTGGTATCATATGGGGGGTAGGGCGGGAAGTATGCACATGGGTGTGGGGAGATAGCTCTTACTTAGGAAGTGGACAGATTTAATCTTCTCCTAACAGAAGGGAGATCCAATCCCTTCAGAGTCAGTGCAGTAGAGTGTATACAGCACTGGACTAGGATTCAGCAGCCCTGAGTTCAAATCCCTGCTTGGCCATGGAAGCTCACTGGGGGTGGGGGTGCCAATGGTAAACCATTATTTGAATTTCTTGTATAGTATTAATGTCTCTATTAGTCGGATGTGATGTCATAGCCCATAACATAATAGCAGAGATGCTGTAAACTGGAAAGGAGACGGCAGGGCAAGGGTCAGAAAGAGAATTGTCTACTTGAAGGGGTTTTATATGCTGGCCAGTTAAAACTCTCTCAGTGTAGGAAATTCAGGGCTAATGCATCTCCCACTGATGGCTCAGCAGCCTCTGCCCGGAAACCTCAAGGGACCAAGGGTCTACCCCTGCCCCCTTTATAATCTGCTTCATCAGTTCCTCCTGAAGTTCAATCCCAAACACACCTTTTTCAAAGGATGGTTCTTGTCCTGTGGTTCCGCAGCAATGGGATTCAATCTCCCATTGCTGTTCAGATGCCAGGAAAACCCTCTGTCACTGGAAAGCTTGTTGTCTTCTCTTCTGCTCAGTTAGGATGGGCAAAACCAGGAAGTACGGTAGGATTTTGATTCTGGGAAGGTGTGTGTGGAGGCAGCGGAGTAACTGTCACCTGGATAGGTGGGGAAGAAAGAGGGTGGGAGCAGAAATTCAGCGGAATTCCCCTTGCCCTGCAGTTACTAGGGAGACTATTCCAGGAATGCGTTCTTTTTGCTGGCAAAGGAATGGATGATGGGATTGGCAGCCCAACATCATCATCTAGTAAGCCATGTGTTGCCCACAGTACTGCTGTGAATAGTATGATAGAAGATAACCATTGCAGATGGGTGAGTGCTCTGGCCTTATGTAAGGCAGCATCCTCCAGCAGTTGCTTTCTGTTTTGTTGTTGTTTAAGTTTCCTGCTATTCCTCGCTAATTCCAGCAGTTGCTTTCTGTTTTGTTGTTGTCGTCGTCGTTGTTTAAGTTTCCTGCTATGCCTCACTAACTCTAGTCTTGTCTCTTCCAAGTGTGTCCCTCCTGGGCAAACCTCCTCATAGTTCCATCATGTCTATGGCCACGGGGAAAAATCTGACCTCCATTCCTAAAAAGGTAAGGGAGAAAAAGTTCTGATTTGACAGGAGTTAGCTAGGGTGTGAAGAAGCATCAGAAAATATTAAGGTTTTCTGATCAGCTGCTGCCAGATGATATTAAGGGTTGGACCAAGACTTGTGTGTGAGTTCTAGTTTGCGCTTCCTAACCTTACCAGATCTTTAGCATGCGGAGTTGTGTGGCTTCCAGCTTTTGGACCGGTTCCTGCTTTCTTCACCCCATGGCCAGTGAGGCAGCTCTGCTGCTGGCCGGTGATTACAACAAAATTGTCTCTTTCTCCCTTTCTGCAGCAAACTGGGATCCAAACTAAATGGTACATCATAAACGTGTGTGCATTTAACATGCCTGATTTGTCTATTTCTAAAGCAACATGTGTGTCTGTATGTGCATGAGTAGGCTCAGGATTGCCTAGAAGGGATTGTTAACTCCAGAAAGGAAGCTTCCAGGTTTGGTCCGGTTTCTGGCTCAGGTTCTAGACACAGATCCTTTTAATTGCCCTGCTAGACAATTTGCACTAGAAGATGGGCAGTGGGCGTGTGACCTCATTGATTCTCCTGAGCATCTGTGCAGGATCTGATACCCTAACCCTGTTAACCCCTTGGGCTGCCCGGCAGGAATCAAGCCAGGGCATCAGCATCATATTTGGGCATTTCCAGATAAGTCCTCCCTCTGGGAAACAAGTCCAAGAGTGAGGACTTACCTGGAAATGCCCAAATACAATACTGATCCCCCAGGAAACAAGTCCCAGAGTGGGATTCTGAGCAGCTGCTGCCCTGCTTGACAGCTGATAGCTTCTGAGCTTCTGCAGGATCCATTCTTGTTCACTAGACTTCTCTCAGTAGCTGCATGAAGTCACTGGTGTCATCTGGAAGGTTTCGTTACGATTTGGCGTACGTGCTGTTACTCATTTTGAGCTGGTCCTAGGAACATTTTTTGAACCCCCTGACCTGAAGTCCAAGTCCTGACTTGCTAACTGTCCGGGGACCAGCATCACGGTTGCAGCCGCCTGCTTAGGTTTGGCTGCGTGGGGGTGGGGGGAGTAGTGATATGGCGACTTATGGCTTGCGTGCCGGTGGAAAGGGCTCTGTGTGCCAGCTGTGGCACGCGTGCCATAGGTTCACCATCGCTGCCATGGGGCATTCCTTCCTGTCCCTTCTGCAACCTTTTGTGACATCTGAAAAGATGCTCCAGGGTTTCCTGGCCTTATTTCTTCACCCCCCTGCTCAGTTCTTGGGGGGGGTAGTTGTCCCACCCCCATTAGCAGAAGCTGTTTCATCCACAGAATGACTGTCCTGGAGTTCCTCTGTGGGTTGAAAATGCGGATCAGCATCATCCATTGGTGCCTGCCACCGTTTAGTTTGGGCCTAGGGAGGCGGCACAGAAGAGTCCCTCGTTGGTTTGGGATGGCTGGCAAATGGGCTTTGTTCCCTGAACCCACCACGGGTGAATCTGGGCTTTAGGTAGGAGCAGTGGGACCAAGCCAGTCACAGCCTTCATATGACTTCTGTAAGTAACGGTGGTGTTCCTGGTGTTGTTTGCAGACTCAGCACTACTTCCTGTTCTGCTTCCTGCTGAAATTCAGCCTCACCATCTGTTCCTGCTTGGCTTGCTTTGGCTACATGCTGCAAGATTACTGCACACACTTCAACTCGTCTGCCTTCACCGTGAATGTCACAGGCTGCTCCTCCATCATGCTGAGCAGGTAAGAGGCAAGTCTCTACTGGAGCTTCCAAGTGTATGTTTGTTTTGCATTTGTTTTATTTATAGCTTCCTTTCTTTCTACAAATAAGCAGTGCGAGTGGGACTGATCTACACGATTTAGCATGGCTTTTGAGAACGCACTATGATTTGGATCTTTCTGGTATTTGAACTGTTCCAGTATTTTCCCCAAAGATTGGGCTAGAAAGGTGGGAAGTCATAAAGTGCAGGTTGGTGCTACTCAGTGTGTAGGGGAAACGTAGCTGGGATTGTGGAGACACAGGAAAGGAGCTGCCGTTTGTATAGAAAGTATTAATCCCTGTTAGCCGCTGCTGAGTCCACTCTGGATTCTAATCTTATTTAAAAATCTTTTTAGATATTTGCAGCTTTTGATAAGGACTAGAAATGGAGTTCATTAAAAAAGTATTTGTTTTGCAAATGTATAGCTTTCCATGAAGGTTAACAGAACATCAGCTACAGAAGTTGGGTATATTTGTGTGTGTGTGAGAGAGAGAGATGGAGAGAGGGTAGGTATATAGGGTGAAAACAAGGCATGAGACAAGTAACCAGACCAAACAACAATGGATGCAAAAAAATAAGTAACTGGCAGTGCCCAGCCAATGAATAAAATGTACATGTCAATAAAAGATATTTAATAGTACATACCAAGCTATAATTTAAGATCATTCCATATGGGTTTCAAAAAGAGTAGGTATTCACATTAAAGGCCCGATCCTCGTAGTCTCACCGATGGCAGGCTTCGCGCGTTGAATGGAGCACACAAGGCAGGGGTTAATAAACAGAGGCAGTTGCTGTTCCCTGACCCTTTAAAATGGCACTGGGACAATGAGTACTCCAGAACTGTGGACTGGATTCTTCAAGGAACAAGTGCCGTTTTTTATTCAGAATGCCCCTCAGCTAATTGTACTTCTGCCTTATCTAAATTGAGTTTCAGATCTTTGACCCCCATTCAGTCCTTGGCAGCTGAAAGGCAATGTATTGAAGTTTCTTCAGACTGCCTAGAATTTGTTGAAAGTGTCAGTCAGGCAAGTTTAGGAGAGTTAACACTGAGCATCATCAACACAGGGATGATTCCTCATCCCCCGGATCTCCACCAGCCTTTTCCTATGAAGACGAGAGCTATGCAACCGCGGCCCTCTGGCAGTCCAATGAATACCAAAAAGCTCATACTTCTCATCCCCACTGTAGAGGGAAATCTGCCACACCGCATAATCCAAGAGGCAAAACAGCCATTCTCCCCAACACCTCATTCTGAGACACAAGCTCTGGAAACAAATGGAACCACTCCAGGATTCTGTGCCAGCATCCAGCAGGTGGCCCAGAAACATGCCACCTTTGAGGGTAGTGCCTGGCACCAAGACGGCCAGGAGAATCCCTTGCTCCATTTCTTGGGTGTGAGCTTCTCTTATGGAGGCATGCATAATCGTGACTCTACCTCTTACTTAGTTGAATGGAACAAGACGTTGATCATATATGGAGAGGAGAGGAGAAGGAAGGCCAGGCATATCGCCTTGAGTTCAGCACTTGAAAGGCCAGGTGTTGATGTAATAAATAAATAACAAGCCACCAGCACTCTAGCACTGTAGAGTTACATCATCATCAAAGGTCTCAATCTAAAATAGCCTAGATTGTGTAGGTCTTGCTGGAGTTCACAGGAGAGAGCACTGAAATGACAGTAGCAGGCGGTCTCAGACCCAGCATATGGGCTTTGCCACTCAGCAGTTTTCTCCCTTGCTGTAACTGTTCTGTGCTTTGGGCATAGGTTTAGCTGTATGATTACAGCTGTTGATTAGATGATGCCTGTAACATCGCTGATGGCCGCTAGCTAGTTCCCTGGATCTGTCTCCATAGGTCTGGCACCAGGGAGGGGTGTAGATAGAGAGTATCAGATAGTAGAGAATGCGTACCTTGGTGTTAATGCTCTGAGTTAGTAGGAAAAACAGTCTCACAAGTAGCTAAATTAGTGCCCCTTGTGTGCCGTTTCTTCAGACAGAATTCATTTGTGGCCTTAAACTTGACCCATCCTGCATGATGTCCTTCCATTTGCTTTTTTTAGTGATGCAGCCGCACCCCCTGACTGGTTTGGCTCTTTCTCCAACATTCTTCTCCTGGCCCAGAAGTTTACAGCTGGAATGATTGTCTTACACATTGGTAAAGGGGTTTCCATGCCGTATTGCTTTGCAGCCTTTGCTTTGGGGAAGAGGGAGGTTCTACTTGCATATGGTTGGTCAGGACACTTTTCGGCAGCCACTTTGTTCTGGTCAAACATACTTTGTAGGGACCCCACAGGGAGAAAATGCCATACAGTGAGTTTGCCTATGGAAACTTTTTTCATAGAGATGGATTTCATAGTCATGGAACGGGAAGGCCCTCGGTATACTTCCGGCCTAGACCAGCCCAAACAATTGCTAATCCACTCTTTTCTTTCAGAGGAGGGGATGCTGCCACTTCAGGTGTGTAGGGTTTTCTTCCACTAGGTCATGGTATTCCTAGGGGTGGGGTTCAGATGGGGGCTCCATGTGTCTGTGTGGGCACAGCTGTGTCCCTTCCCTCAGAACCATCCCCGATTAGAATGTTAAAAACTGTTCACAGAATTCTAGTCTTCAGAAAACAAACATAGCTTGCCCAGTCACACAGCCGAGATGCGGCTTACCGCCTCCCCTTTTAGCCGCTGTTAGTCAGCACAAGGTACACAAACCTTTCTCCCTTTAAACACTTGTGTAGCTTCCTCTGTACGTCTGTGGCAACATCTCAGGTGAAGAAGCATGCTGTTTTTCCTTCACAGTATTTATATCTGTCACCCATGTCCATCGCACCAAGCCACTGTGGAAGAAAAGCCCCTTTACAAACTTCTGGTGGACTCTGACCGTAATTGTTGTGTGAGTATCTTGTGTTGGATTCTTTCTGATTCAGTGCAGCTGGAATTATTGTCAGCCTTCTGGAACTTTCTCATTCATTTCCTCGGCCTCAAATGTGTTCATTCCACTTGAGCTTCTCCTTTATGCCATCCAGCGTTGATACTGCCCTCCATTATCTTACTCTCCATGCCTCTTTCTGTTGTTTGCTTCCCTTCCACAGCATCCTTCCGCTAATTTCAAATACCCCATTTCTGTTGTTTCAGCAGGGATCACAAAAATCTCTGGCTTGGCCCTTGACCCAGACTGTGCAAATATTCCAGTCTTCAGACCCAGGGATGGAGGAAGGGTGGCCCTCTTGATATCATTGCACTGCAACTCCCAGCATTTCTTTCCAAGGGCTGGGCTAACTAAGGTTAATGGGAGTTACAGGCCAACAGCATCAGGAGGGACACATTGTCCTGTTTGGGTTCTCAGTTTTGCTGTTAGAAAATTGTACATCTAGCCCACTGGCGTAATATGACCCAACACTATGTTATGTGTGGAAGTCGTTCACTGCCTTTGGGGATTCCTTCCTCTTTTGACAGATGCCATTTTAGTACCCTGTTTCCCCGAAAATAAACCTAACCTGAAAACAAGCCCTAGTAGGATTTTTGCAGGATGCTCGTAATATAAGCCCTACCCCCCCAAAATAAACCCCAGTGAAGTGAAACCCCACCCTCTACCCTTGTGCAGCAACCAGAAAAAGATGACATGACTGCATTGGAATAAATGTAGACGGTTGTACATGAAAAAAAAAATCCCCTGAAAATAAGCCCTAATGCATTTTTGGAGCAGAAATGAATATAAGACCGTGTCTTATTTTCGCGGAAACACATTCGCTTCCTGAAAGGCAAAATGGAGAAGTAGAATCCTGGGATGGGACTTCAAAAACCTCCTGTCTGTGGGCCCCATCAGCCAAGTGTGGTTGTTCTGTTTTAAATGACAGGTTGCTTGGTCAGGTCATCCAGACCTTCTTGGATCTGACACTCTGGGTTAACCGTGAATCTCCTGTGACCTACCAAATGGATGACATTCCCATGGCTTCCTGGCTGCTGGGGTTGCTCTCCCTTATCCTTGTTGTGATCATCAATGAGGTGGTCAAACTCCATGAAATCAGGTAAGGGAACCTTGTCCCATGGCCTTGTTAGCATGTGTGATAAAAGGTTTCCACGACTCTCCTTGCATCTCCTGTATGCAAGCTAGATCATCCTCACAATGTCTGTGTGAAGTGCCTCAGCATCGTCCTTGTTCCCATGGTAGAGATGATGGAGAGTAAGGATACTGAGGCTGAAAGGGAATGGCTTATCCCAGGACCACCTGGCATGAGATATAAATCGAGACTACCTGATGGATGATTAGTTCTTCCAACCACAGTCCCGCCCCAACAGTTGAGTGGTTTTAGGTCAAATCTCGATGGGATCAGGAGGAAGAGAAAGAGAAGGACTTTGTTTTCACATTAGCATATTAAACTGATGTGCGAAGCAAGACTTATTCCCTGGAAGGAATGCTATGCAAGGAGAGGAGCCCATACCCGGAACGGTTTTCTTTGTCATCATAGTGATAGGGAAATAAGTGCCAGCCTTTCTGCATTCCTCACGGCTTCCCAGGATGGTGGTTTGAACACCATTAGGCATCAGTCCCTTTTGCCAGACTGAGTATTCCCCTCTTGCTTGTTCTCAGTTTGGAAACTAGGAGATGGCCAAACATGGAGGTTCTGTTGTTCTCTTTAGGAGAATGGGTGATCCAACCTGTTTTGTTTTTTTAATTTGAAAAGAATCTAGGCTGCAGGGGCTGAAATACTGATTGTCAAAAAGGTATTTCAAGGGGAAACTGTTGACTTTGCTATAAACAGACATACCAGCAATAATGTTTCAAAATACATAGATCCAATGTTACAGCTTTATGCCACGGGAAGGGAGATGTTTGTAGGGCAATGAATGGTCACAGAAACAATTTAAAAAGTTGAAGAGTCAAAAATATTGCGCTCATGGGGGGCGTGTCACTCAGGGGTCAGGAGGAAGAGTCAAAAATATTGCGCTCATGGGGGGGCGTGTCACTCTCTCAGGGGGCAGGAGATCTGTGTCCATGGCCTGGTCCTGCCTAGGCTGTGGACTGCTGCCGGGTCGTGGACTGGGGGTTGGGGACCCCTGGTGTAGGGGATAGATAGAGTGATAGATTAGGACTCGGGAGAACTAAATTCAAATCCCCACATGGCCAGGGAAAGTACACTGGGGGGGGGCAGTGTGTTTGGCAATGGAAAAACACTCCTTAAATATCTCGTGTATCTTCAACCACTTGTTAGCATCTCTGTAAGTCAAGTGGAACTTGACCGCACACACCAAAATCACAGAATAGCTGGGTTTGATGCAAAAGCTTCTGTAGAGCTTTTGAAATCAGATACTCCATTCATTTGGATTGGGGAGACATATTAGGTCTCCCTGAAGTCTGTGTAGACTGTGCATGCATCCTATAATGAATGTACTCATTGCACCGTGGGAGAATTGTGTCAGATGTTGACAAGAGCTTGGATAGGATTATTTTGGGGGCTGAAATGCCTCAGATTTCCCAGTCATTGTGGGAGCAACACCTCTGGCTGTTGATGATCTCAAAGAGAAGTCATTTTTCTGTCTTTACTATTTTGAGGAACTTCTGATAAATTTTCCAAGGGCCCCAAAACTCCCTCGACGACACCTTGAGGAGAAGGGCCGGACCAACCCACTATGTGAACTGAACTTGCTTTTACAACGTGGGTAGATCAGACACTGAGACGATCTGTCCTTGCCTTTCCCTCTCATTTGCTTCTATTCTATTCTTTTTCCCTCCCCTCTCCCCACACACCCTGATGTAGAGTTCGAGTGCGTTACCAGAAGAGGCAGAAGCTGCAGTTTGAAACCAAGCTGGGCATGAATTCTCCATTTTAATCCCCACCGACAGCACAGCTGCATGCTCCTTTCTCACATGGCCTCGTACCACAGGTGGGGAAGAAGAGCGGCCTCCCTTGCTAACCCCTTCGGCAGGAAAGGGTCGAGAAGGACCAGCCGCGTGGGGGGAGAGGGCTTCCGCAGGACCTCTGGTGAAGCTTCCGTAACAGGGCGATGGCACTGATAGCACACAGACGGCGGCTCCTCCTTTTATTTATTTGAACACCTCTTCCCTTGGCGTTCCTTGGAATCCAGCAGATTGGCCTGGATCCAGGAATGTGTTGTCTTGCAAGGAATTCTCATTTTGATCTTGGTTCCCCAGCCTTTCCTAATCGGACTTTTCGACGGTCACCCTCCTTGCCTTGTTGACTTCCCTGTCAACGGTTGCCTCCATTCGTGTGTGGTAATGTTTCTTGTCTCTGGCGGCTTTGGGGGATTCAGCCACCCCCACACCACACCACCCCCAGGAGGCTGCAATTCCCTGTAACCAAGGCTGCTTCTCTTAAATTGGCACCGATAGGAGTGCCCTCTTCTGGAAGGGGAGCAAGGTTGCAGTCGGTCTGGGAGAAGTGCTTGAAGAATTGCACGCTAGAGTGATGGGGGTGATTCTGCAGCTAGGATCCCCAGCTGAAGATTGCTGGCATGCCAAGTGTGTGATCAGTCAGGCCCCTTATAGGAAAGCAGCACTTCTGTGGCTGTATCAACACACTCCATTTGCCGCCAGGCGACTTCACTACTAAAAGGGCTGAATTTGTGTCTTGCTTTTTCTCTCTCACTCACTTTCACATCTGCACAGCCACTCCCCATTTGATAAATACTGTGAATGGCCAGGGAATAGGAGATGATGATGATACATGCACTGAAATGCACATGGAGGACAAACTGCCCGGTGAAGCAGGTTTGGGCCAGATCTCTCTCTGAAATGACTTCTCTGTTTTCTTCCATGAAGGGTGCCTCAGCAGACAGCCCGCTTCTTGGGTGTTGTTCTCAGTGGGAAAATGCAGGTGGGATTGGCCACATCTTTTCCTGCCTGGCATCCACAAACTGGACCTGAAACTTGGATGGCCCAGTAGGTCGAGACCCTCCGTTGCCTCTGGGGCATGTTTGGGACCTCACCTCTGTTTGGTCAGGTTGAGAACCCAGAAATACACCATCCTGAGGTTTGTTCCCTTAAATACTTAAAAGACAGTTCAGGGTGAGGTGAGAATTTGTCCAATGGGGTGGAGGAGTCTACTTAAAATCTTTCTGAATCCTTCCACTTCTTTATCTGCTGTTTTTAGGGATGTTCCTTGGGCAGGAAGGAAATCAGAACTACTACCTCTGCCGGTTGCCGGCCTCTCTTTTCCACCTTGTCGTGTTTTGGGGCCATATAAGGAGCAGCCTTTTCTTCAGCAGGATGTTGCTACTTTCTCTCCCCTCTCCCCAATAAAACACTTTGATATTGGGAGATGCACTAAACAAGGAAAAGTTGTTCAGAGCAAGTATTTTGGGATACTGTGAAGAAGTGGCCTTGATTATTCATGGCTCCTGGATAGGGCCATCATGCTCTGGGTTTTGTCTTCGCCAGCTTCCATTGGGGCTTCCCAGATGTCTTGGGCTGCAGGCATCATCCTCCCTGGACACTTACTGTGCTGGCTGGCTTGGGGGGGGGAGGGCTGGCTTAGGCAGTCCAATTCAACTTCTTTAAGTCAAAACATTGGCCCATCACAGCAGCTTGTTTCCAAATTTGTTGAATACTCTTTTTATTTCTGAAGCAACTGGAGAGCAAATTCATGGGCCCTGGCCGTGGCTCAAGTGAAGGCACCCTCCATGGAAGTGAGGAGTCCTTTTGTCTGTCCACACAGGTAATGACCCCTGACTAACATCACCGGGTCTTATTCTGTCTGATACTTGAACAAAGAGCCTTTAAGAGGTTCGTAGTACGTTGCCAAGGAATGTTTCTTAAAGTCTTCTACCCACATCAGTGTTCTCAAAACATGTGGTGTATAAGTCAGCTCAAGTCAGTTTTGGCCACGGTTTTCAACAGCCTGTTCTCATACTTTAAAACAGGTTGTCTGCAGATCTTAAATGTAACTTTTCTCTTTCCAACGTTAGTGTTTCCAGTACACAGTTACATGCTTGTGGTCTTCACGTTAGGTTTTGTACAAACCCCTTGGGGCAGTTTGTGGTATCACACAAGTGACAGTTTTTTTCCTATGGTCAGAATTGTTGTTGTCTTCAGTTGGCTAGGGTTGGCCTAGCCCACAACCCAGTTTGCATCTCAGGCTAAGGTTGGGCTGCGTCAGAGGCATTTCTCTGCGTTTGGAAGCTGGATGGATTTGCTTTGGAAAACAGGCATGATTTGCCTTAATTCTCAAGGCCGCCTTTCAGCAATTGTCTCTCCTCTTCCCCATTACTGAAATACCTGTTTTGTCACAGGAATGTCCTTAGATTTGTGATCCAAGGGGGAAAAACTTGAGTGAGGCAGTGGCCTTGCTCAAATGGGCACTGTTGTTTAGTTAATTGGCTTGGAATGGTTGATCACTCTAAAATGATTTTCCTCTCTGCACTTTGATAAGACAGTTTTCCCTCTGGAACCGTACTCGGTCAAGACTCAAAACCTAAGCAAATGAGCCATTTTGAAGGGCAGCCTCGTGAAAGGCCTTTGCTGCCCTGTCTGCTTTCTTGGCCAGCCAGGGCTTTAAGGGAAAACAAAACAAAATGTGGAGCATGGCTTTAGGAATGAATTCAGTCCACCAACCTGTTTTTAAATGATGTATATTTTATATTTAAAACGTTTTTGGGGATGTATGTAAAAAAATAGATTTGTATTAAAACTTGTAAATTGTATAAAAAGAAACAAAGAGCACCTAATATGAATGGCAATAAATGATTGTCTTTGATACACTACACTGTTTTTGAGATGGTCTGTTTATGTCTAGGGAAAGAAATTGGATAGAGGCACAGAAGACCAGGAATTGGAAAAGGCCACCGAGGTAATCCAGGGCAGCCCCAAGAATAGACCTGGATACCGGCTGCTCTCCTTGGTGGCATGACTTTTAGAACTGCAAAATGTTATGCCGTGTTCAACCCCTGTAAGGTTGGCCTGTCATCTTCTCAAGCTCAGACCTTGCTGTCGGGCAGGGGGCGGGTGGCTGAGAGCAGATTTAGGGTTTGCCTAGACCTAATAAATGAATCGCTGCCATGAGATTCAAACCCCACTCACTCTCTTGTTCACCTTTCCTATTCAGGCTGCCACTGAATCCCCTTGGGCCTCGGTGGAGCTTCTTTTCAAGTAGACTGGCACAGCCTTGCACTGCTAGCCCCTGTACGTACTGCCAATGCGGTCTTGGTATTATCTTATTTGTGGCTCTCCTATGGACGTCTACCCATGTTACTTGGATTTGTATTTTTCTCTTCCTGTTGTCCTTAATCACATGCCACACATTGTTTAACTGAGGAAGGCTTTTGGGCTGAGTTCAATGGCTCACTAGAAGGGCCAGTCAAATAAGAGGTTGGGTGTTGAAGTTTTAATTAATGGGGCATTCTAAAATAGTGGCTTGTGTGACTGTTTTTTTTGTCATCTACAGACCATTATATGTAATTTTCTCTTTATGCTCTCACGCAGTATGGGTGAGATTACTATAAAGCAGGCCTGATCCTTTCTTTGCAGCTACTTCTGAGCATTTTAAAGAGAAACAACCAACACTTTATGCATTTAACTATGAGATGCCCATATCTTTATATTTTGATACCCCTTTCAGACTACAAATGTGAGCACTAGCAGTTAGTAGGATCCCAAATAAAGGGATTCCTTGCAGTGTCCCCATTCTTGATAATTAAAAAATTTACACAGAAAAATAGGTGCATGTGGTGAACTCAAATGAAAGTAAAGCAGAGACTCTGTAGGCCAAGCACAGCCATCAAAAAGGGAAATCATTCCCCGTTTAATAACCATAAGTTGCAGATGATGTTAGTGGAAAACAAGAATCCATGATTAACATAAACAGGCCAGATGGTTTAAAAACTGCCCGGCTAGTGGTTTGCCTGGACTAATTGTTACATGTAGCCGACATGGCCAAAGCTGGTTAGACACAATCACATCCATACATAATTTACACCGCATAAAATATCTTTAAAATAAAGAACTAGCTCTTAAAAAATATGCATTCTCTGAAAGACCAAAAAAAAAAAAAAGACACTGGATTCCCTCATTAGCGACAACATAAAAGAACAGTATTTTACTGCCTCCTAGTGGCTCAGGCAGTAATGTGGTTTGACCCCCAGACGTTAAAATACAACAGAACTCTGGTTAGTAAATATATAACAAACCCACATTTTTTAAAATATATACATTTCTTCTCCTTAAAAAATTTACAGTTTTATCAACAGTGAAAAATATTGGACTCTTCCCAAGTCAGCTAATGTGAAATTAAAAACCTCTTTTGAAAAAAAGGTTTAGAGAACCCTTTTTATAAAGTGCCACTGGCTGCAACTATTTTTTTTGCCTTAATTATTCCTTTACCACTAGTCATCCATCACCAGAGGATGACTAATCCACTTGAGACAGGATAAAAACAGAATCTTTAAAAGAGAGAGAGAGAGAAAGAGGAAAACAATATCTATGGCTAAGAGGCTCCCATGTGGCTGTGAAACTCTGCCAGCCCTTGTCGGCTCCCTGCTCCGTTCACTCCCCTTTCATGGTCCACCAAGACGTTAAAGGGTGGTGGCCTTTCCCCCTGCAGAGGCCTTCCCTGCACTGACAGGAGCGGGTGCCCCTGCCCTGCCCTGCCCTGCCCACCTCTGGCCTGCTCGCTCCGTCTCCCTTGCAGATAAAAGCTGGCCACTGTCTGAAGCCTGGGGCACATCAGCTGTCCTTTTCATCTGAGACATCACTTTCAAAATAAAACGTCTCAGTAGGTTAGGTTCCAGCCTGTAAAGCAGTGACCTGGTGATTCCCCCCCCCCCTTTGCTCAGTTAATGTTTCATTAGCTGGCAAGCTGGCATCTTCTTGGACATATTTCTAGAGGCTACGTATGGATAACTCTTGGTCCTCCTCTCGGGGCTGCTCCCCAGGAAGATTCACGGCAGGCATAAGTCTAAAAACGGGCCCTTTGCTGCACTTGGTTCCAGTGAGGAAGAGGAGGAGAGCCGTAGAGAGAGGGGGATGAGACGGGTGCCTTGGGATGACCACCTTGCAGCCCCCCCCAACTTAGCCAGGTTTAAGTTTTTTAATAAAAGGTGAATAGATTGTGTTTTCTCCCCTACGAGGAGAAAGAAGTAAGGGAACAGTGTTTGAATCTGGGAAGAGTAACTTTTTCCCTTTATGTCTGACCACCAGAGGGTGCTTTAGACTGTAACCTCTGAATCAGGGTCTGTCCGCGCTCCCCCCCCCCCGCCATTTGAATCCCCTGAAAGAAAAAGGAAGACAATCCCCTTTCCCTCCCAAGCCTTCTGGCGGGCTGTGCCTTGTGCAATGAATGAATCAAAGGTACTTGGGAAAGAAAGAGGTCAAGTACTTTTCAGTTCCCCTGCTATTGAAATGTTGAGCCTGCTATTGAAATGCTGAACCCATTTTGTCCGTCTGGAAGTTTTGGGAACTACAAGTTGTGCCAGCTGGTTCCGGGAAGAAGAAGAAGAAATGGGTAGTGTGAGGGATTTAAATCCACCCAGATTACATGGTGCTTCCTCTCTTGAAATGCTGAAGAAAGCAGCAAGGGCTTGTCTTGCTCTGCAGGGCGCCAGGCTACCCAACCACCCTTCACGGTGGCAGCCAGGGTGGTGGGCCTCCTTGAGGGCTCAGTCCCTTGGCTGCCGTCACTGCTGATGGCCGTCGACACATTGTTGGCATCGCTGAAATGGCAAGACCCAGAAATAGGGGACGGGCTGCTGCTCCCTGGGAGCAGCACAAATGTCTGTGGTGTTTATGTAGGCAGAGGCTTCCCTCTGGCGTCCATCTTCCTCCACAGCTCCTCGAAGCAGCAGGGCTTTTATCAGTCCTTCTTTGTCACTTCACTGTTACGGGATGGGTGGTCAGGATTCACAGGCCTGGCAAGGTTCTGGGGCCTAGACAGAAACCGAACAGGCCATGCCTTGGCATGCTTTGGCCCTCCTCTTGCTTCACAGACCTTTCAAGGAGATGGTCCTAGCACGTACACAAGCAGCCGTGTCTCCTGCTGGGCATTTTAACACCCAAGCGTCTGTCTTCATCAGGAGCTATCAGGTGAGGAAAAGGGTAAAGTGCAGGAAGGGGAGGCCGGAAAGAATGGTAGGATGTGAGTGAAGCCAAGGCCGTCCGCTTGTTGTCTCAAGTCGTGGGATGAACCTCCAACACTGCCTGGCAGAAGGAATTCCACCCCTTAGTCCAGCATGGCATCCAGCTGTTCGGCCAAGTCATCAAACATGTTACTGATGTCTTCAAGGATGTTCTTAGCTGAGCGTGCTGTCCTGTAGTGGCTGAAGGGAGGGGAAAAAAAAAAGACAGAAGAAACACTTAAGTTTGGCTGCTGTGGGATTTCCAGCTAGAAACTGACAGCCAGCCCTTCATCAGCTGTGAAAACCTCACAAAGCCTCTGCTTCTCTCTCTCTCTCTCTTGTGTGCAAGAGATAAGGGCTGTTTCCCAAACCATGCGTGCAGTGGCTTAGCCTCTTCTTGGCTAATGAGAGAGCAGCTTCTGTGGTGTCTCAGAGCCAGAGCAGAAAGTTGATCAGAGACAGTGTAGTATTCCTAGCAGGGTTGTCCTGCAAGAGAGATGGGGGTGTAGATGAGCCACGAGGTGTGGGTATTTGAGTTTAGGGGTTGCCTGTGGACATGATTTGCCTTTCTGTGGGCAGATAGATGGACTGGACATGGTCCTCCCCTTAGCATACAGAGGAAGAGGTAATGGATGTACTGGATGGTCAACCAATCTAACTGTAAATTTCAAAGGGAAGACCATCCAGTGCACAGACTAACTTGCTAGTATATAGTTTTGTATACTAACCAATCAGAGGGAAGCTTTAACTGTTACTGGTCTGTAACTGCCTCTTCTCTCTCTGAGGTGATTAAACCTCAAACAAGAGACTTACTTGTTCTCTCTCAGATCTTTACACATTAAGCTATTGTTTCATACCTTTAAGAGGTTTATTATGTAACAAACTGAAACCTTTAAGAATGATAACCTCATGTGAGTAGAATAGACTTCTTTATTTAATGATAAAAAGACCTCCTGAGTATTTTGTTTACGAGCGAGTGTTTGGTGAAGGGAGATTACCAAAAAGGGGAACTTCCAGTTAATTCTGCCTAACCGGCTGGCACCTCTTGCTGCGCGTTTTTGGGGAATTCACCCGAGTTCCACACAACTCTCAACAAGAGGAAGGGGGAGGGCAGCTGCTTTTTATTTCATAGACCAATGTCTGGGCTGGACGCAGAAGCGTTTGAAGCTCCGCTTAGAATGCTCCAGCCAGGAGAAAAGACATGAGGTGGTGACTTGGCCAGTTTATGTACCTACGAACCTTTGAGACGATCTTAACCCAGAGATGGTTAACTGCTGCTGCCAGGGCCGGAGCAACCACTAGGCTAATGAGGCGACCGCCTAGAGCACAGACTTGAGAAGGGCGCAAAACTGACCAGAGAGAGGCACAATTTTATTCAGACCAGTTTCTTGAAAAAAATGCAAATGAAAATTTATATTTTAAAATTTTAAGATAAATACCACAACAGTGGAATATAATTATTTATAAAATTTTCAAAATTTCAACTTTTGTACTTTCTGTTTTTCCTACAATTTGTCTGTTTTTTTTTAAATTGGGGGGGGGGACGAGCAAGCAGTTAGTCTTGCCTAGGATGCAAAAAAGGCCTGGCACCGGCCCTGACTGCTGCTTATGTCCTTCCTAATCTGTAGGTATGTGCACCACACCTGAAGGGAGGTGAGGCTGTGCTGTGCTGGAGAATGACTCCACAAATAGCTTTGGAGGGGCTTGGAATTTGTGGTTCCTTAACAAAACGGTATCCTCTGGAAGCCCCAGGGTTTCTCCTGTCTGGATTTATTATTTATTTTCCTCACTGCTCTGTTCCACTTTGTTTACTCGCTATTGGGGCTGCTCTTTGGGCAGAAGAGGTGCCAGGAGCCACCTGGAGAGCTCACCTCAGTGTGCCCAGTTGTTTGGTGAGGGGAGATTACCAAAAAGGGTAATCCTTGTCGGACTAGGGCAACCCAGGCTTGAATGTGCCTCGCTGGATTGGTTGTAAATACAGTGGTGCCTCCCTTAACGACGATAATCCGTTCCAGGAAAATCACATCGTAAAGTGAAATTAAAAACCCCACTGAAACGCAATGAAAACCATTCAATGCGTTCCAATGGGGTAAAAACTCACCGTCCAGCGAAGATCCTCCATACGGCGGCCATTTTCGGTGCCTGTATAGCGAGGAATCCGTCCCTAAGCACAGCGGGGAGCCATTTTAAGCACCCGGTGGCCATTCTGAAAACCCGACAATCAGCTGTTTTTGATCGTCGTAAAGCGAAAATTGGTTCCCGAAGCAGGGAACTGATCATCGCTAAGCGAAATTCCCCCATTTAGACAATCGTTAAGTGGGGCATGACTGTATATTTCAAAGACGCCCGGGAGCTGCTCTTAACAACTGCAGCACCAAGACATTCTATACTGTTCCAAAGTCGCTCGTGAAGAATGATGGTCAAGCTGTGACGTTAAGGACAGAGGCTCTGGCTTGCCCTTGCTCCGTGCCCAAACTAGGCCTCACCTGTCTGCTTCCTCTGTGGAGATTTTCCTTTCGGCTGCTTCAAGTGTGGAGGCCAAAGAGGAGTTGGTTTGTTCCAGTCTTTGCTGAGCCTGGATCATGTCTGGAGATGCACTCAGAGGCCTTGTGGAAAGGGGCACCCCAAAGCCCGTGGGCTTGCTGGTGAGTCCTAGCTTTGTGGGGTAGGAGGGACCCGTCCCTTCTGAGACCATCTCTGTGGCTGCCCAGGGGGCGACCGTCTTGCAAGAGTTCTGTAGGGCTTGCTGGTAGATGGTTTTTGGTCCTGAAAACACCAGCTTGGTAGATGCAATGTGCTTTGCTGAAGTATCTGGAAGGAGAAAATGGGGCTTAAGAGTCTGACCTGTGGCTGGACAGCCTGCACTTTGCCTCGGAGAGTTACGCAAACACTTCCTGTTTGCTCAGCCTTCCCACAGCATCCATGTTTACCGTTGGGTGCAGCCATGTCCACCTTCCCTGCTACCTTTCACTCTCTCACAGAAAGCAACAGCATGCTGCCTACCAGAATCTACACTCTCACCCACTCGCACAAATGCCCCATATCTCCCAGAGAAGACCCCGTCCCCCGCCAGGTTGGGCTGCCGTCCTACGATGCACACTGGCTGAGGACCAAGGAGCTCCATCTTCTGCAGGCTGGGGCTTGAGTACATACAGCTGGTAGGTGTTTTTTCTGTTTTTCTTTCCCTGCTGTGTTTAGGATACACATGGGGGGGTCTATGAAAGTGCTACCTTTTTAGGTTATAACTTCCACTAGCCATGCTAACTGGGGGATTTTGGGAATTGTACACTTCCAACTTCCAGGATATGCATGCATGTGTAAAGTTTGTAAATCCAAAGTACATGTTGCATACTGGTATGTCTAACCCTTTTCCGTCAGCTTTAGAATTTATAGACCCTGGCCTTCCCAAGCAGAGATTGTGACTATTTCTGTGATGAACTAATTCGACAGCTATGCTGAGAAAATCCTATGGTGCAGCCTATATAGGGCCCTTCTGAGATTCCCTCTCCTTTTTCTTTTTCAGTCCTATTGTGCCACCAATCTTTTCTCTCTCTTCCCTAGGGAGACTAGGTCAGCCTTGCAAAGGGTGGATTAAAAGCCCTCTTTCCTTCCAACCCAACCCAACCCCCACCACTGCCTGCCAACCCATTCACTCGCTGGAAGGAGCCTTTTCCCAAACAGGAGAAAGAATGTGGTAGTAATTCTCTCTGCCCCGAATGCAGAGTGCTTCCAGATGGAGGGGTCCTCGTACTGCCAATCAAAAGGCATTGTGCAGGAATTCCAGCACTTCCTCCTTGATGAAAAGACACAAGACACAAGGGGGAAACCATGGTGGGGACTGGAAAGGGGGGGAACACACAAAATGAAGATTATGGTAATTGGGGCCCCTGCAAAAGACCACGAATGAGGCAGGATGGCTGCAGAATTAATGGCCTGAACAAGCTCAGGGAGAGCCAGAATCCCTATGCATTATCTACCTATGTACACACACGCACACACCCCTTGAACCGCTCACTGCCTACCTGTCACCATGCACGGCGTCCTCAGCTGGACCAACCCTCCTTGCCTCTCCATCTGTGGTGCTGGCAACACCGGGCTGGTTGGCTTCAGAGAGATGGGCGGCTTCTTGATCCCCCTTTCCAGAGAGAGAATACTTTTCTCGATCTCAGCAATCTGGAACTCCATGGTGTCATCATCCAGAGCATCTCCAGGTGACAGTGGTGGCTCAGTCACATGCAGTGATGGCCCGCTGATGCTCACGGTCTGGGCCTGGGCATACTGTGGGCCTGGGGCTGTCGTGGCTGGGGTGGGGGCTGCCATGCCAAAGGCCTTGAGCACATTCTGGAGAGGCTCCCTCTCTTTGCCCCTGGGTCGCCTCTTGACGGTGTCCGACTCGGTGAGGTTGAACTCCAAGACGGGGGTCTCTTTTGCTGGGGTGCCTGGTGGCTCCTCCCCACCAGGCGGTGCTTGGGCAGCATCAGAATCTGCCACGGAGACCTCTGCCTTGAGCTGCCCAATAGGCTTGGGTCGCTGTTTGATGGTCAGGTTGCCTTCCTCTGCAAACGGAATGCACTCGCTGGAGCTGTTCTGGGAAGAGCAGGGGGACTTGGAAGCATCGTCTCTCCCGCCCTGTTTCTCATCCTCCTCGGTGTCCGACCGGACATCCTCCAGGCTGTGCCGCAAAGCTTCCGTCCTGGGAACCGCAGGTTCGCTCAGTGTTCGTCTCCTGGGAACGTTGCTTTCGAAGGCTTGTCTTTGGCCGTTCATGGCACTCGGGGCATCCCCTTGAATGGAGTTGTGGAGACCTGCTCTGTTGGCGACCTCTTGACCAGAACCCGTGGACTTTGGAGGCTGGAGAGGCTCAGCTGGGCTCCCATCCCTTTCAGGTTCTTCACCTGCAGCTGCCAGGCTCCTGGCAGGTCCATCGCTCTCCCAGGCATTCTCTCCTTCATCCTGGGGCGAGCAGGAGGAGGCAGACCCTTTCTGTCCTTCCAGGCCTTGTTCATACTCTGAGTCAACCGCCTGGGCACTGGAGACAGAGCTGAGGCGTTTGGGAGGTGGGGGCGGAGGGCCTTTTCTCCGGGCACGGATCGCAAAGGACTGGCTGCGCAAGACCTTGGCGTCTGCCGGCGGTTGCGTCCGGGGCACCTGGCTCCGTCCAGGCCGCCTGGTGAGGGTGGCGTAAGAGCCCACCGTGCTCCCTGTGGACTCTTCCTCCTCGGCCTCGCCATCAGACAAAGCATAGCGGTTCAAGCTGTGCGACCGTTTCTTGTGCCTCGAGCCCTCCCCATTTTGCCCCTCAGTCCCTGGCTTTGGAGGTCCCTGAGGGGCTTCTGTAGGTCCACAGTGGGAATGCAGGTAGGAGAAGGCTCTCTGGGCTGAGGACTGCAGCAGGGTCTTCTGGGAAGAGGCCTGGGCTGAGGCCTTGGCCTGCTCGGGCGCCATCGGCAAAGGAGGTGGCGGGGACTTCAGGGAGACGTGTGGGTACATGAAGACATAAGGGGCGGTTGCTCGGCTGGCTGTGTGGGGTGAGGCACCAGGGGAGGTGGCTGGTGGCGCATTGGGGAGCTCCGAGGGAGGTGACTGTGGGAAAAGATCCCCTTTCAGAACATTCGGCCTCTGGTATTGATCCATCCCCTCGGGCAGATTTCTCTCCCTCAAGGGACTTCCTGCACAGCCGCTGGAATAGCCGTTGACTCCCTCCGGACCACTGAGCTCAGGAAGACTTTTCCCGCAGTTCTCTAGGCCGGGACGAGCCTGGGTGGAAGAGTGGCCGCTCCCGCTGCTCCCGCTGCTGCTTTCCCCACTGCCCAAGCTCTCCTGAGAACGGCTTGAGGCCATGCTTTGGGAGAGCATGTTCTCCTGGGAGTGCCCCGACCCCCGGGACCGCACGCCGATGCTCTCTTGGCTCCTCGACATGCCGTGAGTCCCCTTGATGGTCAGCGTCTCCTGGCAGCTGTTGGACATGGCCGTCTGCAGCTCGTAGCTTAGCTCGCTGTCCTGGAAAGTGGTCATCTTGGGGGTGTTGGGAGAATGGCCCTCCCCGTTCTCGACAGACTCAATGGTGACAATGTCCAAGGCCCCAGGGATCTTGCGCCTCAGGGTGCTCGTGTCCGCCTGGCTCAGGTTCTTCCGAAGGTCTGTCAGCCTCTTGACAGCCAGCATGATCTTTTTTTGGTGGCCTGCAAGGGGGCACACAAGGGTAACAAGCAAAACAGTTAAGCTCAGGCACAGCAAAATGGGCCGCCTTTCCCCAGCCCACTCTAGGGGATTCTGGGAGCTGGAGTCCAACCCATGTGATGAAGGGTAACAGGTTGGAAAAGGCTGCGCTTGGAGAACACTCTCCTGGCCCCACCTTCTCAAGCACTCTCAAAGGGGAACAAGGAATCTTAGGTCAACTGTAGGGTGAAGGCTACTGAGGCAAAGAATATATAGCAAGATCCCTGAATCCATGCGACTGATACCTGTGGTTTCAATTCCCCATGGTTGATCACAGTCCCTGCGGCCTTTGTCCCATCTCCTTGTATGATACTCTGCACTCTTATATCTGCAGTTTTAGGAATCCACGGTAGATTGTGGGACCGATCTGCCACGGATGGGGTGTGTGTGTCCTACTGTATTAATTCCAGCAGCTACATCCATTCTAGAGGAGAGGTGACTCCTCCTGCTTCCATTAACCGGCCAGAGTCAAAACTGAGAGCAGCCACAAGCCTTCTGAGATCCAGAGTACTTCTTTAGTGTGTAGACCAAGATTTAGGAGATCCAGATTACGTTCCTACTTGACCATGAAACCTATTTGTTGGCCATGAGCCACTTACTATTTCATAGAGTAACCTTCCTGTTAAGCTCAAAGGTGGGAAGACAGAAGAAACATGGACACTGCCTTGACCTCTTCAGAGGAAAGGTGGGCTATAAACATGATGGGAAAGTACCCTGATTCAGAAACAGATGTTACTGTGCCAGATATTATCTCCCACTCTATCTCGAGTTCCTTCATCACCGATCCTACCCCCTCACCTCCATCACTCACTTCCTTGTAGTGTGGTGTAAACTACCTCCGAGGCAGGAGCCACAAGGACCCAAGTGCTTGCTGATTTCTGCATTATGCCTGCACCCTGCTAACAAGGTCCCTCTCCTGTGCCTCTCTGGGCTGCTTTTTCCTTGCCTTTAAAATGTTAGGGTGCTCCTGTTTCTGACCACATAATTGGAGTTGCTGCCAAAAGGAAAATCAGGGAGAAGGACGGCCTTGGAAGAGCAGGCAGAGAGTGAAGGAGAGACTGACTCTGGGACATGGGGAGAAAAACCACAGGATTGTCTGTCTGTCTGTCTGTCTGTCTGTCTGTCTGTCTGTCTGTCTTTCTTTCTTTCTTTGGAGAGGGTCTCACCGGCCGTTGTGTGCCCCTCATAGCTCCCAAGTGTGGTTGGTTGGGGACTGAGCCAGCTGGCACACTTTGTGCCGTGACCATGCTAATGGGCAAGGACAGGGCTGTCTTTCCCCCGTGCCAAAACAGGCATCCAGTTACCCTGAGAATTTGGTTCGGAGCCAAATACCACACTAATGACTGCCTCCAAAGAAGAGGTGGGCATGGTTTCCCCCTCCCTTCTTTGTCAAGGCAGCCTCTTTGACCATGGGCCAGTTGAACGCTGATGGGGAGGCCTGGCTGGCTAATGTGGAAACAAGTCCTTCCTCATCAGACCGGGGGGGCTGAAAGAAGATGGGAAGGAGCCATGCAAAAGGGGACCAAGATCTCTTTTCTCCTATCGCCCTGGGGATTCTGCCGTCTGCTGGTCTTTGACACGGAGAGGGAGTACCTATGGGAAGTTCAACATGCCAGTCCTTCGGCAGTCCCAGAACGGTTCCCCTAGGAAGGGGGAGAAGGCAATCCGTCTCCTTGCCCCAAGCAAAAATCTAGCACTACATTCCTAGCGAGGCGAAGAGGCTACAGCTTTAGAGAATGATGTGTATGCCTTGGTGAAACGGTAGGATCATCAGAGCTGTGAAAGCTGGAAAGAAAATGAGAAGGCTTGAGAAACAGGAGGAAAGAAGATAAAGGAAAACCATGTTTTTCCACTCCCCCTGTTTTTTCTCTCTCCGCCACCCATTCGCTTTCTAGTCCTTCACATTATCTGTGCTTAATGATGGTTAAAGAACAAGGATGACTTAAACCAGGCTTCTGCAAGCTAGTTCCTACCAGATGTATCGGGACCAGAATCCCCATCGCTCCTACCCTGATGGCTGGCAAATGTAAGAACTGTCGACCAGTCCATCCAGAGGTCACCCGCTTAGGAAAGGCTAAGCTTTTGTATCCTGCAATCTTTGCAATGATGCAACCCCTGCCAACAAACCAACATTCAGACAGACTTCAAGCTGGACTATCTGCTTAGGAACGGGTCTGAACTGTCATCCTTTGGGAATCTGGTTGATCATTTCCACTCAATCAAATCTATCTATGCACAAAGAGAGTTATCCTATTTCTGCTCCTAGGTGGCGGACACCAGGAAGGGATGCACAGCTTGCCCATGGCTTTCATTGTTTGGCTCTGGTGGGCAAAAGCTTATGTGGTGGAATAAATGTGGTTAGCCTTCAAGGTGCCATAAGAATCCGTGCTCGTTCTGGAATGAAAAAAACCTTCCTCCAAGCCACTGCCTGGGGGAAAACTGGATTTTTTTTCTTTTGCTATACTTGGGAACTCCTTTTACCAACCTGGTGCCCTTCATATGTTTTGGACTTGAACTCCTACCAGGACCAGCCATCATGGTCAGTGTCGGTAACAATGGGAGGTTGGTAGTGTGTGCTTATAAAGTCCAGCCGTCAGGCAGCACAAACGAAGTAAGCACCCTACAACATGCTCAGCATTTCCCTGGGGCTATACATTCCAGGAGAGACACAGTAGGGAGATACCAACTGTCTTTGGGGAGCTTGCAAGCCCATTCAATTCATGGACGCCCTCGTTAAGGATTTGTGAGCTCTATGGTTTCCCAGGGCACAACAGTTTATGTCTTGTGGTGGACATAAATTCATGCCACACTATGGCCAAGATCCTCGTTGAAGCAGAAGGGTAATCATGTAAGTGTTTCCCACTCTGGCAGGCTCTCCGTCCCAAGACCGATCACACAACCAATCTGGCAACCAGTATAAGGCCAGGCATGCAAACAGGAACCTGCCAGATGTTTATGCTGGACAGGCTTGAAACAAACAGACAGAAAGCGGAGGTTCTTGAAGCGCTCGTGGCTCCAGGCAAGTCTTTCCTCACCCAGCTTATTGATGCCAATCTCCTGCAGGTCCTCCCAAGTCAGATCTGTTACAATGTTGATGGAATCATAGCCGTTGCTAGCCAGCTTCTTGTGGTACTGGGGTAGCCCGATGGCACTCAACCACTCCATCAGGTCATCCTAGAAGATACAAAAGTTTGCAACTTTCCCAATTTATGCTAGCTTAGTACAGCTAGAAACGGGCCTGAGAGGGTTTTGTAGACACTACAGGCAAGAGCCTCTAAAGCAGAAGAATATGGTTCATAAGTGACACCCAAAACAGCATTAGCTTGATATTCTGAGCACCTAGAAGGAGGGGTGGCAGATAGTGATGATATATCGCTAGCGAAGATGTGCCAGAGTCAATACTGTGACACATGCTAGGGGCTCCTCAAGAAACTCAGAATGAAGGGAGGGGAAAGCCTTAATGATACCATTCGCTAGACCTGGGAGCATGAGGAGGAGGAGGATAAGTTATGAGTAGTGATGCCCCATAGCATTTTTCAATGTCCTTTGTAGACAGATGGTCAATTTTATGCTACAGATAAGTATTTGAGGCAGGGAAACAGAGACTTGTGCGAGGCAGGATAAATAAATCCATGACAGAGATAAGGCTTGAATCCAGCTTTTTCAAAGTCTAATCCTGTAATCAAAGGACCAGGTAAGCTCCATCTTGCTTAAGATCCCCAGAAATTTTTCTGTGACTTCCCACCTTTTCATGTGATAGGATCTGGGCATAAAATGACTAGGTTGCACCCTGCTCTTAACACCCTGCATTTAACTTCTCTGTAGGTTTCCGAGCCGCTTGCCATCCAGGTACCATACTTACGGGGATATAGTTTGGGAGCCATTCCGCAATGGTGAGCTGCCCAATCTCAGTAGAAATTTTCTTCCTGTGGCCCGGCTTGGTCACCCCGATGGCAGTGAGATCCTAGAACAAACAATGGCACAGGTACCCTCATTGATCTACTAACAGTCACATCCACGATGTCTGGTTTAAAAGGAGTTGTTCTGCAAAGGCACTTCTGGGGAGAAAGTGGCAAGATTTCACCAAGCGAGGAGGAGGATGCAGAGGGGTGATGGCTGGGCAGCCAAGAGACCCGAGTTCTTCCCTTCCTTCTGCTTGACCCGTCTACTTTTCCTGCCTTACCTCGGGTGTCATGCGACTGATCGTGGGCACATCATAGCCTGCATTCAGGAAGTTGGCTGTGTAGCACTCCAGCTGGAATTCACACAGCCAGTTGTAAATGGCTTCAGCATCCTGAAAGGTGGGAAGAGAAAATTCCCCTGGTGAAGATGATGCTGTGAAGTAGATTACGAAGGATACACATATCCTTACAACTGATTCACAGAAATAACGATGGCATGGCTTGAGCTCACCTTCCCCCCCCCCCCACATACACACACAGGCGGCAAGAACGCAAAGCCCTCCAGAGTGCTTGGAGTACAGGCTCCATCATTTGCCAATCGAAAAGGACGAGGTGAGTTCACAATCCAACAGCTCTGGAGGACCGCACTTCCCCACCCCAACCAAATGGGTTGTACCCTCCTACAGACTAACAGGATAAACACAAACACAGCCTTATGAAAGAGGGTGGGGGGGGCGGAGGAGTGTGTTTGTGGAGGGGTCTGGATTGTAGCGATCCCAGACAGGGTGGTTTTTGGAGCCTGGCAGGTCTGAGAAAGAAGTTGGAGAGAAGAGACTGAGGGAAGGGGAGAGGTAATACAATGTGTATGAAGGATTGTGCTGAATGAACGTAAAGCCTAGGCATAAACAATGTTCTTTTAAAACTGTTATTTTAATAAAGCCTTGTTTCCTCTATTCAAACTGAGTGGTGCTGAGTTCCATACCTGAAGGCTGGGTATGCAGAGAGCATGATAAGGACCTGAGAGAAGGGGCAAAGATATACACCTGCAGCGAGGGGGCAAACTGAAAGTTGGTGGCAGCCAAAGAGGAAGAGAAGAAAGAAGTGAAGCTTCTTAAAGAGGACATGTTTACTCTTGCGGTGATTTAAAGAGACCGCTACCTGCACGGTCAAGGGACAAGGCACAGGGAGGCTGGCCATCGATATCAGAATGGAGAGGGTGGGACACATACCGTTTAGCAGGTCTCTCGGTCTCTGCTAGTGGAGAATGAGGGCTGCAGGCAGAGAAAGGGACCTGCTGCTCTTGTTAGCTTCTCTGCTGCAGCAACGGGAGCCTTCCTCACCCTGGCCACACCATCAATTGCACCAGCAAAAAGAAGGCTTGTTGGGGAGTATCTGGGCAGACAAGACTCTCTCTTTCACTTCAAATGCTGCCTAGGCCAGGTTTTATATTCCTTTGAGGCACTCCTCCTCACAAGAACCTCTGGATTTGGTGGTTTCTCCACTTTGCATATATTCCCTCTCCCCACCTCCGTGGCTTTCGGCCGTCCTCTCTATGTTTCTAAGACTTAGCCCGGGTGGTTTTACACTGGATGTCACCTACATAATCCTTTTTTTAAAAACATACGGAAGGGACCAATGCAAAAAAACTCATGCACATTCATATTCCTCCATCAATTGATTCCTGACCTTCCCCTCCAGGAGCTGCTCTGGGCGTAGATACTGGTGGGAGAAGATCCGGTCGCTGGTGTTGCAGTTGGAGAGGTTCTGGTGCCCCAGGGGCCCTGGCAAGGAGGCAGAGAGGAGAATCAGAACGTGTCGGGGCCTGAAATGGAACCAAGGTGGGGCACAAGGGCCCAGGGAGCTGTGGGGGCTACCTATCCTTTGTTTTCATGACACTTGTGTGGGGAGAGGAAGACTGAAACAGACACGAACATTGGCTTGATTTTTAATTTTCATTCCCCCTCTCCTCAAAGGCTAGGGCTGGCAGACAACAGCTGGCTAGGGAGGGAATTGCAATAAAACGAAGTACCTGATTTATGTGTACATTATACAGAAATTACTAATCGACACCACGGTACTCACCACCTGCTTCACTTGTTCTTGAGTACCAGGTCAAACAAGACCATTTTACCCTTCTCACCAAAAGAGGTCAGGCTTAGGATGTAATGACTGTCCAGGGAAAGGGCATTCCCCCAAGATGGCCTCCCCACCTGGCCCTGCCCTTTGCCAGTGGAAGCATCCTGTCCCCACTGTGGAAACAGCCACCTCACCCTACCCCACCCCACCTAGCCTTCATCAGGATGAAAGGAGATCCCTTTTCCAAACGGATCTGGCTTCCTCTCACTGCAGTTACCACCAGGCACACGCCTGCCTGGTCCTCCCAGGCCTTTTGAACCCGACAGCCTCTCCTCTTACCTATCATGGGATTTGTCTGGCCATTGAGAGAACTGGAGCCCAAGAGGTGCTGCTGCAGATCCTCACCACCAGGCGAAAGTGGCTGCATTAAACAGGGAGAGAGGGAGGGAGGTCAGAAGAAGGAAGAGACCAAGGGATCCTGGGCATCGCTCCCTTACTGGCTTCCCCACAGGCTCCACATTTGGCACACAGCAGCCGCAGCGAATGCAGCTGGGGATTAATTCTGACCACCCAGAGTGCCATTTCTGTTTCTACATGGCTTCTTAGGTGCTTTATACATCAACGAAAGATAATATTTAAAGCTCAAAAATAATCAGCATAAAACGGCAGCTTTTGTCATTAAAAAGACAAAACTAAAGCTAAAAACAATACAAATATTAAGGAACAAACAAATACCACTCTGAGAATTGGCAAACACAAGCAATATCAAAAACACTGTAAAAGCAGTAATGCATAACAATCCATCTAAAAATCCCACTCAGGCAGCCCGCCACTGAGGGAAAGCCTGCCTGAAGAGAAAGGTCTGTGCCTGCTTGCGGAAGGACAGTGAGGAGGAGGCCCGGTCTGGCCTCCTGTGGGAGGGAGTTCCAGAGTCTCATAATGGGAAACACGGTCTTTGAGACAGCTGGGCAGAATTCAAAGTGCTGGTTTTTAACCTATAAAGGCTATTTTGGGCTTTATCAGTTAAAAGCAGCAATTTGAATTCTGCCCAGAAATGGATTGGCAGCCAGTGAAGCTGCTGTAATGGGGGAGTTACGGGATCTCTGTAACCAGTGTATTTTAGACCCACTGAAGTTTCCAAACACTTTCCATCAGCAGCATCACATAAGAGTGTATTACAGTAATTCAGCTGAGATGTAACTAAGGCATGTGTCACCAGTGGTCAGATCAGACCTTTCAAGATAAAATCACAGCGGGCACCCTAGTTTTAATTGTGCAAATGCACTCCTGGCCATTGCTGGGACCTGGGCGTCCAGGTTCAGGGATGAATCCAGGAACACCCCCAAGCTGTGCCTCTCTTTTTTTCAGTGGGAGTGCAATCCAATCCAGTACTGGCTGCATCCCTGTTCCTTGATCTGCCCTTCGACTGACCAGGAGCACCTCTGTCCTGTCTGGATTGTGTTTCAATTTATTCACCTTCATCCAGTCTATTACTGATACCAGACACTAATCTAGAGCTGAAAAAGCTTCCTCAAATTTAGGGGGAAAGGAAGGTAGAGCTGGGTGACACGGAACCCCAAAACTCCAGACAAAACCTCCAAGCGGTTTCATGTAGATGTTAAATAGCACAGGAGACAAAACAGAACCCTGAGAGACCCCACTGGTCGGGGGCCCTGGGTGTCAAAGAGGAACACACACCCCCAGCACCACTTTCTGAGTTCAGGTCAGGAGGACACAATCATCGCAGGTGGGGGTTGGGGACAAGGGAGAGGGGGGGCACACAGGGCAGGTTTTAATATTTTGGTGCAGAAGAGGCAAGGTCTGCTCACCTTCACGTTCTCAATGAGGAGTCCAGTCGTTTGCCCGTTGGTGCCCTCAGTGCTCTGACCGCTGCCAGCACTCCGAATGCTACCAATACTGCCCTCGCTGCCTACACTGTTTCTGTCACCTGCTGTGGGGAGAAGGGAGATTTCAGCATGGGGGGGCCTGAAAGAAGGGGTGGGGGAAGAGGGGGGTCTCCTGTTCCCCTTGAGCACTAACCAAAGAGGGCCAGTTAGGAGGTGGAGGCTCACAGGAGGCCTTGGGCTTCCCTGCAGCCTTCACGACAGAGCCCTTGAATGGGGGGGGGGCTGGCTCCCAAGGAGGAAGGCAACGAGGGTCCCATGCAGGAACTCAGCAATGGGGTGGCTTCTCTCCAGCAACATCACGTTAGTAGGATCCTGGCCCCCTACCCCAGAGGATGAGGCAGAAAATCATTCTACTTCCACCAAAAGCCCCCCCCCCAACCGCAGACCATCTCACACAAGACTGACAGAGGGAAAGAGGGAAGGGAGGTGTGGTGTGGGAGGCACAGTAACAACTAGCAGGGCAGGTTGGGAAGGCAGGCAGGTTGGCATCCAGGTGGCGGGTCCCATCTGTGTGGTAAGGAGTAGGTCTCCATGGCAACTGTGTACCTGGGCACTGAAGGAGGTCATGCCAGTGGGAGGGAAGAGCACCCCCTGTTGATGGGCCAGGCAGCTTGGCCAAGGAAGCGTACTTGGGGTAGGTGTGCCCTGATGCACAAACGTGTGCAGTGAAGATCTCTGTGAATGGAAGGGACTGTCTGAATGAGCGGGTGTGCCTTGAGTAGAGCTTATTAGTGGCAGGTGAGTCTAGGTGAGAGGCCAGAATTAGCCACGGATGCCTACTTCCCGTAAGCACTGAGGAAAATGTGCGCCTATCTCAAGAAAGCTGTGATGGTGAAGGCCCACAGACGTGCCTCAACTGGGTGCACTCCAAGGGCAATTATGCAGTGCATACAAAGGGGAGTAACGACCGATGTCATCACAGCTTGGGCAGGTCTCTGCCTCTGAGGAAGAAGATGGCCTCAAAGATACCCAATTAGATGTGGATGGGTCAGGAGGAAAAGCAGGTGCACCTCGGTCCCTCAGGAAGCCTCTCCCTGCTCCACCGCTGCTTCTCTTCTCTCCTCCTCCCCACCCCCCTCTGTTGCCCCCCCAAGAGGAAGGACCTCCCTTGGCCCTCACTCCTTCCCAGCAGTGCAAGCAGAGGGAAGGCTTGCCTAGCCCAGCAGTGCAACCCTAACCTGGGCTTTCAGGCGCCTGGGCTGTCCTGGTCAGGGTGAGATGGCCACAGGCTGCGGTGACGCCGAGGGTTGCCTGCGGCGAAACAGGCAAAGAGGCGTCTGTATGTGGCTGCAGCCCACCCGAAGGGGTGGCAGTGTCAACCTGCTGGCCCTTGGCAAGGCTCTGGCACGGGCGTAAGGGCACCACACGGGGAAGAGTCAGGCCTGCATGTAGAGACAAAACACGCGGGTCAGAACAGGGGGCGTGGTCAAGGTGAGGTCAGCCGGGGGGCCCCTCCAGGACTGACCTCTCCCAGCACAGGACCCCAAAGAGACTGTGAAGATGGGATGGGATGGTGACAGGCGGCTGCCAGGGCTCAGGAAATGCTCAGCTACTCTTGGGAGCAGGTATGTCTGTGGAGGGAGTGTGGACACTGCTCAAGAGTTTACAACATGAAGAGGATTAGAACAAGGAATATTCCCAGACTTTTTCCAGGGAAGGAGTCTCAGCAACAGGGTCAGAGGAAGCCACCACCAAACACAACAGCATTTATTCTTCCTTTCTTCAACCTTTTCTCTATTGTTGTTCTTATGCACCATCAAGTCCCTTCTGACTTAGGCTGATTGTATGAATTAACACTTCCTGTTTTTCACAGATCTGTTCGGGTCTTCTGAACTGAAATTCTGACTTAGGCTGATTGTATGAATTAACGCTCCTGTTTTTCATAGATCTGTTTGAGTCTTCTGAACTGAAAGCCATGGCTTCCGTTATTGAATCAACCCATCTCATATTTGGTCTTCCTCTTTTCCTATTGCCTTCTACTTTTCCCAGCACTATTGTCTTTTTCAGTGAGTCTCTCACAATCCTTTCCTCTAGGCCTACATAAAAGGACTTCTGCTTATGAAAGGGTACCTTCTATTGGGTTCTTGAAGAATTGTACCCAATTATACCATTTCATCTACATCTGGAGAAAGTTCAGAATCTATGATGGTTATATTCATTGCACTTTTGTCTCTGGAAAACAAGTTTTGCTCTATTGTTTTTAAAACCTGCAAGACCTCTTTGATCAGAGGCAACAGGAAGACAAAGGGAATAGAAGTACAGTGGGGTCTTGACTTAAGAACGGCTCAAGTTAAGAACATTTTGACTTAAGAACCACTCTCATAGGAAAATATTGACTTGACTTAAGTACTTAGATTTGAGTTAAGAACTGAAAAAAAAAACCACGTGGGAGGCAGGGAAAGTGCAAAATTTGAACTTTCAGTTAACTGTTGGCCAGTGAAAAGGGTGCCTGTCTGCTTCCTCACTCCCAGCGTGTAGAGAGTGGATTGGGAGACAGTCTTCGGACTGCCTGGTGCTGTACTGCCTGGACTGTATTTTCCCTGCCTTCCCTGAACCCTTCTTGACCTAAGAAAAAAAGAAACAGTGGTCGAAGGCGGAATAGCAGCTTCCCATTAGTTTCTATGGACGGAAAAGAGCAGATACGGATCAAATGGTTTTCAATGCATTCCTATGGGAAATGCAGATTTGACCTGAGAACATTTTGACTTGAGAACCGCCTTCCAATACGGATTAAGTTCTCAAGTCAAGACCCCACTGTATATGCGTGCACATCTGCGTGCATGCATAGTATGGAAAAAGTGCATGCTACTACACAATTAAACATAAGAATGCATTCTTATCTAGTCAGGAATAACAGTAATGGTGCTTCCCTGCCTGGCCCTAAGTTCAGTTACTACTGGGTAAATGGTGACCAATAACTATCCTTGAAAAAGGTGGAATCCAAACACATGACTTGCTCAGTGGAGTTTCCAGAGATGACCTCTGCCACTGTGATTGAAGAGGCTCTACAGCTAACACTACGTACCCTTCAACATACAGTACATTTAATCTTTTCCTACCTAATGGAGTTTGTGTCAGAGTTAAAACGACAGATGAAGATGTAGGAAAAATATGGGACAATTATAAAGGAAAGCTCAGTATGTACAGTGAAACTCCCTCTTGGAAAGAAAGTATGCATGAATGAGGTGGTGGGATTGTACAAGGAAAGCCTCATCTGGAACCTCCTCTGGATGAAAGGCAGAGACGTTGAGAGTATGCTGACCCATCTCCCTACAGCTAGGGAGCTGCAAGCTTCCTACAATCAGGAGTAGAGATTCGTATGTGTGTACGAATATGAATACCCCCCCACAGGTGGACAAAACAAGGGTCCAGCCTCTTGGGGCTGGAGAGCCCACTCACTGTCAGATGCTGCTGTGGGTTTCATGCTACCTCAAATTGCTCCAGAGCACCCAGTTTGCAAGTCACTCTTCGACCCGGCAGAGAGGCTCATTGTCCCGCCTTCTGCTAGGAGTGGCTAGCCGACCGCGAGCTCCGGAGCGATAGGAAGGGAGAGTGGAGCCTGCAGCAGCAGCGCACGGTGAGTGGACAGTCATTATATCCCTCGTTATGTCCACCTGTGCAGGGTATTCATATCAAATACCCCCATGTCTAATCAGGAGCACATTCCTCTTGACCAGACTTCTCCAGATCACCTTCATACTGAGAATGAAAATGATTATATGGAGGATTAGAGGAAAGATGATTCATTTTATGGCATCCTTCAAATCTTCTCTTATTGTGCAGGGACTATGGATTTCCTCCCTTCCACAGTCCCTGTTCCTAAAACTCTACATCCTATTGCTGAATTCTTTGTTCAAGTCAAGGTTGTCAGAAATCCTGCCTCGTAACTCTTTCCAGGACGCAGAGAAGATGGGAACCCCTCAATAGTCTCCTGTGAACCAACTGGACAAAATCCTGCTAATGACAAAAACCAGGGAGCTGATTTCTGCACAAAGTCTGTATGTGAAAATTACTGGAAGAAGCCGTCCTGACTTGAACGGCGGCTGAAGCCCAGTTTGTCCTTGTTCGTGTAAAGATAGGAAACTAAGGCTGGAGTGTCCACTGTTAACAAGCATGAGGGTAAGCAGAGGAAGTTAGTAGAACAGGAATGCTTTTGGAAGGAAGAAAGGAAGACACCAGACAAATGGGCTCAGACAAAGGAATGGAGTCACAGACACCCCTAGCCACCTTTCCCGCCCTCTGATCTCCCACAATGCTCCCTAGGACAACCTGTCCGCTTGCTGATGACTTCCACAATGGAGGGCGGGAAGTAGCCAACCCGGTCAGTGCCCTTCTGAGAGTCGTGGATATGGCCCTTCCAGCGGCCGTCAGCATGCTGCTCCAGGACCTGACAAAAGAGAACCGATCCCTTTACAAGTGGGACAAGATGGAGGCAGGACAACAGAATCAGAAAGGAGTCATTAAATTGTGAAGGTAGTCGTGAAGCTGGTCCCCAGTGCAAAAGCAGAACTTCCTGTTAGTGATGTGCTAAATCAAGGTGGTACACACATAAGGAAGTCTTCTGTTCCAGTTAGGGAGCCTTGGGCAGCTCAGTCTTTTAAGACCTCAATCCCTCACTAACATCATAAATATAACAATAGTGACATTTGTTTTTACAGGGCTGTCGTAAGAATTGCAGCAAAATAAATGCTCAGCTTTGCTTGCATTTTAAAAAAAAAAGCAAAATAAAATAAAATAAAAAAGAAACAAGAGCTGAACTTCTGAATTTTATGCTTACACCCTATACTTTTCCCATAGTTCTGTAGAACTATGGCACACAAACCTGGCTCTGCTTATAAGGCACATCTTCCAAAATCACTGTCACTTCTACTACTCAGTGATTCTCTTTTGCTGGGAAGGCAACCTTCTTAAATCATTTCCCCACAAAGTCTAGCAAGGTCCCACTTATATAATATGACCCCACCACCACTACCCCCACCACCTGTACTGTGGATATGATTGCTTCTGTTTAATACCAGGATAAAGGGGCCATTTGCATTTTTCCACACACCCCTTGATGCCTGCACAAGGTCTGTCGCAAAGTGAGGATCACCCAGGAATGCTACAAGGGAAACATTTCAGTCACCTAGAAGTTTATATGGCTCTGTTTGTCTCTCACCGTGATCACGTCTCCAGCACGGATATTGAGAGCAGTTGGGTCGTGGAGGTTCCAAAAATCTTTCAAAGCTCGGACCTTCAGGATTCCTGATGCCTCTGAAGACAAAGGGTAGAGGAAAGAGAGAAGGAGCGGGAGAAGGAGCAAAGCACACGCAGGAAGATTAACAAGAAGAAAGAGAAGGAATAGAGGACAGTATCATTCGCTGGACACGTAGAAGATCGACAATACTGTTCTCTTTGCACGTAATCTCTCCTACTCCCCATAAACTGATACAACATTGTTTGTTGGAGTCAGCCTGTGCTTTCCCACCAATCTGCCCCCCCCTTTGGTTTTCCATGGTGTGTTTGTTTGTCTCGGGAATCAGTGAGTGGTGAAGTGGAAACTCTAAGATCTTGGAGTGTAGTCCCTGATTAAGACATCGTCATGGTTTCCATAAAGATGGTACCAGGCAAGTACATTCACTCGTAGAAGGAATGGCCCAGGCTTCGGCCTGCTCACCTCGTAAGAGCTGTTTGATGTCCTTGCTGGCATGAGAGGTGGTGAACTGGTTCACGATATCCAGGGCCGTCTGGTTGTACGTGTTGCGGATGTTGACATCAATGCCACCCTATCCACAGAGAGAAGGTTAACGATGGTAGGTATTCCTGTCCTGAGAGGCGCTTCACAGTATAGGCACCTAACCTCGCCTTGGGCTAAGACTAGGTTAGATGCCCTTAAGCCACACTTCCTAAACCACAACCGAGGATAGATAAAAGAGCCCTGTCTATAAGCAGGGGCAACTTGCCCCCAGTTTTGCTTCTGTGATACAGAAGGCTCAGATTTATGAAGCCCTGGGTTTGCCACATCCCCTCATCCTTAGCAACCCAAAGGAATATTGCTGCCTCCTTCACAGAAGTGTTAAGCAGCATAAAAAAGGGAAGAAGCACAAAGTACTCTGCATATTATAGTCCTTCCCCCCCCCCAAAGGTAGCCCCATGTCTATTTTATAACACTGTTTGTAGCTGTTCCTTGAACAAAGGTTATTCATACATGTGATGATGTTGCAGAGTCATCCCAGCATGGTCTAAGGAGAAGGATGTGGCCATCCTTCTTGCTAGCTGTGCATTTGACAGGTATGTGAAAGGGTGATACAGGTGAGCACACAGAGGGTTTCTCCACTTCAGGAGGAATTCACGCAGCTTGGGAGGTGTCGGAATCATTACTGTGTGGGAGAGACTAGTAATACCCTTATGGGGGGCTTACATCAGCAACATGGCCTCCAGCGGAATGCCTCTCTGCTCTCTGTTTCCCACTTCCACTCCACTCTTGGGCCCCTGGTCTCTCCAAAGCGGAGACCACCAAGTTACCAAGCAGCCATCCCAGTCTTTGCTTACAGCTTTACTGTTAGTCTCACCTGAAGCAGCAGGCGCACCACCTCGGTCTTCCCATACAGGGCAGCCTCATGCAAAGCAGTGCCTGTCTTCGTCTGTTTGTTGATCTCGATTCCGGCTTTCAGTAGTTGCCTGGGCAGACCGAAACATACAACAGAGGGCAATGAACAGATGTGACAGAGGACTACAGCCCAGATCCCAAACCTGTGTTGCAGGCTGTGTGTCAACGGGGAATTTGCCAAGGAAAAAGAGAAGGGCGAGCAGGTGTAAGACATTAGGCAGGGGATTGATTTCCGCTCCAAGAAGAATTTAAAAGGAGATCTGGAAGGAGATCTGGGTATACAGTATTTGCCCCAGAACTGGTGCTAATTTATGACCTCACACTACTGTTGTAGGGATTTCACTTCATTAACAGTAATTGCATGAACAGCAATTTTTGCCAGAGAAAGATCCAGAAGACATTGAGCTGCTGCTCTTTCTGGAACACTGGGAAAGAGAGTGGAGGCAGTTCAGGAACAGAGAGCCTGCGGTGGCGACCTCTTTCTCTTCTTAGGGGAAGCAGCCTTTGTCAAAACAGCATTCTCTGTACACTCTTAGTGCACAGAACTACGGAGGACTTGCCTCTCTACCTGTTCACCTAAAACCGCAAGCCATCACAGGGGTGTGCGATCTCTTCCACGCAGCTAGTCTGAAACACACAGTGAAGCAGATGCGAGAGTCGCTAACCACTGTTTGGAAAGATGGGCATAAACTTCAGGGATAGAAGGAGCTCTCCAGTGTCAATGCCCTGTTTCCAGGCTGTGAAAACAGTGGACCATTTGGTTAATGGGGTGTGTGGGTTGATATCTGGGTCAGTCAAAGGGAGGCGCTCACAGGCATGCCTTCTCAGTCTTTGGCCACCATTTTGTTTGCCTTTTTGGAACAACAAAACAACAGGACTTCAAAGTGTAGCATTTTTCACAGGTGTGTTTTTCTTAGAGCTGCAGAGGTAAGAAAGGGTGATATATATTTCCCCCAAGACAGCAAGCAGTTCATCCCTACTTCTGAAAACATTGAAGTAGCAAGGCAGTCCTTTGCTCCTGTCCTTCCCAAACATCCAGCAAACGGTCAGCTCTGCACTAAATGCCCTGAAGCGAGCACGCATGGGCCGCTGAGGGAGGCTATGTGTCCTTCCTTTTCCACACTGGAAGCACTCGGGTGAGTTTACCTGATGATTTCCTTGTGCCCGTTCTTGGCTGCCAAGTGCAGAGGAGTGGTGTAGTTGGGGTCGCTTGTGTCCTTGGATTGTCCCTCAAGCAGAGCCACACACATGTGGCTGTTCAGGAGCAGCTGGGCCACCTAATGTAGACAAAGCAGGGAAGGGGCTTAGTTACAGTGGAAAGGCGAGAGAGGGACAGAGGGGCGCTTAAAGAAAGCATACACTGCAGGCAGCTGTTCTGCCTCCATCTGACGGAACATGTAGGTTCAGGGGGAGAGGGACAGAGGGGCGCTTAAAGAAAGCGTACACTTCAGGCGGCTGTTCTGCCTCCATCTGACGGAACACGTAGAGCGATCTATGGTCTCATATTTAAGTAGCAGCTTTTGCACGTCAAAGGTCCCAGGTTCCATCTCTGGCATCTTCTGTTAAGAACATCATGGAGCAAGGAAAGGAACTGGGGTCTCCCTGCCTCAAACCCCCCCTCTCAGTCAGAGGAGATCTTACTGGGCTAGATGGGCAAAGAGTGGGACCTGGTCCATGGCGGGTTCTCACAGGGAAATGCTGTGCACCACTTCAGATGCCATCCTGGTCATGCCCATCCCGTTGTTTCTCCTCCTCCTCCTCCTCTCTTACGATGAGTTTACACCAGAGATGGGAAAAGTGCTGTCAGACATTTCTGGACTGCAGCTACACCCACCACTGGTTATGTTGACTAGGACTTAAGAGAGCCGATTTTAGATTACAGTATTCCAGCTCCAATCCCATGCTTCATTCCTCAGAGGCAACTCCTACAGGCCAGTATTTTGTTCGATGAACACTGGCTAGAAGGGCACCGCGCAAGCCTCCGCCCCACTCGGGGCAGGCTCTGCACTGTGTATCCAGTGGCACAACCTCTCTCTCAACCTGTGTCAGAGCAGGGGGGAAGGGAATGCTTACGCAATTGCCCTTCCAGTCACTATGCACTGTCCAGTGGCACAACCTCTCTCTCAACCTGCGCAAGACAAGGCATCTGACAGAGAACCTGTCAGAGCAGGGGCGAAGGGAATGCTTAGGCAATTGCCCTTCCAGTCAACCATGCACTGTGTAAGTTACTGGCCACTGTGTTTAATGGAACAGGGCCAGATCCAGGAGGGATGCAAGAGCTGGTCAAAGTGACCTCTAGAAGGCCCTCCTATGTCACCGAGACCTTTTGTTGCGTTCATGGCAGCAGGAGGAACTGCAGTTCTCAGCAACACTATGAGCCACACTGGGTCAAGGAGGGGCAGTGCCCCACCTGCAAATTCCAGCCACTTCCAGGGGTGACCTAGAAGTCTAGCTGCATATTCATCTCCCACCCATGTTCCTGAGTAATGTGGTGTCAACAGCATTGTGAGAGGTAAATGTGGCCATCTAGATGTCAGCAGCAAGCCCTCACCAGCACACTGCAGATTAGGCCCCTGCCTCACGACGCCAGTTCCTGATAATGGCCCTGCAATGGCATTTTATTCCTAGGTAATTGGAATTTACCTGCAGGATTGCAGCCTAAAATTGACAAGATAGTATCATAGCAAGATTTTAAAAAATAAACAAATCTCTAATCCTTAGCCTGTCAACACACGTGCTCCCACTTTGGTAGGACAAGTGCCATAACCCTGCCTTTATCCACGGTGTTTTACAGGGAACCCCCAGCATCCTGGTCTTCAGTTGGTAGCCCTTCTGTATCTCCTCACAGCTAGGTCTATCCTTTCCTTTCTACCACAGAACATCCATGAAGAAAGAAAAGAGGAGGTAGTGATACAACATTTTTGACTGGAATCAACAGAAGTTCTCCTCTCTGGAGCCCTGGGTCTCAATGAAGCCACACAGATATGCAGGTCTGGAACATCTCTCACTAAACCCAGCATTGATTTTTCCTTTGGTTGGTTATGTATTTCACTGTACACACCTGTAGAACTTTTTGTTTTCCACTATGCACACTTATTTTTGATTTGCCAGTCCCCTCCGGCTTCAATGCCACTGACCACCTATTTCGGGGCAAAATGGGCTCCTCTGGCTTAAACCGCTGCATACCAGATACTCGTATGAAGGTGGTGAGCCTGGGGCTTCTCCTGTTCCATTTCTGTCATACATCTGTTAAAAACATATGAAGCCCTGTTTTTTTTGGGGGGGGGTGGGAGGAGGAAAGGAGGCTACTTGGTGTTTTGATATCCACATCATCACTGAACTTCTGGATAGTTCAGTGGTTTAGGTCTCTGGCTCCAGAGCCAGAGGTTGGGAGTTTGATTCCCCCAAAGTGCCTCATTGACAGAGCCTGGCCTCAATAATACAGTACTTAGGTTTCCTTCTAGCCCTGCAATCCTAAAATCCGAAGATTAAATGAATCCAGGATTTCAAAATTGTATGAGGCCTCCTATATTCATTTACAGAATAACCAGGAGGACCAAAAATTGACCAGCCCATCCGTGCCAAACAGGCACATTTTAAAAATAATGTTTATTTAGAGTGGCCACATTCCAAAAAGAGGGGAATGACTCTGCTCCTTTAAGACGTTTAAGGAAGACACCAATACTCTGAAGGAACCCTATCCTGGCACTGCAGAAAACATGACACCTGCTGCACATTTGCCTTGCAAAGTTCTTAAAGGGGTGGAATTCCTGGATGCCTTTTGGAACAGAGTCATCCAAGTTGTCACCATCTCTTCTCCAGCCCTTCTCTTTCCAAGCTGCACCTGCCCTGGCTCCATCAACCTCTCCGCCACAGATCCTGGCTTTTTGTTTTGCAGCTCCTCTTCCCACAAAAGGGCCAGAGACAGACAAGGTACAAAGGCAGGGCTTTACGGAGATTAAAAGAAAAGGCAATTAAGTAAGGCTTTCTCTTTCAAGGGACTTTTGTCTCTCCCTCAGAGCCTCTGGGTCTGAGGGCCCCACCCACAGAGAACACCTACACCAAGGCACAGGGCAGTCTGTCCCGAGAAGCTCTGGGGTATGTATTTTTTTGTGCAGTTGTCCTATTTATAGCTTCTTTGCTATACAAATGAACACTCAACCCACTCCCCTGCCTTGTGATGGGGACAGAGCCTTGCCAGTCCATCACCTCCCTTGGTTTCAGGCCCTCGGGCTAGTATCCCATAGATCTGCTGCCTTTTCCTTGAACTTAGGAGGGAAGCTTCCCACCCCTCAGGAATCCTGAGTCGCCTCTTGCACCTGTCCTGAATAGCAGAGACAGGAATTCATGGCCAGCTCCCTGCTTCGCCAGGTTGGAATCCCAGGCCTCCTGTCCCAGCTGGCCATAGCTCTGCCTTTATGGCCAGGAGAGATTAGCAGGGCTCAGGCACTGTCTGGTTTCTGAGGGGACCTGATTCCAGCCTCGCTGGGCTTCCAAAGTCAATCCAAAGTCAATCCTAATGCTTAAGAGTCACGTTACGTGTCAACATCATGACACGGCCTGGTCCAGGGTGCCATTTTTTTTGGCCCATTCACATACCCTTGCAGTGGTGACAAAGTCTCGTGGGAGGGAGGGAAAGGGTGTCTACAGATGAGCAAAAGCATTTAGAGCCTCCTTCCACCCTGACCCATGGGACCATGCCAGCATTCCTCAGGTTGGAATGAGACTGGCTTGGAAAGGAGAGGGGGTGAGCACGGTGGCTGGCTCTTCACCTGCTCCTGATAGGTGGACGGGCCTTTTGCCAGGCGGAATCACTGAGAGCAATCACCCTTTCCGCATAGGTGAGCAAACACGGACTTCTCAGCGGCTGGCCTCTTTGTTGCAAGCAGTGGCTACAGAGGCTTCTGCTTACCTTCAGCCTCCCGAACTCACAGGCTAGATCCAGGGGTGTTTTCTTAGCTTTGTTGACAAGGCATGGGTTGGACTGGTGCTGAAGCAGCATCTCTGACTGCAGGAAGGAGGGGTAAGAACATGGAAAGAACAATGTAAAACTGCAAACAAATCAAAGCCCTCCTTGTAAGCGAGCCCTTTGTCAGTTCTAGTGGCCATGGTGTCTGGATTGGCTTCTTTTAGAGCTGGCCAGTCTGTTAAATCTAGAAATTCACCCACCTTACTTAGAAAGCTTTCACAGTATTCCCAAGATTACGTGAAAACTAACTTAACATTCTGTTATCTCTTATCTCCTCAGGAATTTGCTTCTTTTAGAGCTGGCCAGTCTGTTAAATGTAGAAATTCACCCACCTTACTTGGAAAGCTTTCACAGTATTCCCACACAAACACTCCACTTCTTGAAAAGAAGGGTCTCTGTTTCACACAAAATTCTGGATAGGGTGGACATGTTTCAGATTCGTTCAGACAATAAATTTGATATTTAATGCAGTGTCTCATATTCAGAGAATCCCAGCTTACATTTTTTTAAAAGCAAAATTCTAGTTCTCACTCGGGGACTGTAGAAGCTTGGAAATATATAGGAAATGTCAGATAAAAACCCAGAGCCACTCTCACAGAATGTCCTAAGAGGATTTGATATTATTATCTCTTTTTCAGTTTCCATGTCAGTTATTCCCAGTTCCTGAGCCTTAAATGAAACTGAATACATTTGTACAGTTGAAATCCCTGGAATTTAAGTATTACCCTATGGAGGGCTGTTTTTTTTTCCCCAGAGCAAAAGGAAACATGGATCAAGTTGGAAGTTTAATACAGGAATAAAAGAGCAGCTGTTTGGGTTCATGCTGTTTCTCAGACCACAAGAAATTCTGCCATTTCCCCTTCGACCCGAATTCATCTCCCTCCAGAATCCGTAGACAGAGGTTATGCTGGGGGTTGAGCAAGGTTCCCCCTAAGGTGTGCATGTGTGCATACAACTCAGCGCCCCCACGTGGTCTTCCTCCTTCTCTGCGCACCCACAGTGATCCTTTTCAGCCCCTTTGGTTCTGGTCACAATGAAATCCTGAATGAGGGGGGGAAACGGGGTGGGCGGTGGAGTCGCACACGCAAGGGGCAGAGCCCTGCCTAGTTGGGCTGAAAATTAGAAGGGATGTTGGTGTTAAGTATGATTCATCCCCTCTTCTCATAGCAATTTCACAGCAGCAGATGCACATTATCCTGTGGAAGTTCTATTAACCCCATAGTACTGGAGTGAAGTTTTGAGATAGTTTGCAGGGAGTGGAGGGAACATGGAGAAAACAATGAGGGTTGTGTAGTAGGAGTGGCCCACTGGCGATTGGTGGGCATGTGCTGGACTGACCAGCCAAGGAAGCAGTTCCTCCAGAGCTCCAGTTTGGCCCGCTGATAATTAGCTTTTAATAGCATTGGATTGTATGCATCTCCTGGACTCTTCTGTTAGGCATGCCATTTAAACTGCAATGGTGAGGTGCCTTTCCTCTGGCTATGAACTGTCTGTTGTTCACAAGGTTGCTGTCAACCTCCTGTCTTTGATCTTATCACACAGCAATGTGTGTTATAAGCAGTGTTTCCAAAAACGGGCTTGGGTAACGATATGCTATGATGCAAGCAAAACATACAAGCCATATGGGCTGGAAACACTGTTCTGTTAACCATCATCCCTGGATGGACATAATTGTGAAATCAGTGCCCCCAAGTGTCCCAGAAGAGAGCTCCATTTCTGCAAGAATGGAAGTGAGTATCGAGGTATGTTCTCTCTGAGGTGGTGGGGGCCAAAAAAATATGTGAGAAAAAGTTGGACAACACAGGAGACGGAAGAGCATGAAATGAATGGGTTCTAACTGGGTGCAGTCACAAGTTAAAAGCACTGGCCAATCTGGACATGCCAGTGGTCTGTACGACAGTCCTAGATTCCAAAAAATGCAGGCAGATGCCTACTTCCCCTGTTTCCCTACCAGTGGCCCCAGCACCAACACTCACCACTTCATAGTGGCCATATTGTGCAGAAAGATGCAATGGGATCTGTCCATCCAACGATGCCGTGTTGACGGAAGCGGCCGCTCTCAGTAGCAGGCGCACTGGCTCCACTTTCCCTTGCCAGGCAGCATAGTGTAGTGGTCGCATTCCTGTAGGGAGAAAGTGATTAGAAAGAAGAAACACAGAAAAGAATTCAGATTTAACCACGACTAAAGTAAATCTGCTGCGATTAAAATGACCAGTTTAAAGCCCTATTCATTTCAATGGGTCCGCTCTGGTAAAAGATGTGGAAGAAACAGGCTGCGTGGTATATGAACCACAGGGGTACATAATGAGGAACAGGGCTAATAAAGCAAAAATATTATGCCTCACCAGTTCCTTTCTCAAATCTTTGGCCAGACATAGTAGTAAGGGGGGAACTTATAAGTTGTGTTATTCTAGTCAAAGCAGAAGTCTCTTTTCTTTATGAAGGAAACTGTATTTCTTCTGGGGGAACTGTTCGCTATCAATATAGACTTTTGACTCCATTAAGTAAGGAGCAGGTATTGTGCCATTCCCTCACACTGCTGGCTAGGACAACAGCATGGAGGATTTCCCTCCGTCTTGAAGAGAGCAAGAAGAATGCTTACCATTGATATCCTTAATATCCACGGTAGCCTGTGCTTCCAGCAGCAGGGAGATTAGTTCTAGGCTCCCAACCAGGGCCGCATGGTGCAGTGCTGAAAACCTGAGAACAGAGGAGAGGAGAGATCAATTTGCTGGTGCATACACCAGGGGCCTCCTAATTTTACACCCCAGTCCTCCCAATTGGGAGTCATTTGTTAGCCACATCTAGGCTCAGACTCCGATATCTCAGAGCCACACAACAGTGGCATTGAAGGTCTCAGATTGCCTGTAACTACATGGATGTTGTTGTCTCAAACCTCCAAATGTGGGGTTAACAGCACTATGGCACACCCTTCCGCATCAACCCTCATGGGCTGTCATGGAAGGGAAACTGTGGAGAACCTTGGCTGAACTGTGACTCCAACAGCCATTACAGGAACCATGAGGCAAGCTTTGAACACCCTTGTCCAGTTCAGGGGCAAGTGTGTTGGATGAGGTCCCTGGAGAGAGACGAAAGTTCAAATCACCCACAGCTGTGAAGTTTTCTAGGTGTCCTTGATTCAGTCCCTGTATTTTTCAGACTAATGTACCTCACAGGGACATGGTAGAGACAATCAGCCATGCAGTATGTCTTACGCTCTTTGGAGAAAGGATAAGATATAAATCCAATCAATTAAAAAAAAACACCACAGGCTAGCATGTTGCTCCCAGTCACCTACATCTATTTCTCTTCAGTCATCTGAGGAAACTATTGTTCCGTCATCGTCTTTCCCTGCTGTGCCCTAGAACTTTAGTTGTGTTACCTCACTGAACAAAATGATACAGCTTCTATTGATTTTCCCTTCTAGCCTGCCCCTTAAACATCCACTTACCTGAAAACTATCTAGCGAGCAGCAGGACTGTATGAGGAGGAGAGTGAGAAGACGTAACACTGGCTGCTAGGCCATTGCTCATTCCAGGCTGTTCACTTACAATCTCAGCAGGCACTTCATCAAACACCTTTCTTTTAGACTGTACCAAGCTGGTAATCTGGTCTCCCAATTTCTCTTCCCAAATCTGTGTGTTCCTAAGAAATTACCCCCTTCCCCTGCCACCCCATCCTCCTGATCCTTTAGGTCTGGTGTCAGTATCTCTTCCTACGCTTGGCAAAAGGAGTCATGTTTGCACATCTTCCCAGATCTGACAGACAAAAATGAAAGAGACTATAGTATCGTCTTTATAATATTCTGGGAAATAGGGATGTTCTGAAGTAACAGACATCTGTTTGGCTCTCCGAACCTCTCAGTTTCCAAAATAAGGGACAGTTTTTCAAAGTAGGGAGCATTCCCTAAAATAAGGGGCATCTGGCCATTCTAGTTCTTTGTGAATCATGGATTCTGACAACTTTCCAGCATGGGTTGGACAAGCCCAAAATACTTAACAACACATCCCCCTTTCCTGCCTTTCGCAGTAACCCAGCTGTTTCTGAAACTGATCTTTTCTTCAGAGATTTCACTGTATAGCCTTACAGGTGGGAAGGCTCTGTTGTTTCTGGGTGACAGGCAACAATTCCTATCGGCTCTGTTCCCGGACCATATGACTGTGGGCCTTGGCTATGTTTTCCCTTGGTGTCTCTGCTTTCTTGATGGGTATATATTCTTTGTGTAGGAAGACATGAAATTACCCAGAGCAGCATGCCTAATGCGAGAGGGCAACGCAATAGAGTCCTCCTGTTCCATTTTAAAGAAACTGCATGCAAGGAGAAGACCTGAAAGTGCAACTTTTCTAATTGCTACCCCATTCTATAAAAGGATATCAAACTTGTGCCATGCCACTTTTAAAGGCACAGGCGATCCTTCTGCAGCTGCTACTCAATCTTGGCAAGGGGGAGGTGACTGGCATTTTAATTTCTTTTTAAAGGGGTGGGGAAATGGAGATAAAACCCCGCAGGCAAAAAGTAAGCCTTGTGAGTCAGTAGTTACAAGGGTTGTCTGAGCATAACTGAAAAAAATAACACTGTGGGCCTGTTGGCAGACAACAAGCTACTCATCAAGGAGTCCATCTCTTCCCCAGCCCCATCTCCCGAACTTGCCCTGAGGATGGCAGTCTCTCTCTCCCATCAGGCTGCGGTCCGAGTACGACAGGCCACAGAGAATGAATAGAGCCTGTGTTTCTGATCTGTGAAAGAGGCTTGTTTACCCAGAGTCCCCCCCCCCACTTCCACTTTCTGCCTTTCCCTTGCTCTGCACCGATGCCATTCATTCAAAGGGTAGGAAACCAGCCCTGAAGATGGCAAGAGAGACCCTGGAGCCTTCAAAGCAGGGACATTGTCCCCAGCAAAGCTTGGAAAATGCAGAGCAGCCCCATCACAACCCCTCGAATTATTGGGTTCCGATTGCCAGTCAGAGCAGATTGTCCCATATGCCTGTTACAGACACTAAGGAAGTCTCTCTCTCTCTGTGTGTGTGTGTTTCTGTCCCTTCCTCCCTCTCCCTCTCCCCCCCTTCTCTCTCTCACACACACATTTTAAAAGATTTCATGAAGGCTGGATTGGGAGGCAGAGAAGGGGTGAGAAAATGTAAAGATCACACTGTGATCCTGGGCTTCTGCAGTCTTGCATAGTAATATCAACATAAGACCAAAAACATAAGCAACACCAAAACACATTAAATGCGTAAGGTATTCGGCAGTTATTCACTCAGAGAAAGCTTGCCTGAGGAGAAAGGTCTTTGCCTGCTTGTGGAGGGACAGTAAAAACGGGGTCCAGTCTACTCTTTGCCTGCTTGTGGAGGGACAGTAAAAATGGGGTCCAGTCTACTCTCCTGTGGGGAGGAAGTTCCAGAGTCTGGGAGTAGCGACAGAGAAGGCTCTCTTTCCCGTGTCCCCACCAAATGCACCTGTAAGGGTGGTGGGGCCGAGAGAAATCATCAAGATCACTTGATGATCTTAACAGTCGAGCAGGTCCATAAAGGGAGATGGGATCCTTGAGATAACTTGGGCCCAAGCCATTTAGAGCTTTATAGGTTAGGACCATCTCTCTGAATTTGCCCAGAAATGGATCGGCAGCCAGTGGAGTTGTGTGGTCCCTGTTTCCAGCTCCAGTTAGCAATCTGCCTGCTATGTTTTGGACCTGCTGACGTTTCCTGACACTTTCCATAGGCAGCCCCACATAGAGTGTGTTGAATCAATCCACCTGGGATGTAACTAAAGCACTGTCAAATCAGACAGGAATGGGCGAATTAGCTGGCTCACTAATTTTAACTGTGCAAAAGCACTCCTAGCAATAGCCAAAACTTGGGCATCTAGATTCAGACAGGAATCCAAGAGTACTTCCAGGCTGTGCACCTGGGTTTTCAGGGGGAGTGTCACTCCATCCAGCACAGGATGTGACCAGCAGCAACTCTGCCTTGTCTGGATTATATTTCGGCTTAGTCAACTTCACCCAGTTCATTACTGACACCAGACACTGATCTAGAGACAAAAGAGCTTCCTCAGATTTCGATGGCAAGGGGAGATACGGATGGGTGAATACTGGTCACAGAGAACCCCCAAACTATGGATTTATTTAATATGTAAGTGTTAAATAAAATACGAGACAAAACAGAACCCCGAGAGACCCCTCAGGCCAGCATAAAATACGAGACAAAACAGAACCCCGAGGGACCCCGCAGGCCAGCTGCCAGGGCGTTGAACAGGAGTCCCCCAGCACCGCCTTCTGAGTTCGCTTCTCTAGAAAGGCCCTGAATCATTGTAAAACAGAACCTCCAAGTCCCAGTCCAGAGAAAAAGTTACTTTTTAAAGACTTACTACTCCCAGAATTTTTCAGCCCACCAAACAGTGGCATAATGGCTGGGGAATGTTTGGAAATTTCAGTTTAAAACTGTATATTATTGTAGGGTTTAAGCACTGAGTGAGGGATGAATAACAGCCAGCTGAGGGCAGAAAAAGGAAGGGAAAAGCCCCGGCGTGTAATGGCAACAATACCAGCAGGGGAGGCCTTTTTCTTGGCCCCAGGCGGTTGGCTAGCAGTCACCTCACGCTATGCCTCTGCTTGCAGGCGCCTGGATGCTCCAATTATCCCCAGGGCAACCTCTGTGTAAGAAGAAGGGGCATCCCTGCAGCCCTGAGGAGACTGCCCTGAAGCTCTCAGAGGGCACGGGGACCAGGCAACGGGCAGGCCCAAAGAGCGCTGAGGCTGAGAGAGCTGGAGAGGGTGGCCTTTGTCATTGCCTAGCAGGGGTAGGAGGCAACCTGCATGGGACCCTAAACACCTAAGAGGCTGCCATGCCCGTCCTCCTAGTTAACATTCTTCAGGGCAAGAAAAGCAAGCAATCAGAGGAAGCTTTCTACTCTGTGGGGCTAAAAGGAAGACCTTTCGGTCCTGCCACCCTACTATTTTTGTGTCGCCACCTTGTTCTTTCTGCCACAATCCCTGCTATCTGTCATAGAAGAATAACAGCCAGAAATTCAACACAAGCAGTGCTAAGTAGGAAAAACCCACTCTGCTATCATGCTTGTGTTAGACAGGGAAGGGAAATTATGCCAAACCCACAAATAGTGCACCTTCTGTATCTGAAATCTGGGGTATAAATGCAGCAGTAGCAACAACAACAACAACAGAGTTGCAAATTCACTTTACAGGCTCATAACTGGCATACTTGAAAATTGCAAAGCTAGTAACTTCAGCAGCAGCAGCAACAACAACAACAGTGTTGCAAATTCACTTTACAGGCTCATAAATGACATACTTGAGAATTGCAAAGCTAGTGACCTTGTGTGTGTGTGTGTGTGTAATATTGATATACTAATTGTGTCTATTATTATACACTAATTGGTATCGTTTTTACTTATCAATTTGGTTCTGGAGACTGCAGTCTGTTTCATTAGATGCGTGATTCGTTAAGTGGGCTGCACTCCACAAAATCTTGTGCTAGATAGAATTTGTTAGTCTACCAAGGTGCCACAAGACTTTTTGCTGATTTTGCTGCAGTGGAACTACTTTCATCTCCCTCCATCCTTCAAACACCGTTTGCAGGGCACTTCCAAGAGTCCAGAGTGCTTCTCATGCATAATGTAGCTGTAGCCTCATGATGGAAGTCACTGTTCCTATCTCCCCATACATATTGCAGATGGGGGCGGGGGGGAGAATAGTGTTTGCCTAAGGCAGCTTAGTGAGTTTATAGCAGAGGTGATAATCAAACCAGGTATTTCCCTTATTGGGAGCTGAGTCTCTTGGCCCCACTTCACCAGTGTAATAAGGCAACAGCTGGAAGTCTCATGACAAACATCTTCCACAGAGTACACAGTATGGAGTATGTCTGTTCAAAATTACTGTGTGCATGTATGTGTGTTTTGTTCTGTCAAGTCAGAACTGAATTACCACAACCCTAACAGAGCTTTCAAGGTAAGTGAGATATACAAGGAGTGGTTTTTACAAGTTCCACTCCCTCAGTGAGCTTTCATGGTTAAGTGGGGATTTGAACCCTGTTCTCCAGAGTCCATCACTTTATCCACTACACCACACTGGGAATCACTCAAAATTCCTGGCTCCTCCTAATTCTTTGGAAACAGGACTGCAGTCCCAGTGAATTACAGTTTGACTATTGAAGTCACTCATGACATGTGCTGTCATTATGATTGACTCTTCACTCCCTCCATCAACATAAGATCTCCAGGTTTAGTAAGCAAGCACCTAGTTGTTATCGTTAGCCATTACCACTTGAGTGAATCTTGACTGCCCAAAGCACCTAGTTGTTATCGTTAGCCATTACTTACCACTTGAGTGAATCTTGACTGTCCGTTTTTTTCCTGCATTGTGGCTGTTCCAAAACTCCAGAATTCAGTATGTGATGAAACTTTAGGGTATAAAATTCTGGCAAAATCCCTAAACTACATTTCTTGGATTGCTCCTTTGCACAGACTATATTTGGCTCAGAATCTGGACCATTCTTTGTCCTTTCAAATAGCACTGGAGTCTGACAGAGCCACTTTCATGTAAGGGTGACTGGTGGGAGCAAATCAGAGCATATCACACCAGTTCTGGCTTGCCAGTACTAGTTACCCATTATATCAAGCTCAAGGTTTTAACTCCTAGGTATAAAGCGCTCCACAGTTTGGGACCACATTACTTGTTGGAGCGTCTGACTCCAATACTGCCATCTCCCTGACCTACCAGATCTTCCCAGATCAGGCTCCCCCTTGTGATCATCCCAAGGAGAGCCTGAAAGTCCTCTACTAGAGGCAGGGCCTTCTCTGCGTTGACCCCACTTTTAAGGAATCAGTTTCTGAAGGAGCTACGCCTGGCTCCCTCCCTTTTGACCTTCAGAAGAAAACATAAGACCTTTCTTTTTAGGGAAGCCTTCCATACCGAGACAGGTTGCTATATTTTTTTTTCTTCTCTTTTTCAATCACTTATCCTGCTACTGTACGTTGTAAACTGTTTTTACCCCCTTGGGTTACTTATATCATGAGTGTTTTCAGTATGCTTGGATTTTATTTGTTAAATTGCCCAGAATAGTGCTCTCACACTAATAGGGCAGTATATAAATAGAATAAAATCAATAAATAACCCTCAGAAAATCTGTGGGAGAAGAAGGCAATTGTCTCTCATAAAATAATTGGGGAGGAAGACAACAACTGGGGAGCAAACGTTTTGCTATATGTTTATATAAGAATATGGTAAAGTAACATCAAAAACGGAAGCATAGGAACGTATACTGTTAGCATTAGCTAAATTTTAATGCATGCTATGACCTTAATCCACATTGATTTCTTGTCAGGGTTTGCGGAGCTACTGTACTTTTCTAAGAATGGGGTTAGCAGATAATATTTTTCTCAGCAGGTAATAAGTCACTGCCCTGCTGAGAAAAACTGCCGACCTCAAACGACCTTGATGCAAATTTTACTTTAGCCTTCCACAACCTGGGTCCCTTTAGATATCTTGGCCTATCCAGGCTTCCTCACCCTGGCATCCTCCAGAGGTGTTGCCCTGTAAGCCAGTGATCCCCAACCTTGGGCCTCCAGATGTTCTTGGACTACAACTCCCATAAGCCTTCACCACCACTTCTACTGGCCAGGATTTCTGGGAAATGAAGTCCAAGAACATCTGGAGGTCCAAGGTTGGGGACCACTGCTGTAAGCACATCGCCCACAACCCACAAGCCCAATGCCTGTGCTAGCCGAGAGGTGATGGGAATGGTAGTCTAAGTCATCAGGAAGGTGCTGCATTGGGACAATTGCTCTGATCCATTAGCTCAGTAATGTATACATCTTGCAGTTTAAGGATTTGGCCCTGTATCTTTAAGGGTCTGGTCTCCTGTGCTATTCTTGGCTTTTGGATTTTTGTCTTGAAAGGACTGGTTCAAGGTCTTGAAAGGACTGGTTCAAGGTCACACAACAAGTCAGAAGTGGAGCAGTGAACTGAAGTCAGGAAGAGAGGAGACCCTCAATCCCTGCAATGAACAACAGGTGTATCATTCCTCCAACTCATCAATGTTTTTCTTAAGTCAAGACCCCACTGTATCTTTAAGGGTTTGGTCTCCTGTGCTATTCTTGGCTTTTGGATGTCCAAGAACATCTGGAGGGTTCAAGGTCTTGAAAGGACTGGTTCAAGGTCACACAACAAGTCAGAAGTGGAGCAGTGAACTGAAGTCAGGAAGAGAGGAGACCCTCAATCCCTGCAATGAACAACAGGTGTATCATTCCTCCAACTCATCAATGTTTTTATCACTGTTTTAGTACATACCCATCCACATCCTGGTAGTTCACGTTCATCCGTTTTGTTGACCCCAGGAGTTCTAGAGAAAAATAAGGAGATGAGTGGGGGGGGGGAAAAGAAATGGGTCAGTTCAGGATTCTGTGGAACATCTTGACTAAATCTGCATGACTAAATACAGAGTTCAAATAAACACTGGGCAGTTTTCATATGCACGCTATCTCCCTTACTGTTCTATAGAAATAAAATGGGTTGGGCAGTACCTTGATTAGATCACTGAAAAGTTGCACAGAAGGTAAGCTTTAGAGCAAAGACAGGATACAATTTGAGTTTATGGCAAGTAGTAGTTAAAAAAAGGGGTCAGATGTGATGCCCTTGGCTCATGACGTTAGACTTCTGGAAAAGCAAAATGAAGGTTGAGATTCTATATGAGATGGAAGTGACATAGGTATCAGTTTTCAAGTTTGGAAGATCTTGTCGATGAAGAGAGGAAAGCCTGTAAACTGATATCTTTTTTACCTTTATCTAATGTGGAATTTCAAACTCTACGTTGCTTTCACAGCAGTCTGGCTTCATAAGCCATGAGCATGACATCTGACCCAATTTGAGAATTATTTTCCTTAAATCCAAGTTTTATACCATCCTTGATTAAGAATTCTGTAGAACTTGGAAGATAATTTCCTTTGTAACTTTTAAGTCATCCAGTTAGAGTATTGCACAACCAAGAGCTTTGTTTATGAATGCATCACACAACCACTTTATGTATTCTCTATTCCATGAATCTGCAACTCCACGTAAAAGAAAAAAAATATTTTGACCACAAACATTGGGTGGTTCCAAGTCAGAAATCTGTGATACAAGCTGAAATGAAAGCATTAACAATTTTTGCAAATCATCATCATCTTCCTCATGTGGCCCTTTTCAGGGTTTTCTGGGTAGAAAATACTCAGAAGTGATAAATATAGAGACTGGAATTAAGTGATTTCCATCACAAAAGCTGAATTCACTGTAGGATATTGGAAAATGAACACATTATTTTTTTTTGCCTACTTTTACATTCAGAATTTCTTTACTTTCTCACACAGACTTTGGAGCAAATTTATAGTCACCCTGGAAATTATGTTAAATGCAGTCCTGCCTGAATCTTTTCCATGAAAAAAGGATGACATTCCTTTTTTGACCCACTCTGCCTGTCATCAATGGTTGGAATGTGTCACCAAAGAAAGAAGCCAGAAGGCATGGATTCGTGCAGAAATTCCATGGGCTAATTTAGAAACAGAGGTGCAAGTCTAGATATACAGTACTTATAGTAACGTAAGCCAATGTCTACTCATAGTGGTGAGGAAGACTGTGACCTGCTGACCAGTCAGCCTGCTCTGCTACCAAAGAACAATTTCAAGGACCTTGCTCACCCTTATTGTGGTTCTCCATCTCTACATTGGACAGCCTTCCATCAGAGGGTTCTCCTCTGCAAAGCAGGACACATTGTCCACCCATACGTACTTCAGACCCACCTTGCAACGCACAGGACAGTGCCTGACCCATTCCTTCAGCTTCTTCTCCTTTTTCTTTCCAGCTCCATCAACACTGCCTTCTACACATCCTTCTCCATCGGCACCAGCCCGGTGCGTACTTCCTTCTCCACTTCCCCATTCCTCAGCATGGCTGCTGCCATCACCAAACTCTTCCCATCTCCAGAACCTATTCAACTGGTTGCGTGACTTCCACAGAACCAGGAGAATTCTGCCTCTTTCTCCATTGCTACTGAGCTGTGGGGCAGTGCCCCCTTTTTCCTTTGCCTGTCTGGACATCCGTCCTTTTATAAACTGGTGCCCAAAGAAGTGTAGGGCTGGGACATTTGGTTTCCACCTCTCTGCCACCTACCCACTGCCAGGAAAAAGCCCACAGACGAAATGGCTGGCATTTTTGCTCCACAGGCACAAGATGGAAGGGTCCTGAGGCAGTGAATGCAGCCATTGTATCTGCCTGACATTCCCTCCATTTTGCCCAGCCCCCAGAACCTCAATTTTCTAAATAGCCCAGGGCCTAAGGAGGTCTCCACAATGAAGAGGACCTTTCTACATTTCTAAATGTATGCAAGCTTCTCCAGCTTATCTTCTCTTTCCTTTAAGCTGAAGCCAACTTAATTATTTTCTTCCACATAATAATCAGGCCTTTTATTCAGCAATCTGGTTGCAAAATAACAGGAGTCAACAGACAGGATGGAGAGTCATAGGTGGGAAGCACAAGGATTACCAAACTAATATACATGGGGGGGGGTTAAACTCTCTATAAACCCTTATATATATATGCCCAACTGGCTCAGAAAAGGTTGAGGAGTATATATAGATATCCTCAACCTATATATCCTCAACCTTTCCTCAGAAATTGCAGTTCTGCCAACTGGCTCAGAAAAGGTTAAGAAGTGCTGTTTCTTTGCTCTGATACAGTATATATTTTGGTGGCCAGTCACAAAAAAGTCATTTTCCAAGGCAAATTGGTGAGGCCAAAACAAAGTAACTTTGAGCCTGAACACAAGTGGGAGGGAGGGGCTGAGATCTGCAACACAAAACAATTACTGTACTTCTCTCGCCATCCTTTTCATATACAGCAAATTGACACTAAGTGCAGTGAAAATGGACATAGCCAAGAGAGTACAGGCAGCAATGGAGACTAAGCCCCAAATTCCAAATCACACATTTCTCATCACAAATTCTGGCACAATGATGTGGGCGTTTCACACAAGGCAGACTTTCTTCAGGGAGACACAGAGGAACCTATACGGGACAGTCATACAATCCCAAACAAAGTCTATGCCCAATACAATACCTCCCACCAAGTCAAGCAGACTGACATACGCACTACATCAACCGCTATCAAACAAAACAGCCAACCTGTACAGCATGGTTTTGTCCACTAGTCTTCTGCGTAACTTTTGTTCCTGAACTGCTGGGCATAATTCAAAAAAGAAGCACAGGGCTTTGATTGTCTGCTGTTTTTATTTCCTTACAGGGTCCAAATTATTCACAAAAGGGTGCGGAAGAACGCCATGCTGCTTTGCAGCATGTCAGTCTCTGAATAGAATTTTTAAAAACATAACATTATTATTATTATTTTAAATAAAGTGTGAGAGAGGGAGCCTGGAAGGTGTCAAGGGAGGTACAGAGGAGGTACAGTATAGTAAACTGGGATGTAAGGAGAATTTAAAAGATCAAGGAAATAAGGAGAAAAGAAGGAGGGGGAAGACAGATGGCAGACAAATGCAAATAGAATAAAAAACTCTATGATCATTTAATACTTGTATTTATCACCAGTCCCTTATAATATGAGAATAAACATTATCTTCTTGCAAATATTTTTGAAAATTCATATTTTTGTCCCAAAAGATCTCTAAAATGCCAGGAATTTTTTTTTGTTTCCCCGCAGATACTACTGATTTTCCAGTTTAAATTATTGGGCTGGTTATATCATGAAATCAGTTCCCACAGAGCTCCAAGTGGGTCCATTAATAAGTACAGCAGTTTTTAGTAGCTATTGGTAGCCAGTTCTCTAGCTATTGGTAGCCAGTTCTCTAGACTCACAAAGAGAATATGGCTCAATAAGAAGCTGATAGCATATACCAAGATCCAGGTCTATAGAGCCTGTGTCCTGAGCACACTCCTGTACTGCAGTGAGTCCTGGACCCTTCATGCACGGCAGGGGAGGAAGCTGAAAACGTTCCATATGCGTTGTCTCCGACACATTTTTGGTATCACCTGACAGGACAAAGTTACAAATAGAGTCGTCCTAGATCAAGCTGGAATTTTCAGCATGTACGTATACCTTACTGCACATTACTGAAACAGTGACGTCTACGTTCGCTTGGGCATGTCATGATGGTAGGATTCCAAAAGATCTCCTGTATGGAGAATTAGTGCAGGGAAATCGCCCCAGAGGGAGACCACAGCTGCGATACAAGGATATCTGCAAGCAGGATCTGAAGGCCTTAGGAATGGACCTCAACAGATGGGAAACCTTGACATCTGAGCGTTCAGCCTGGAGGCAGGTGGTGCAGCACAGCCTCACCCAGTTTGAAGAGACATCCAGCAGGCTGAGGCAAAGAGGCAGTCCCGAAACCAGCAAAATCAGGGAGCTGGACAGGGGACAGATTGTATTTGTCTTCAGTGCGGAAGGGATTGTGACTCTCAAATTCTCCTCCTCAGCCACACTAGATGCTGTTCCAAGTCCTCCATACAGAGCACGTTACCATAGTCTCTCGAGACTGAAGGATGCCTACTTGAGTAACATACAAAGATCTGAGCTGGATTTTATCTGTTATTCTACAACTTGCTTACTAACACTGCAGAGGTGCTCTTTTGTCTTTCAAGGTGATTAGACACCCTCCATGAAGATATATCTGGCCTCATTTTTTAAAAAAAACATCCATGCAAATAGTCACTGCAGTATCCTTCGAAGTGCCCCATCTTCCTCTGCTTTACTTGGGGGGAGGAGCATTTTACGGGGGTTAGAGCTGCAGTGGATGGATGTGATAGGAGGTTAAAATGGAGCTGAGGCTAAAGATTAAAGGCTTTGGGATCAGAGTTGGAGGTGAATGAACTTGCAGAAAGAGAAAGGCAGTATGGTTCTGACTGCTAGAATTTGAGGACAAACCACATGGATTGACCTCCAGGGGCATCTGAATGGCTACACAGCCTGCTAGATTAGGGTGTTCCCTGGCCCATTTCATTCAACAAGGTAATTCGAATCATCACAGACACTACAGCCTAGCCAGGCAAATGTGTTGGGCCTAGAGTATTGCCTCCTCCTGTCTTTGGTTGCCAGAAGGATGCTGGCTAACAAGATGCACTGCATAGAGGGGAATAGATTTGGGGGTCCAACTGGAGAGGTAGAGCAAGGAAGGCTGAACAAGAGGCAGGCTCAATGACACAGATAAGGCTGAAAAGAAAACCAGCTTCGTTGTGATTTTCCTAGGGCTAATCAAAATGTTTTGCAAAACTATTTCTGTTTTAATGGAAAACTATTTATGAGGAGTTGATGATATAATGTGTGTGACAGACAACCTCCTTGGAGCTTCTCCATCTC